CAACGAATTCCCTTTTCCTCATAGCCATCTTAAAGGTCTGGTCTGAGCTTTAAATACCGTATTTATTCGCCTATAAGCCGAGACCCTAAACTTTTTCATGTCAGCAGCTGTTGCATTGAAATAAAAAATAAACACAAAACATTCGGCTATAAGCCGAGACCTAATAATTGCAAAGTACTCCACGCGTGTCGTTAACTGAGATGAATTAACATAAACCGAAAACTCTTTCCCTCTCGGGAAACATGCAACCAAAAAGTAGATTTTGAATAAACATATTTATTAAGTCCAATTTACTCAGTTGTTATTGGTCGTTTAATTGAAAGTAACAACAAATCACAGATAAGTTGAATTTAATGTAAATAAATAGAACCATGCGTGACATAACAAAACATTCACCTGAGTTCAGAATCCTGTCTCAAACAATCGGTCTCTTTCAAAGTTATCGTAATCGATCATCATGCCGAAAGTTCGTCGTTCTTCATACAACTTAGCGTTCAAACTAAATGTCGTTGCTGAAGCAGAGGCCGTCGAGAACAACTCCGAGATCGCTAGAGATTACGGAATCAATGAATCGATGGTGCGTCGCTGGCGAAAAGATCAAGCGAACCTGTTTAATGGTGAGCTTAAAATGTCAGCAAAGCGAAAGACGATGGGCTGCTTTTCGCCAAAGTATCCTGAATTGGATCAAACACTACGAGATGGTGAGAAGATCGTTCAAAACGTGCGGGATCTCAAACGCTCTCGATGGAACAGAAGACGACGCCATCTACGACGACGAAATGCCTGAGGTAGCTGATGATGACATGGAGGATGAGTTTGAGACTGACAGCGAAGAAGACGACGATGACTAAAAACTTCAATGTCACAAACTTCAACTTCACAAACAAAACGGCTCCTTTAGGAGCTACCACATAAATTAAAGTCAATGACCAACAATGATTTACATGTACCTACCTTTCGTGATCTCGGAAATTTGTGTTTGTTGATAATCGCTCGGCTTATAGTCGAATAAACATTGAATTTCGAATCTTGTTAAGCACCCGTAAATTTTTTTTGGCGAAAATACTCGGCTATAAGCCGAACCCCCTACCTTGGCGAGAATTTACCTGTTCTCAGTTTAATTTGTTGGAAAAATCGCTCGGCTTATAGGCGAATAAGATCAGATGTCATGGAACCCAGATACAAAATGGTCAAGCTTCTTGTAGACAACCTCATTCAAGGCCAACTCATTGTGAGCCCAGGAAAAAAATACAAACAGCAGCTAAGTTTGCAGTTTAGGATAACTTCATTCTAATTTATTGTTACAGTTACAACAAGATTTTAATCAAAAAATCAATTTTATTTGTCTGTAATTAACCCATTCACTCCTAAGAGTGCTTGGTTTTCAAATATAATTTAAGATATTGTACTTTATAGAAAAGAATCAACAGATTTTATTCACAATTTGTGTCAAACCAAATTTAATGATTGATTAGGACTATTTTGTATGAATAGCTGTAATTGAGGATTAATCCATATGAAGTTTTCAAGAAAAGAAAAATCAAATTCCATCCTGATATTACCACACATTGATGTTAATAATGAATCAAAAATATTTTACATGTAAGCCTTAATTTAGCTTCTAAATAAATTTCATTGAATACTTGAATTTTTAGCTGGGTTATTTTAATTTAAAGTATTTATTTTATATCATTAGCCTCAAATTTTTGCTTAAAATTCCCAGTAATTCTTCAACATTCCTAAAAATTCCCAAAAATTCCCAGAAATCCCTAGGAATTTTTTAGATTTACAGCTTTTCAGGGAAAGTCAGTGGTTCTCTGAGTTAGAATTCCTAGGAATTCCTAGGAATTCCAAGTCCTGTTGGCTAAAAACTTGGAATTTCTGGGAATTTCTAGGAATTTCTAGGTTTTTAGAACCAGAGTTGTTATGGTTGGGAATTCCTAGGAATTCCTAGGAATTCCCAGTCAGAATTTACCGTGAAAATTCACACCTTTATTCCTAGGAATTCCTAGGAATTCCTAGGAATTCCAAAAGCTATTTCATAAGGGCAACTATTCAAGTTCAGGAAATCCTTCTTACATTTCACACTAAATGCTTGACACACCATGATCTTTAATATAAAAGTAAGAGTATATCACTTAAATCTGATACTTAATGTACAATTTGAATTACAGGACAACTGGTCTCAGAATCCACTCAAAATGGAATGCTTTCATTACATTGGCTTAATGGCTCTTGATTCCACTCTGAAGTGCACCTTTAGTTTTCATAGTAATTGTCAAACAAATGTGTAAGTATTCTATTCAGTCCACATACAGTCTGAACTTGAATTAAGCACTCTACACCCACAGGCAATGGCTGCCTGATACAGGTTGACTGCCTAACCCTTTATACCCTAACATCAGTATGCATATTCTCCATACTATTCACTATACATTTCCCAATTTGCTGACATAAGAGAATTTGTTTAATAATCAAGAGCTGCTTTAGTTGGTGATTATTTCCTCTATTCTCATGACCTTAATATTTGATTCAAGAGTGATATTGTAAGGAGAAATTAGATGCTAGTCTTTCTTAAGGGTTTTAAGGGTTAACACAGGTTCTACTGATACATAGAGGATATTACATGGCCGCGCGGGGATACGAATTTTATCTTCGAGTTAGAGATACTTGCAGCACTTGAAGATAATTTCCGTATCCCCAAGCGGCCAAGTAATGTTCTGTTTATTTTATAGATACTGATGAAATTCCACATAAAAGACAAATTTTTTCTTATTCATTTTCGAAACAACAAAATAGTGCAATTAAAGTTGTCAAATCTTCCTGAATGTTTTTCTGTGAATGAAATTTCAAAAGAACCGGCCGCGCGCCTGAGTGGGAAGCTCTCTTGTAATTGGCTAGTCATATTAGTAACCATGGCGAAACCAATATCCTCACATGGGAAGATAAAAATAGTATCTTTACTGCGCGCGATGAAGATATGAATTTTTAGTAAAGGGAATCGTGTTTCATCAGTATCTATATAATAAATAGAGAATAATACATGGGCGCTTGTAAGTGTGGAATTTCTCTTCGAGTGTTTAAGTCGATAGCTAACGAGTGACCGCAGCAAACGAGCGAGATGTCGAGTTGAACAAGAGAAGGGAAATTCCACATCTACAAGCAACTATATATTATTTTGTTCATGACATCAACAGAATAACCCTTTTCTGACGAGAAAAGCCAACTTTGTTGATGAATGAAAATAAAGGAATCGAAAATTCCCGGATAAAAATCGCACAGTGGGTTCGCACAGTTACTACAGCTACAGTTACTTTACTCTATCAACATGTCGTTGAATGAGTGAGTGCAACAGCGAATGGCAAAATAAAGAAATGCAAGACTGAATGAAAGATTAAATGAATGAATGAATGAATGAATGAATGAGTGATGAATGATCTATTTACAATCACCATGCTTTCGACATTGTTGGTGCAAGAAGTGCGCAGGACGCTTTGTAAACATAAACCATAATACTCCCCATCGTGTTCTCTGTAACAGACTATCTTCACGTAGTTGTAATCCTTGGAGCGTTTTTTGATTGAGTGTCGTAAAACCAAACCTCTAGCAATCACAACAGCCAATCAAAGCAAAGGAAATACCACACCCCGGGCGCCCCAGTGGCATTGTAGTTTCCATTTTTCCCACAATTAATTTGTTCCTTTGTTTTTTTTTTTTCTAATTTCCCTTTTTTTTTCCAAGGCTTCTTCCAGATTTTAAGCAGCGTATCGCAGGTCAGTCTCTTCCATTTGAAGACTTTGCCATCCGCAAGGAAAACAAGTATTTTGAACAAAATGGCCGTCTTTTTCTGCCTGGAGTGGTAAGTCCAATATTGTTTGATATACTCTTAACCCTTTACTCAGTAACATCTGTAGGCATATTCTCCACACTGTTCTCTATACATTCCTCAAGGTGCTGACAAGGAGAGTTTGTATCACATTCTAGAGCTGATTTAGTTAATGATTATTTCCTTTTGTCTCGTGACCCTAAAGTTTGAACTAGGTGTGATATTGTCAGAAGAAATAAGACGCTGGTCACTCCTAGGGGTTAATAAATTAAAATGAAAAAGAACATTACACGAGATTGTCATTTCAGTTTCCCTTTTGATTACAGAAAATATTATTTCTCCATTTATCACCAGGAGCTTCTATTTATATGGAATGGCTTCAAAGTCCTTGCTCACAGACCTGACTTAGTTCCACCTCTAATGAAACTAGTGGAGAGTTCTTTACATAAACTGAAGCAAACAAAAGGCAAGTTATGCAGGCCAGCATCGTTTGATTTGTGATGAAGTTAACTCGGAGTCGCTGTTATTTTTTTCTAATTCAGTTTTGTACCTTTGTAGACTGTTTTCCTTTCTGCATTTTGTCTTCCCGAGTTTTTCCTTACGGTAGTTTATATATCTTTGGAAATTTTCTGTACACGTTCCGAAACTGGTCGCGTTTAATCTCGAAGCTGAAGACTTGTAAAACCTTATGATACTCAGTTGAAGACCGTTGTAATGCAAAATGTATGAACTCACTCGTCTCTATCGGATACCGTATATCCTTTAATAAGCGCCCACGCTCTAATAGGCGCCCTACCCTGAATAAGCACTACCCCCTAGGCCATATATCGATCAAGTGCCCCTTTTCCCTTCCCCCCTCAATTTCTTAAATGGAAGGGATACAAGAAGAAACTGTATCTATTGACACTTTATCGAGAACATTTTAAGATTTCACTACAGCAGAATCAGAACAAGAGGACAGTTTCTTAATACACGCCCCCTCGATTAAGCACCCTTCTTCCAAGAAGCGCCTCTACCTACCAGCCGAAATTTTAAATAAGTTCCCTGGCGTTTAGTCGAAAAAATACGATGTGAGCCCGGTTTCTACCGGATTCGAAAATTCTCAATAAGAATGTACCATTTTATCTCCGCAATTATTAGGGTTGATATTCATAACACACCTTTTTTTCTTCTAGAAGAGAATGAAAATTACGTAGACGACTTGTGTTTGGGTAAACTCCTGCAGGGAATGTGTCATCGTTGCTTGAATAACAAGAAAGAAGCAATGGAATGTTTGAGAAATTCTTTTGACAGGTAAATGATCAGGGTTCGTGCTAACATTGCCAAATATAACATTTCTCTTTCTTTTCTCTTTCCCCCCCCCTCACTTTTTCTTTCTTTCAAGATCTTATGGGAACAACAACCCATTCCCATGCTCGGTGGTTAGTGCACTGGACTCCATACATAGAGGCTTAGGTTCCAGCCTGACTGGGTTACTACTATGTGTTCTTTGGCAAAGCACTTTTTGGTGCCTCTCTCCAACCCAGAGTAGAGAAAGCTGATGATCAACTCTGAAAAACCTGACGAAATGTGGTCATGGATTAGCTTCCCATTCAGGAAATATTGGAATACTCTCCCCACTTCATGCTAATTTAATTTTAAAAACTGGGACGCGTTTAACCTAATGAGACTGGCTCAGATTTTAACACCTTCACTATCTCGTTCCAATCCCTCTCCCATATTCAAATAAGCTTTGTACCGTCTCCAGATCTCTCTCGCCAATTTATCCAAGACGGCTGCTCCATTTTCTTTTGCCGTTGTTGTTCTTAGTCGAGTGAAGAGCCCAGATATGGATGTGCATACAGGTGTATGGATAGAATTTGTATGACCAGTGACTCGGTCATGTCGTGCAGTAAATAACTGCAATATGAACATGTGTATGCGGGACGGTTGTGTTTTTTATTTACAGATCAAAAGATTTGAAGCAGGATTTTTACCTCACTCCTTACGCATGTGCAGAGATTGGGTTTCTGTATTTGGACGAAGGGGACCTTGGGCGAGCTAAAGAATATTTGGAGCGGGCAAGGTATTGAATTATAGATACAATTTGCCTCTTTACGTGATCTTTCATGTAACTGAAAAGTAGTGAAAGATTCGTGTAAGCAGATCGGACTTTGCTTTAACTTCACGTTTTCCCGCGCTTTTTACCGTTCCTATCGGTTGGCGCCGGTTGCATCCACTCCCCGCTTTATGGTCGTTGTATGTTTTCCCACGCTTTTTACCGTTCCTATCGGTTAGCGCCGGTTACATCCACTCCCCGCTTTGTGGTCGTTGTATGTTTTCCCACGCTTTTTACCGTTCCTATCGGTTAGCGCCGGTTACATCCACTCCCCGCTTTGTGGTCGTTGTATGTTTTCCCGCGCTTTTTACCGTTCCTATCGGTTAGCGCCGGTTACATCCACTCCCCGCTTTGTGGTCGTTGTATGTTTTCCCGCGCTTTTTACCGTTCCTATCGGTTAGCGCCGGTTACATCCACTCCCCGCTTTGTGGTCGTTGTATGTTTTCCCACGCTTTTTACCGTTCCTATCGGTTAGCGCCGGTTACATCCACTCCCCGCTTTGTGGTCGTTGTATGTTTTCCCACGCTTTTTACCGTTCCTATCGGTTAGCGCCGGTTGCATCCACTCCCCGCTTTGTGGTCGTTGTATGTTTTCCCAAGCTTTTTACCGTTCCTATAGGTTAGCGCCGGTTACATCCACTCCCCGCTTTGTGGTCGTTGTATGTTTTCCCGCGGATTTAATGTTTGCCCACGCGCCTGGCAGCGGTCGCATAATAATTCATGAAGAATTAAATAAACAATTTCCTTATAAAGTGGGTGGTGATTCGAGCTATAGTGTAACTGGTCTTTCGGGTGTTACGGTTTTATTTTTCATCATTCATTTTTTAATTATTTAAACCTGATAGGAAACATCGTGATCATCTTTTACAAAGTTTTCTTCACTTGAGAATTCACGCAGCTCTCCAGAAGATTGAGCAGAACAGCGTATCTGTGGGAAGACCTCAAGTTGCTCGTGGACAAGAACACAGAATGAGCTTCAAATTATGAATAGCGAAGAAATGAAAGAATCAGAAGATTTCTTTGATGCTGAGGAGGAGGGTTCGAATTTATGTTGTCAAGATTCTAATTCTTCATTTGATGTAGTATGGTTTAAAGATTGTTTTCCAGTTCAGTTTTATGGATTTTTTGTTTTAATATAAAATTTTCCTATTGAAGAATTCATCGGCGAAAATCCATACCGTGTTCCACTCACTGTCAATAAGCCGAAAAACATGGAATTTTCAACAGATTGCTTAAGTAGTGCCGGGTTTACAAGAATCAAAGAGGACATTTAAGGAGTTTTACATTAATTTAAAAAGATTATACATTTTCTCTACTAAACATTAAATAATGTGATTAATAAGATTCATGAAAAAATTACTCACTCAATTACTCACTCAGATCGCGATTTACATCACACGTGACTACATCGTGAGACAAACGAAAAACTTAGCTTTTTATTGTTTAGCGAGACTTTGAACTTTTTTGCGCCTTAAAGATGTAAGAATATCATTGTATATCATTGTTTTGATCGTTCACGGTTGTTTTGACCGAACGCACGATGTCACTTGCAGGGTTTGAATTAAATATTTTTGCGCTTGATGCGCGCACATTGGTTCTGCATAACTATGATAAGCTATCTCGTATTTTTCTTATGTACATCATTAATATGTAAATTTTTTCAAAGACCACAAATTGCACAAGCCCGTAGAGCTCGTGCAATTTTGCTAGTCGTGCTCATTTATTCCAAATCGCACTCGAAATCATGTGATTACCTTTACTTACATGCAACGCACCCAGTAATTTTTCGTTAGGCATATTTTCACTCTGGCATGTTATTTATGGTGCAATATTTTAAAAGGAAACATTTAGGTTTTATATTTGAATACGCACGGTATAAACTAGAACTGTTGGTCATGTTGCACTCGATATCCTTGTTTAAATTGTGCATTTTGACTCATTTGTCGAGGAAAAAAAAACTGTTTTTTTTTATTCAGTGTCTTTGCCCATCAGGTTATTCCATAGAGTTTTTGTTCAATGATATTGGAGTCATTTTACTTGCCATGCACGAAGTTACTTTCCACTCTGAAAGCGCACTCCAAATTTTTGCACTAGAATAATCTCAAGTGATTTCTGGATGAATTGGTTGAGACTTTGGAAACTCAACCACTACAGTGATCTAGCGCACAGACTACACTTTGAAAGGATATGACCCTGACCTAAAATGTCAAAATGAGCTAAGAAGGCCTCTCCCGAGAAGCTGAACTAAAGAGCGAGCTCTAATTGGTTAAAGAACCCAGAACCTAACTGGTGTACTCTAAGGTGTTAGGCACCCACCCTCTAATAAACTTATTCCTGGACTGAATCCAACTGCCAGCCTTGACGACAAGCCCTAAGCAGTCAGGGCGGTAAGGCTGTCTTGAAGTCGGACGGTGTCCACCTTTAAATTAAAACCTAGCGGTCAGCGATGTCAATTGCACCCCTTCCCAGGCCTTCAGCCATACCCGCCCTCAGGGTTTCGGTCCATTAGCTGAGCTGAGCGTATGAACCTGGCTGGAGAACGTGAACAGCGGGTGATGCCCAGCTTGCAATGAAAACTTAGTGGGCATGCTTTTGAAAATTCAGACAGAATTATACCTGACGAAAAACAAAATGTAAAAATTATGAACGCAAAATAAGAGCGCGGTGTGAAATGTGAAAGTATGTATAAAGCAAGTGTGAAATTGATATTTTAAACTGACTTTTGGTCTTCAACGAAAAACGGTTCAAAGGATCGTGACACCGAATTTTGATAGAGTGAGTGTCGTACTTTCCCAGAAACTATATGACTTATCTTTATTGTTGTTCATAAATAGCAAACAATGCGCAGGAAAGTGCTGTATTTTCAAACGTGAAAAATCCCGCAAATACCTCCTTAATTCAAATGTTTTTTTCACTATGTGGTATAATTCAGATTTTCCTCTTAATTATGTCATTAGAGGGATTTAAGGTTGTCCTTGATGATATGTTAGAATCAGCATGGGTTTTCTTTACAGCGCCTCACGCGAAGGTTTTGAAATGACAGTAATTCATTCAAATTTTTTACAACGGCTGAGTAAACAATTCTTGTTGCGTGACCGTAACGTCAAGCGGAGTTTTTACACAGCAGGCCGGAATATACACGAAAGCGTACTGAAAACGATTCTGGTGTGAGCTTTTCGTCCTCTTTTATTGAAAAAAAGGTAATCGGCCAAAGAGAGGTTATTTTTTCTCATTGTTAACGTGGAAGTTTTCCTTTTCAGTGTAAGATGTTTTCCCTGATAAATATCAGGATGTAATTTGATTAGCTCTCGGCTAACCGTTTTAACTTTTATACTAGGGTTGAAAACGTAAATTAGCCACCGTAACGGGTAAAAAAGCTGACGTTTCGAGCGTTAGCCCTTCTTCAGAGCGATTAGAGGAATTGTGGGTTGTGTGTGGATTTCTATGCAGAAAGCGGAGCTACGCCATTGGTGGGAATATGGTGACGAGAAAACAGGAATAAATTAGTTGAATGAAAAGCGCTCGTTGATTCCGTGGGGATTAAGGGTGCTGATTTGGAATATAAATTTTTGTTCTGGTGTTTTGCGGCTTTCCGAACTTCCTAGATGTAAGGAAAGGCCGCAAACTGCCATATGCTGTTTAGAATGATTAGGAAGATTAAAGTGTCTAGCGTCAGTTGTTAACACTAAATTACCTGCTATACTCTCCCACCGACGCAGCACCACAGTTTCTTTAGAAACTTACCCCTTTATTCATTTAACTTTTATACTTGTTTTTTTCGCTTCCTTTGGTTTCAGAAGAATCGGAACAGAGAGACAAAAATCATAGATGCTTTTTAAATTGATATTTTCTACAATTGTGAGGATTCATTTTTATTATTTGTTGAAGAAATGACAGAGTTGGCTAAAGCTCGAAGCAGTTTATTAGCCGTAGTAAATTGAATTAGTCAATTAAATGCAAAGAGGGAAAATTTAATTAGCGAAGTTGGAGTGAATTTGTTTTGCCAATTTTGTGTCATCTTGGACGTTAAGTACTCTTTTAGCTCCTTAGTCGGCGGTTCTTGCTCTTATGACCCCAGAGATAGGAGCAGATCAACTGAGGTTATTCCATTTCTGAACTGCAAAAGAGACATCGCGGGTCATAAGTCTTCCTTGTCAATAACTGACGTAGAAACCGAAATCGAACTTATTTTGGGAAGAGTATCTACATCCTTTTCTTCGGAGTTAGACCTTTCGGAATTAACGATTTGTCCCCGGCACCGCTCATCCCTTGGTATTGGGTGGCGTCGAGGATCGAATCTGTGCCGAGTTCCTCAGCCAATCTCGGCGGACAAGCCCAAAAAAACGCAAAGGCAGAAAGAGGACTTGGCAAAAGTGCTTGTTATTTGATATGGAAGAAACTGGGAATTTTTATTTCAGTTGGTTCAGGTATGTATACATCATTTTTCATCTTTTTCAACCAAACAGACCAGCTCTAAAATGGCGGTCCAATCTGACACTTCAATTAAAGCACTTTGTAAGCACTTTTCTTTTATTTTTTATTTTGACTTTTTCAATAATTAAGTAGCCGTGACGGTCGCAAATTCAATAGCCTTTGTTTACTTACGTGTTTGGTTTTTCTTTCATTATTCTCACATTTTATATTAGTGATTGTAGCAGCAAAAAGGTAAATTTAGAAGCCTTCATCAGATTCCCTGATGGCCTATAGATAGTTACAGGGAGACTCAGCCCCTAAAGGGTACCTTTATCAGGCTTCAGGTGTATCAAAGGGTAGGGAATTGAAGAGTTGAAGTATATGAAAGGGCAGGAAAATCTATCATTTAAGTTTTTTAAAACAGGTTCCCTTACTTGTGTAAATTAAGACCGTAGTTGTTCAGAATAGTGATTATATCGTATCAGCAAAAACCTGCATTTTCCATCGATTCACTCAAAAGGTATTTGTCTTAACTGCCGGGTTAATCTTGACATGCAGAAAATAGGGGAGCTGCCCACAAAGCTTCCGGAGACCAAGAACCTTTCTTACGAGGCAACTGGAAACTGAGACCATTGAGACTTCTGTAAGTTCTGAACTGTCACTCAATGGAAATAGTGTTATTAACAGTGGCACCAAACGAGGCCCGCGGGGCAAAAAAGAAAAAAAAAATGGATAGGGACCTTATCATCACGAAGTCTGCATGAGCGGGTCCCGTTTCCTTGCTGCCCTTTTCTAAAAATGTAACGAATAGGGATAGAGAGCGCAAATTAACCGATTTCGTAGACCTCATACGCCGTCAAGAAATGCATTGTCAATATTGTGATTCCGTAACTGATCGACTCCCCAATATCACGTTTAGTCACGAAACAATTCGTCACGCGGAGTCTCCGGTCGATAGAGTTTAGCAGTTCAAAATGGCTAAAATTCACCCAGTTTGGCTTTTCTATTTCACTCTTTAAGTAGAAACGCAACTTTGCAACTGTAAAACCTACAAGGATTAAGAAAAATGAGTATTTGGGGATCAAATATCCACTTTCATGGATTTCGAAACTGGAAGTGTTTACACAATTACCGCCGACCCACCATGAAAATTCCTTAACTTCGATACCGCCTTATAGAGATTTCCTTAAATAACCCAAGCTAATTCCCGGGTATGTTTTAGATGTATGTCTAAATGTGGGATTTAACTGGAATGAAGTCAATTTGGAGTTATACCACATGTGCAATATTGCCGTCGAAAATCAATAACAAAACGGAGTTTTTGTTATCCATAAAACCTATTCCTCATTTTTGAATAATTTCTGCTCGGTGAGTGTCGCTTTTGCTCTAAAAGAATCTTCTAGTAAAAGAAGAACAGTGATTCTGTTGAAATAAATTGTCCAAATTTCTCCGTGCGACTTTGTTTGCGAACGAGAGGCAAGTTGATGTATGCAAATTTCACGTAAATGATTAGCCAATTTTGTGACTCCGACCACAAAAACCGATATTCTAATTTTTCTAAAAAATAAAAAGCTTTTGGCGGGAACAATTCACATCAGGTATCTTATCTACCTAAAAGCTATTTATGGACAAAAAAACGAAAGAAAGCGATTTTTCAACTCTTGCCACGAAATTAAGATTTTGGTCGATATTTCCTGACCGTCGCTCTTAAATATCGTGTTTTGATTGTAGGTGTAACAAAGGGTATGAAACGAACCACTGTGGTTCAAGCTAACTTGGTTTCGAGTTGTAAGTTTACATGTAACTTGGTCACCGTAAAGAGTTTCTAAAGCTGACGTTGCGAGCGTTAGCCCCCTTCGTGAAGGGGAGCGAAACCCAGAGTAGTTACGGCAGGATATCCTCACTGACAATAAACTGTAGGGTCGTAACACGTGTCCAGTCATGTGACCGCGAAAGGGAGATGAGAGAATACGCGAAACAAACGATGACGGGGACGAACTAGAGGCATAACTATCGACATATTGAACTTGACCCTTTAACTCCCAAGAGTGACCAAGAAAGAATTTCTCCTTACAATATCATTACCATATCAAGCAGACAAGTGATGAAAATGAAGAAAAATATTAATAAGGGGATTATTAGTTGATCCAATACCAAATTCTCCAAATCAACATTACAAGAACTATATAGCAGACAGTAAGGAGAATTACTAATGAGATCTTGGGAGTGAAAGGGTTCACTTACAAGCTAACCTCAAGGCAAAAAAGGATTAACTCATGGGCGAAGCATATTAATTAGCGACAAAATAAATTTAACTCACAGCCAGACAAAATATTTGAACTCTGAAAAAAAAAATGAAATTCGGGAAAATGTTTTCAAGTTTTATCTTCTTGGTTACTTGTCATTAAATAGCAGTTTCTTTTAGCAACAGCCGTGTAGGCGCAAGAATTTGTATTATCATTTTTTGTTAGTGTTGATGTTTCATAGTTTCGTGTTAAGTGTTTATTTTCTCGTCTTCCATTAGTGTCCTTTGTCAGTTACCAGTTTTGTACTTGTTATATTTATTTGCATATCGTATATATATTGGTTGCGCGTAATTTATTTGGTTAGTTGTCTAGTTTGCGAAAATTATCGTTACATATCTAGCTCTGGGTTTCATGTTTTCGTCTTTGGTTTGGTCACATTCGTCTTGTAAGTATCCTTGTTTATTTCGCTTTGTCGTTTTCCAGTACTTTCACTCATACGATGTAAGTTATTTTATGCTCATTCGCGTGTTTGTAATTTTGTCATTTTCAGTTACCGTGTTCAACAATGTGTCAAGTTTGTTTTAGTAAAGTTTGAAATACGAGTGATTAGCGTTTGCGGCTATAAGCCGAAATCGCTAATTTTTACATGTATCACATGTATCACTTCTACAAAAAGAACCGATGCTACGCCAGATACGAAAAACCACTGAAAAACCACTCCTTAAATGTGGCCAAGAAATGTGTGGAAACGTATTTTTCATCTAATGTAGCAACACAATACCCTGAGGAAAGGGTAAACTAGTCTGGTTGCACTACTAATCACAAAGGAAAATCAATGATTGTAAGGATATTTAACAGGGAGTCGGAGTGCCAAAATTACAACAAATACAAGAAAGAAAGCGGTCAAACATAAGACTTGACCGACCTAAGAGGACTTAATTTTCGGGTGGAACACTTAAATAATCCGAAACTACCATAATGCCACGCGAACCTGTTCAACGAGCCGCTAAAATATTAAATTATGACTAATTCGTTCCAATGTCACTCAAACGTCAGAAATTTTTTAGCAAAAATTCTTTAGTCAACAAGCGAAAAAGAACAACTGAAGTGGAGCTTGACAGCATAACGAATCTTTCCTTCAAACAGGGTTATTTGAATTGAGCACATTGTGAGTGAAGTTCTCTTTAATTGTTCGCGCACTTCAGTCTGGCATATTAGAGCCTGTGCATTACAAGTTAATTTTTCTTTGGTGTCATTATGTGCAAGGTGCAACGACTTACTTCTTTCCAAAATTCTTTTCTCGTTTTCTCAATGCTCTTGAATGATCCGGTCACGTCAGGTATCGATTTGGTTTATACCTTTCCTCGAGGATTGAAAGATCTAGAATAGGTCTATCAAAAGACTTCTAGTAAGTTTTCGTCTTTTCGAACAAAAATCTCGTCGTCGTATTTATTTGTGTATTCTTTCCCCATTCTCTCATTGTTCGCGTTAGGGCACGGCGCAACCATACTGAATACTTTGAAAAATTTGGAGATCCTGAGTCTAAAGTTTTCTCTCCATGGTTGATGTGTCGATTCCATTTACAAGACGGTGGGCTCAGGCAGACATCTATCAAGTTCAAATGAAGAGATCAATTCATCCAGAGCACCCCTGTCAGTGATCTTCACATTATCAGACAAAAAGAACTCCCTATTCCGGAAACTTCTTCTCAGGCCTTCAACCCATGTCCCAATCAGGCATGTGTCCATATTGCCTATTAGGGTGAACACAGTTAATGACGTACTCTCCGCCAAACCTTTACCTAGGGCTTTTCCCCAATCTATACACAGGTATCCGCCGTGGTTGTTGACTAATAGGGTAAATGCAGTTAATGACGTATTCTTCGCCAAACCCTCACCCAGGCCCTTTCCCCAGTCTCCACGCAGGAATCGGTGTTTGCTGTTGATTTTTAGGGTGAAAGCAGTTAATGACCTGCTCTTCGCCAAACCTTTACTTAAGCCTTCTCCCCAGTCTCCAAGCAGATATGTGGCGACGCTGTTAATTGTTAGGGTGAAAGCAGTTAATGACATACTCTTCGACAAACTTTCACCCAGGCCTCTTCCCCAGTCTCCACGCAGGCATCCGTTGACGCTATTGATTGTTAAGGTAAATGCAGTTAATGACTTACTCTCCGCCAAAATTTCACCCAGGCCTCTTCCCCAGTCTCCACGCAGGCATCCGTTGACGCTATTGATTGTTAAGGTAAATGCAGTTAATGACTTACTCTCCGCCAAAATTTCACCCAGGCTTTTTCCCCAGTCTCCACGCAGATATTGGTGTTCGCTGTTGATTTTTAGGGTGAAAGCAGTTAATGACGTACTCTTAGCCAAACCTTCACCCAGGCCTTTTCCCCAGTCTCTACGCAGGTTTTTGCGAACGCTGTTGATTATTAGGGTGAAAACGGATAAGGACGTACTCTCTGCCAAACCTCCACCCAAGCCTTTTCCTCAATCTCCCATCAGGTATTCGCCTTTGCCGATGATTGTTAGGGTGAAAGCAATTAAAGACGTACTCTTCGCTAAACCTTCACCCAGGCCTTTTCCCCTGTCTCCTTCCAGGCAAGAAAATTTTTTTTTGATTGTTAGGGTGAAAGTAGTTAATGACGTACTCTTCGCCAGACCTTCACTCAGGCCTTTTCCCCAGTCTCCATGCAAACATCCGCCGTCGCTGTTGATTTTTAGGGAAAAGTGGTTAATGACGTACTCTTAGCCAAACCTTCACCCAGGCTTTTTCCCCAGTCTTCATCCAGGTCTCCGTTTCCGCTATTGATTGTTAGGGTGAAAGCAGTTAATGACGTACTCTTAGCCAAACCTTCACCCAGGCTTTTTCCCCAGTCTTCACCCAGGTCTCCGTTTCCGCTATTGATTGTTAGGGTGAAAGCAGTTAATGACGTACTCTTAGCCAAACCTTCACCCAGGCCTTTTCCCCAGTCTTCACCCAGGTATCCGTCGACGCTGTTCATTTTTAGGGTGAAAGCAGTTAAAGACGTACTCTCCGCCAAACCTTCACCCAGGCCTTTTCCCCAGTCTTTATGCAGGAATCGGTGTCCGGTATTCATTGTTAGGGTGAAAGCAGTTGATGACGTACTCTCATCCAAACCTTCATCAAGTGTTAAGGTGAAAGCAGTTAATGACGTACTTTTCGCCAAACCTTCACCCAGACCTTTTCCGCAGTCTTTAAGCAGGAATCGGTATCCGCTGTTGATTGTTAGAATGAGAGAAGTTAATGACGTTGTCTTAGCCAAACCTTTACCTAAGCCTTTTATCCAGTCTTTAAGCGGGAATCGGTGTCCGCCGTTGATTGTTAGGGTGAAAGTAGTTAATGACGTTGTCTCAGTCAAACCTTCACCCAAGCCTCTTCCAAGGTATCTGTCGACGCTGTCGATTGTTAGGGTAAAAGCAGCTGATGAAGCACTCTTAGCCAAACCTTCACCCAGGTCTATTCCACAGTCGTCGCACAGGTATACGTATTTACTGTTCATTGTTGAGGTGGAAGCAATTGATGACGTAGTCCTCGCTAAACCTTCACCCAGGCTTTTTCTTAAGTCTCCATCCGGATCTTCGCCGTCTTTGTCGATTGTAAGGTTGAAATTAGTTGATGATGTACTCTTTTCTAAACCTCCACCAAGGCTTTTTCTTAAGTCTCCATTCGGATTTTTGCCGTCGTTTTCGATTGTAAGGTTGAAATCAGTTGATCACGTGCTCTTTGCTAAACCTTCACCAAGGCTTCTTCTTAAGTCTCCATCCGGATTTTTGCTGTCTTTTTCGATTGTAATGTTGAAATCTGTTGATGACGTACTCTTTTCTTAACCTTCACCGAGGCTTCTTATTAAGTCTCCATCCGGATTTTCGCCGTCTTTGTCGATTAAAAGGTTGAAATCGGTTGATGACGTACTCTTTGCTAAACCTTCACCCAGGCTTTTTCTTAAATCTCCATCCGGATTTTTGCCGTCTTTGTCGATTGTAAGGTTGATGGCAGTTTGTAACGTGCTTTCCGCCAAACGTTTTCGTGTTTGTTCAGGGCGTTTTCCTAAACATCTAGTAGCAGAAAGACTGCGAGCCTCGCCGTCGTGCAAAACAATCCTCTGTTTTCGATATATCCGCTTACAACCAGGCGGACAGATGGATAATGACGTACTCTTTCCCAGACCTTCACGCAGGCCTTTTTCCACGTCTCCACACAAGTGTTCGCCGTCGTTGTTTATTGTTAGGGTGAAAGCAGTTAATGACGTACTATTGGCTAAACCTTCACCCAGGCCTTTTCCCCAGACTCGGCCTAAGTATCTGTCGTCGTTGTTTATTGTTAGGGTGAAAGTAGTTAATGACGTACTCTTGGCTAAGCCTTCACCCAGGCCTTTTCCCCAGACTCGGCCCAGGTATCTGCCGACGTTGTTTAATGTTAGGTTGAAAGCAGTCAATGACGTACTCTTAGCCAAACCTTCACCCAGGCCTTTTCCCCAGCCTTGGCGTCGGAATTTGTTGACTCCATTGATTGTTAAGGTGAAAACTGTTAATAATGTACTCTCCGCCAAACCTTCACCCAGGCCTCGTATCCAGTTTTTAAGCTGGAATCGGGGTCCGCCGTTGATTGTTAGGGTGAAAGTAGTTAATGACGCTGTCTTAGCCAAACCTTTACCCAAGCTTTTTCCCCAGTCTGCACCAAGGTACATGTCGACGCTGTTAATTATTAGGGTAAAAGCAGTTGATGAAGCACTCTTCGCGAAACCTTCACCCTGGTCTATTCCACGATCTTCACGCAAGTATCTGTTTTTAGTGTTCATTGTTGAGGTGAAAGAAATTGATGACGTAGTCCTCGCTAAACCTTCACCCAGGATATTTCTTAAGAATCCATCAAGATTTTCGATGTCTTTGTCGATAGAAAGTTTGGGATCAGTTGATGACGTACTCTTCGCTAAACCTTCACCCAGGCTTTCTGTTAAGTCTCCATCCGAATTTCCGCTGTCTTTGTCAAATGTAAGGTTGAAGCCAGTTGATGACGTGCTCTTTGCTAAACCTTCACCAAAGCTTCTTCTTAAGTCTCCATTCGGATTTTTGCCGTCTTTGTCGATTATAAGGTTGAAATCAGTTAATGACGCACACTTTGCTAAACCTTTACCAAGGCTTTTTCGTAAGTCTGCATCAGGATTTTTGCCGTCTTTTTCGATTGTAAGGTTGAAATCAGTTGATGACGTACTCTTCGCTAAACCTTCACCCAGGAGTTTTGTTAAGTTTCCATCCGAAATTTCGCCGTTTTTGTCGATTGTGAGGTTGAGGGCAGTTTGTGACGTGCTTTCCGCCAAACTATTTCGTTTTTGTTTAGAGCGTTTCCGTAAGCATCTAGTTCCTGAAAGGTTGCGAGCCTCGCCGTAGTGCAAACCAATCCTCCGTAAGTCTGCATCCGGATTTTTGCCGTCTTTGTCGATTGTAAGGTTGAAATCAGTTGATGACGTACTCTTCGCTAAACCTTCACCCAGGCTTTCTGTTAAGTCTCCATCCGAATTTCCGCTGTCTTTGTCAAATGTAAGGTTGAAGCCAGTTGATGACGTGCTCTTTGCTAAACCTTCACCAAAGCTTCTTCTTAAGTCTCCATTCGGATTTTTGCCGTCTTTGTCGATTATAAGGTTGAAATCAGTTAATGACGCACACTTTGCTAAACCTTTACCAAGGCTTTTTCGTAAGTCTGCATCAGGATTTTTGCCGTCTTTTTCGATTGTAAGGTTGAAATCAGTTGATGACGTACTCTTCGCTAAACCTTCACCCAGGAGTTTTGTTAAGTTTCCATCCGAAATTTCGCCGTTTTTGTCGATTGTGAGGTTGAGGGCAGTTTGTGACGTGCTTTCCGCCAAATGTTTTCGTTTTTGTTTAGAGCGTTTCCGTAAGCATCTAGTTGCTGAAAGGTTGCGAGCCTCGCCGTAGTGCAAACCAATCCTCCGTAAGTCTGCATCCGGATTTTTGCCGTCTTTTTCGATTGTAAGGTTGAAATTTGATGACGTACCGCTAAACCTTCACCCAGGAGTTTTTTGAGTCTCCATCCGATTTTTACCGTTTTTGTCGATTGTGAGGTTGAAGTTTGTGACGTGCTTTCCGCCAAACGTTTTCGTTTTTGTTTAGAGCGTTTCCGTAAGCATCTAGTTGCTGAAAGGTTGCGAGCCTCGCCGTAGTGCAAACCAATCCTCCGTAAGTCTGCATCCGGATTTTTGCCGTCTTTTTCGATTGTAAGGTTGAAATCAGTTGATGACGTACTCTTCGCTAAACCTTCATCCAGGAGTTTTGTTGAGTCTCCATCCGGATTTTTACCGTTTTTGTCGATTGTGAGGTTGAGGGCAGTTTGTGACGTGCTTTCCGCCAAACGTTTTCGTTTTTGTTTAGAGCGTTTCCGTAAGCATCTAGTTGTTGAAAAGTTGCGAGCCTCGCCGTAGTGCAAACCAATTCTCCGTAAGTCTGCATCCGGATTTTTGCCGTCTTTTTCGATTGCAAGGTTGAAATCAGTTGATGACGTACTCTTCGCTAAACCTTCACTCAGGAGTTTTGTTGAGTCTCCATCCGGATTTTTACCGTTTTTGTCGATTGTGAGGTTGAGGGCAGTTTGTGACGTGCTTTCCGCCAAACGTTTTCGTTTTTGTTTAGAGCGTTTCCGTAAGCATCTAATTGCTGAAAGGTTGCGAGCCTCGCCGTAGTGCAAACCAATCCTCCGTAAGTCTGCATCCGGATTTTTGCCGTCTTTTTCGATTGTAAGGTTGAAATCAGTTGATGACGTACTCTTCGCTAAACCTTCACCCAGGAGTTTTGTTGAGTCTCCATCCGGATTTTTACCGTTTTTGTCGATTGTGAGGTTGAGGGCAGTTTGTGACGTGCTTTCCGCCAAACGTTTTCGTTTTTGTTTAGAGCGTTTCCGTAAGCATCTAGTTGCTGTAAGGTTGCGAGCCTCGCCGTAGTGCAAATCAATCTTCCGTAAGTCTGCATCCGGATTTTTGCCGTCTTTGTCGATTGTAAGGTTGAAATCAGTTGATGACGTACTCGTCGCTAAACCTTCATCCAGGAGTTTTGTTAAGTCTCCATCCGGATTTTCGCCGTTTTTGTCGATTGTGAGGTTGCAGGCAGTTTGTGACGTGCTTTCCGCCAAACGTTTTCGTTTTTGTTTAGAGCGTTTCCGTAAGCATCTAGTTGTTGAAAGGTTGCGAGCCTCGCCGTAGTGCAAACCAATCCTCTGTTTTCGTGATATCCGCTGATAACCAGGCGGACAGGTGGATGAAGCTTCGACATTAACCTCGTTTTGGGCGTCTCCGATTTCTTTGCTGACTCCGTGGAAGATTTTAGAAGGAGGATGTGCTGTTATCAGAAGAAGTTCTTCCTCATTTTTTATCCATTCTTGAAGTAAGATATGCTTGTCAATGCAGACCACATTACATTCATCGTCACCATGTAAGTGTTCTTCATATAACTTTTCCTTTCTTTCGCTGTGGTAATCAGTCACGTTGACGCTTGAGGATGGAGGATTTGTTTTATCGTTTACAAGGCGAGGATCCTTTGACTGGCATTTATTCAGGGGTAAAGACTTTCCATGGTTATACAGACTTAACCGAGTCACTAAGCTCTTCCCTGACGTCCTACAAGAAAAATAATTTGTACTTATCGATTGAGTGGAGGTTGCCCGGACGGGAAAGTGCTTAGCGCAGTTCAGCGAGGGCCACACTTCAGGACCTAATGAGGTAGGGTATGTTGAATCCATGAAAAATTAATTTCGCTGTAACATCCAAAAGAGTGTTATCTTTTTTGACTAACTTTGAATTATTACGTTTGAGCCTTTAAATAAATTGTATCATTTAATCACAAATTTAAACAAAGTTTTACATCTCATAAATGTACCGATTCACTTGCTTCAAGTTTCGTACGTTTTCTGTCAATGGTTACTTAAATTCCTCTTAATTGGTTACTGGTGGAAAAAAGTTCAGATCCCGTTCCTGTTTTGTTTCGTTTGGTTTGTTCTTTTTTAAAAGACAACTTTCTTTTAGAGCATCTGACAGGTTGTATGACTTCTAGAAGGTTAGAAGTAAAAAAAATTATCGAGAAAGGCTGTGCTTTTTCTTTCCCTTTATCTGATGCCAAAAGTTTCAAGCAGATCAACAAAGCCATCAGGCATGTGTATAAATTAGTGTTCTTCGATCTTTCCAAGAGAGTTTGTTCCTACGAAGATTGTACCTATTTACTTTAAGAGCGAATGGTGGTACTTTCGCCACTGAATCACGTGAGATGTTTGCCCACGGCCTATATTTCGTGGAGATACGCCACGTCCTAATTTCAAAAGTGCGATGCTTAAGGTTATTTATGATGACTAACCTCGGTGAGATGCCATCAAATATGGCGATAAAATGTGGCCTATCCGTTGGAGCATAGATCCAGCATTGATGCATTATGGTATACAACCAAGTAGGACAGCATTCAGGTTGGCGTAACACGTGCTTGCCTTGCACTTGAGGCAACATCTGCCGAGAAAAAACGTATCGTTCATATGCCTACTGCGCGTCAGTGTGATTTCTATATCTTACATCTCAAGACATGATTGAGAGATTCTTGCGCCCTCTTTACAACTCAAAAATGAAAAAAAATTCAAGTAACAATCAAGTTATTCTAAGAGCCAATTTGCATTGAAAAAGAACGACAATGCAAGCCTGGATTGCTTCTTGTCAAATGCGACCAACACTTCAGTTTCTCACGGAGAAAACTTTCAGTTTTAAGGGATTGGGTTTCTTGACGAGGCACATTATAAGAAATCGGTTAACTAGTATTGGCTGTAAAATAATACACATCAAAGCCACCAAAACCGTTAATCTCACTGAAAACCAAGAACGTACCTTCGCCCTGTATGTAGGAAGAGGAGTTGGGCCGAATTCTGGTCTCATTTGCTCTAACAATAAAAGGACAATAACTCAAATCAAAGAACTTGATGCACGTATCAATAAACTTATCATCAATTCAGAACCTCACCGGCAAAACCTAAACCCGAAGCAATAAGTACCTAATAGTTTTCGCATTACTTGTAGCCTACTTCGGACATCAAACAAACTGCTGCAGTATCGCTGCCACTGCCAGTGCTGGGTTGACAATTCGTATCTGTCATCGTCGAAATATGCTTTTTGAGGCAAAACATCACTGTTGTCTGCAACCTAAAAACCGAAAAGAAAAGAGACTTTAAAGCAAACCGAACATTTATCAGGGCCTTATGAACAATTTTTCACGAGAAAGCGTATGGTCAGTACACTGGTCGTTTATCTCTTGGCAGACAGCCTTTTACAGTAAAAAAGTTGTTTGAACCCGGGGGTAACATCTGATCGTGTCGTCTGATCGTCCTTTTGAGGGTAGTCCTGAGAAGGACTGTTTTGGTATCAGTCGAGTGTGATAGGTCGGTTGCGTAAAATTCCAGTGCGGAATTAAAACACATGGCTAACAAATGGAAAAAAGTATAATTTTAAAAAGCTGAAATTTCCTTCACTTTTAAGAGAGAAAAATTCATGAAATGACGAGTATTTACACTTGCTTGACACTTACACATACAAACAAAATATTCCTCGCTGGACGGCACAGACGAGTCAACACCCATAAATCGGAAGAGATAGAATCTTTTGTTGACCCTTGAACCGAATTCCATTGGACAGCTAACTCCAGATTATCTGACGTTGTTACGAGTTCTAGACAAAAATAATAATAATGATAATAAAAACCAAAGTTCAGGAATTTAGCAAATGTAACACACAACCTAGAGATGAAGGCCGATCACTTGGTACTTCATTCCATAGTGGGAATGATTCCCCCTTAGTTAACTTAGCCTGAATTATTACAAATACGATCAGTTCCTCACCTCTTCTTGATTGTATACGAAGAAAGTCTTCAACGCAGCTAGAGGATGCTCCCATCATAACAGCTTGGGTTTCCTGATTAACTTGTTCTACAAATTGTCCACCTTCAGCTGCGAACTTCCGACTGTGTAAACTGCTGTCTTTCATGTATTTAAACAGGAGGCACCACTTTTCATACTCCGTGATTATATGACGTTGGATACTTTCCTGTTCTGGGCCCAGGGAAAAAGAAGTATCACATCGATTGAGACTTCTCAGGTGTTTCAAGCCGGATGCCTCTCGAATGAAGCTATCTTGGAAAAGGGAGAGTTGCCATCCTTCTAAGGTCGGTAACACAACTTTCTTGGACACTGTAGAATTTACTTGTTCTCGGTTAAAACATCCAGTTTCACAAAAATACATCAGACTTTGGCTCACAGCTGCCTTCTTGGTTCCAAATTCCTGATCTTCATGTAACAATGCAATTTCGCTAAGCTTATCTGCTAGGTAATTCATTTCTATTTCGGAAAAAAAGTACAATGCGCTGCGTTAACTACAGCCATGACTACTACTGTTGACAATCAAACACTTACGTTCCGTGAGGAGGTTTTAATATACATAAAGATACAATTTTCCCAATAAAATGGAAAGAAGGAGAAAATCTTCAGTAAAAAAAATCAATTTAAGACAAAAAACATTATCACAGGGTACCTTTAAAAGTCGCCCGAGGAATGTTATCTTCAGAATCGGAGCTTCCACTCTCGCAAGATTCGTTGAACGAGGTGTCGATGTCTCCTGAATAACCATTGTCCTTTACAACATTACTCTCAAGATGATTGCCCTCTTCTTCAGTGCTGAGGCCTGTTTGGTGACAAAGTAAAAAGTTAAAAGGAATCAGTTATACCTTACTGCTCATAAGTCACCCTCCTCAACGATCCTAACGGTCGGTGGTTACTTTGGCATGAACATAATTTCACAACTTGTGAGCTGTATACATATCCAATAACATAATCTAACTCAGCAGCACTAATGTTGTTCACTCACCGAGCTGCTTTTGTGCTTCCTCTGCAGCTCTCACAAGCTCAGACCAGTCGATTGTCTGGGGGTAGTTTTGGGCTTCAGTAGCCTCTTTGGAAAATCTAGGCAGCAAAAATGTGTTTTAATTCATAGGAACTAAAGAAACACGCTATAATTAAAAAGAAAAAGTAATGTGTCCGATAACCTTAAGGTAGCCGCCATGTTAGATCATTTTATTAACGCACTTCTTACGCATGTCAACCTGAGTGACAAAAAACTCACTGCAACAGTCTAACGGCTGATATCAACCCCTCGGATCTCTGTTAGAAGTAAAAGTGGATATATTATTGTATATTATGACTGTATCTCAGCACGCTGAATAACCCCAATCTTTTTGCAAGCTTAATCGTATTTAAATCACTTCATTCCAAAGTCAAGTGCAAATGAGTACCTGCTAGTTATCTCCTCAAGAAAAGTAGCTGTCTTCTCGTGCCCATACTCCCGGGCAATAGCTTCGGGAAGAGCTGAGCTGTCTTTGTAACGGTCATAAACTACTCTTCCGGCGGACGAGTTGAAGATCATTTCAATGAATTGTTGGCCACCAATTTCTGCTGCAGCGTAAACTAAGACGCATAGCATCTGCACAGGTTCTGTGGAACCTAAATAAAAGAGGGTATCTACAATCATGGGCCAGAAACAGTCATCGAACGAATTCCCCAAACTAAGAGCACCGTCTGACAAGAACAGCTAAGTGCCAAATTTCATCCACTATTCTGCTAACACTTCTAATAAAGTCAAAGTCTGGTGTGAAACCAAAATGTTAAAATTGTTTTCACAGAGGTATAAAATCTTTCTTAAGATGAATATTAAGTATAACAATGCCATACGATTGCTTTATCGTTTCATGTTTTCAAAAATTGAAGGGTATACATGATTATGATCCATCAAATATTTTTGCTCGCGCGCGATTGGTCTAAACGCAGCACCTAACCGAATATCACTTAGCTAAACCTTCAAACCTTACTTCCATTACGAATAGTCATTTTTTCAGATTTATTTAAGAAGAGAGAGGGTTAAGTGGCTATTACAAAAGAAGGAAAACCTTTTCTTTTAATAAGGTCGTTCCAGAAAACACTCAAAAGAAAAAATCCACACTGCATACAGTAATCTGTTCAAAAAACATTTTTTACGCGCGTTACAAAATACTTGAAGGATAATAAACAAAATAGCCCCTATTCTGCTTACAGTTTTCAGTGAGCTTCGCTCGCGGAAAACTGTTAGCATCTTGGAACAGGTAGTGTCCGGGGACAGATATCTATGCATATTTTCACGCCATATCGAGACCATTTTTCATTTGTAACCCAAATATTCAAATATCGTATAATATATCTCAGCCGCGGAAATTATCAGCCGACATAACAGCCAGCTGAAGGGCTATATTTATCAAATGATGCATGATCTATAAAAATTGATTGATTGGTTGATAATAAGATTGATTGTGAGATTGATTCAAGACTCAAGCCCTGCAGAATTCTCGATTAAAGAAAAAAAATTCAACCGTTTAGGATTTCTGCCTTGATTTGGGTCAATTAGTTTTCATGAAAATTAGAAGTACTCAGTGATGCACCACTCACCACAAATTCCGGAGTTTTGTGCGTCAGCTCCACTGGCTGTTGTGTTGTTACGATTACTCAACATCTCAGAATACTTTTGAAAAAAATACTTCAGTGACTCCGGGTCTTTAATTATCTGTTCAACAGCCTCTTCACCTTTATGGTAGTACCAAATTTCCGCTTCGCCTGGCTCTCTTTTACCTGCTTGTAAAGATATTTTGACCTTTCCTGGCTTGTTGGAAGCTATGATGATAGAACAAGCAAAATCAATTACTATCATGATCAAAATTGCGGATGACGCTGGCATACCTCTCGTAGAGCCAAAAAGAGTATACAGTGTATATCCTAAATATAGAAGACGGTATGGAGTTCCATATTTTATGTTCTTGGAAAAAACTTTTTTTTTATCGGTTCCGCAATAGTGAGAGTCGTAGAACTCTGCGTTTTCTTGTTCAGTGATGGTGGATTTGATCGGCAGGTTGAAAATTTTGGCAAAAACAAAATAGTAACAGATTATTATGATAGGATACTTGAAGGAGCTAACCTAAAGCAAACAATCACTTTAAATGTGTAGAATTCTTTAATTTCTTAAAGTTGAGTTTACTAGGGGCTCCCTATTAGGCCTTAAAAATTAATCGAACAACACACTCTTGAAGTAAATAAATTACTCGTATATTTGCGACATAGGTTGAGGCCCAGATTAGACTACAGTACGTGATATATTATTACTACGTAATATAACGAGCGGAGAGAATTTTAACGCTAATAATAGCTAGCTACATATAGCAACCGAGTAAGAAAGGGCAATTATCTTTTACAAACACGATATTTGCGTGTTTTCTAAGTTGTGTTGATATATATGACCTGCTACAAGTTTTGTTATATGTGCTAGCTCTACAACATGATTATCTACATTAAGTGAATTTAATTGAGGTAAACGTTTTTGCGGGGGCCCAAAGACTATAGCTCGCAGCCAGGCAGACACATTCAGAAGTTCAGAATTTAATTTGCTCTTGGGGAATATTTGGTCCTATGCCCACCCGGACGATCAGACTACGCAATTCGACAAAATATTTCCCCCCTTCCCCCGATTTCCAACCAACTACTGTATAAGCAGTAAGAATCAACATACGTGGAATTCTCTCTCCATCAAGGAATTTTTCGCCACACCTCCCAACTTCAACAGTGCCTAGATTCGATTCGAAGACAGCAACTGCAGACTGCACATTCCCAGGTAACGCTCGAGTAGATGAAAAACGACAAAACTCAGCACCCTGAAAAACAGAAATCGATGGCATTACGAACACTAAAGCGATCAGGAGGATCACCATACCATGTACAGCTAGACGAGTTAATCCATTCAGATACAGCCAGAATTTCCTTAAAAGCTCAAGAACTATTAAGTAACTTAAACTACTTGTTTCCTTTTTTCATTTCTATGATTATAGGATTTCGCAGTAGGATATACTCATCATGGGTGATTTCCATACAAAAATTCCAATACAATTATAACATTATAACATGCATATGACATAAAGCCACCTGCATAAGCATTTCAATCACATACGGTGTGCACTGATACAATTAAAAAAATACCTCGCTACGATAATTTTTGGAAACCCTTACCTGCAAGGGAACTTTTTTCGGCGTGACACTGAAGTCGAAGTGCTCATCTTCATGTGGCGACAGATCATCTGCAGAACAGCAATGAGATTTTAAAAAGAATCATGGACATACAACTTCTGCAAATTCCCTCTAGATCGTTTGTTGCCTTCTCTGAAATTATGGTGCATCATTATCATCGTTACAGATAAAAAAAATTTCAGTATAATTTCAAATTAACCACAAGCTGCGCACTTGGCCAATTGGAAATCATTCACCTGATTACTTTCTGAATTGTAATCCACTTAGTCCTATTAACGACTACTTATAGATATAAATGTGTAAGGATTTATGAGGGTAATTTGAGAAACTTTCCACCCAAAGCTGCAAGCATGGTTTACAGCCTCTTACCTAAGGACAAGTTGTGATCAAGTCCAGAAATACCACTAGTGGTATTGTGATTATCGGCTGAGCTGTCAGACATCTATTAAAAGAAACAATGTAAGGTCATGTAATGACAGGCATAAAAACTCTGATCAACATTTAAAACAACCATCTTGCTATACTTAGACGATAAAATAACACTTTTAATTTAAATACTAATGCCTTTTCATTCTTTACATTCAACACTATAAAAAAAAAACCCCTTTAAGTTTTTGTCTATAATGCTTTTGCTTCCCCACTTAAATGCTCCCTGTAATGCTCCTTTTTTCCCCTCAAAAATGCTAAGTCTCTCCTAAATAAATCTCAATGCTCGGATATTGCTCATTATACAGATACTTTTATTTTATTCATTCCAACATTTTAACACAGTGTTTAAATGTGAAATAAAAGTATAAATGAATAAATGGAATGACAACATGGCCGCCTTTTTGTTAGCCTTGAGTCTTGAAACCTAAAAGCACTGACCTTTACACATTCTCTGCTCAGCTGCATTACAGCAGCAACTGTGGCATTTGAGATTTGTGCGAATTTCAAGTTCTGTTTATTTTTTTTGGTTATAATTTTTGTTATCATCTTCTCCAAATAAAAAATTTTTTCCTGGTGAATTCCAGGATTTAATATTCCTCTATTACAAGACTATTATTTCACTTTTTCTATATTTATATTTTAGCCCAAGAGATACATCCTACAGCCTAATCTGTGCATCGCATCGATCGCATAATGAGTTCGCGAGAGACGAAAACAACATGAACAAAACCGTTAAGATGTTTTTTGCGACCAACCAAAAATCTGTAGTGTTTAAAATTTCGATTAATTTCAATAAAATATTTATACAGACTACAAAATCCTGAATTCAGTGAGCAGCTGAATTTTTCGATATCAAAAGGGATGTAATAAATGGTTGATAATTAAATGACAAGGTTGATAATGAAATGACAAGGTAATCATTTTTAAAGTAAAATCTGGGGTGGATACCACTATGTCCAGAAGAGCAGTGTAGTCCAGCATTGGAGAGTCATTAAAGGGATACATGTTATTCTGATCCATGAATGCTGCACTTGATTCACTCGAGGTTGGTTGGTTGATGTTTAAAGAAGCCACTGCATTAAAATCATGGAAAAGAATTATTCTAAGTTTATCTACACGATAACATGTCCACAAAAACATCTTGTTTCGTTGATCTACCAATCGCAAGACATGCATACACCAATGTTTATAATGGGAGATGTAGCCCCATCTGCAGCAGTTATGTTTAACATCTAACATTTCTTCAATATAAATGATATAAACGGTTTTCTTTCAGTTTGATTTTCGGCGCACCACATGCAACATAAGTCCTCCCTGCGTCACACATTCACACCAGAAGCTTTTCAAAGAAAGGTTTAACACCCTCTCCTACTATTAATGCACCCACAGAACGTTTCGCACATGCACATCAGTCTCATCATTCTGCCAACTTACAGAGAGCAGAAGCTGCACCTTTCATAGAAATGCACCTGGCAAATATTAGTCTTAATACCTTTCCGCTTTAATTCAACAGAATTAGTTGACATACCTGTGTGGTCGTTATCATCTGCCATTTGAGAGTTCCCAGAATCTGTCATACCCTGCAACGATCAGAAAGAAAACTAGCTGGTGCCAAGCTCCGAAGTGGCGAAGAAAAATGCTAACAATGAGCAAAATATTACGGATTTAATATTCCTCTATTGCGTGACTATTATTTCACTTTTTAATATTTACATTTTGGTTTGCGGAATACATTCTACGGCCTAACATGAACATCGTATCGATCTCATAATTGGTGCGCGAGTGACGAAAACAACACGAATATAATGAAACTATTTAAGTGTTCTTTGCGAACAACAAAAAAATCTGCCGCGTTTAAAAGTTCGATTCTTCATGAGATGAGAATAAGATGAGAAGATCTTACTTTCCACAATTGTTCCACTTTTGTTTCCTGGTTTGAATCATCGTCTGCTTAAGATAAAAAATACATGCAATGTTTATCAAAGAAAATATTTAAAACCGTTTTCAAGAAGATTGCAAAAAGATAACAGCTAAGTCCTTCGTGAGAAGGCGAACCAAGAACTTTCAGATTTAACAGTGAGATTCTTTACAAATGAGCAAGAGAAAAATTGATGCTGAGCTAAACCATACCCTAGGCTACTACAATAATTAATCTAATAAATTGCCGAGAAATACCAAAATCAATGTAGGTATCTTAATAGCCAAAAAGAAAAAAAATTGAGATTCAGATCTACCTGCAGGGGCTGCGTTTTGTAGTTCTGTTGTACTAAAAATTGGGGTGGATACCGATGTGTCCTGAGTATTATTGTAGTCTTGCTTTAAAAAGTCATTCCAGGGTTCCATGTTATTCTGAACCATGAATGTTACACTGGAATCACTCGAGCTGGGTTGGTTAGTGTTTAGAAAAGCCACTGCATTACAATCAATGGAAAGAAATTTCTTTGATGGGCATAATTAGCCAGTAATATATTCCAGCGCAATACGAAAAGTTGCTGGAACTTAATACAAACACCTCTAGTTCTAATGAGCACGTTTTTAGTTACAGCTTACTATAGGCATAACATGATTTATGACAGCAAAAAATGCTTTCAAAACATGTGATATTGACAAGTTTGTCAATGTAAGAACAGCCATTTCTATGTAAATCGTACAAGTCTACCTTTAAAAGTGAATTTTCATACATGGTAAATCTAATTTTGTGACACATTTATCAACATGATAACAGAAATACAAAAACTTTTTTTGTTGATCTACTATTTGTATTACACATAAAGTATTATAATTCTACATATAATGGGAGATGAAACCCCATTCTAGTCTACCTGCAGCTGTGAAGTTTTGTGGTTTTGCCATATCAACCATGGCTGTAGATGGCCCCGGAAAGAGGCTAAAATCTTGAATTGGATTATCATTTGGGGGTTGCAAAGTATTCTGAACCATGATTGTTGCACTTGTATCACTCAAGGTAAGTTGGTTCAAGCTCGACAAAGCTACTGAATAAAAAGAAACATGGGAATGAAAAATTGGCAAGTTCATAGTTGATGGACAGTCTAACCATTAATATATGACCCAAATATGGCAAGAACATATCACCTTAATAAAAAAACCGCAATAAAGTCCTCTTTTTTTAATAAATGCAGTCTGTAATTCAATATTGAACACGTTGTCAGCTACGTTATGTAAATGGTGCATGTTTAGATATTAAAATAAATTTTTACATATACTAAATGATCTACAGCAAGATAATATTTATCTGGATAATGAATGATTTACTTGTATGATCAATTAAATCTTAACCCTTTTGCTCCCAGGAGTGACCGACAAGGAATTTCTCCTTACAACATTCATTAACATTCAAACAGAAAGGTAACTATAGGAAAGAAAATCATCAATGGGCAGATGTTACTTCATTTCACACCAAATCCTCAGAACTAGAATGATAGGCGACATATGGGGAAATTGGCACAAAGGATTATTCCAATTGAGATCTTGGGAGTGAAAGGGTTAACGTACCGCTGTACCTAAAAAGTCTGATATAACCCAAGTTAGATTTACCTGAAGCTGCAATTTTTTTCGTTTTTTTCACACTAAAACTTGTGCTGGCCACTGATGGCCCCGGAGGAATCCTGCTCTCTCGAACTTGAAAGTCACTGCAGGGCTGCATGTTATGCTGAGTAATGACTGTTGCACTTGTATCATTTAAAGTACACGTAAGTTGGTTCAAATGTTGGAAAGTCACTGCAATAAGAGCATGGCAAATAATTGTCAAGTTCGCTGGTGAAAATGTCATTGTGCCCCACTAATTATTTTCCAAAACAAAATAAATCAACTATGGAACAGTTTCCTCTTAAATTAGAGAGCTTCAATAAACCCTGATGTTTAAGTTTTTTGGTGTTGTCACAGGATAAAAACAGCTTTTCTATGTGCAGTTGATTGTGTTGGTCTACCAGTTGAAGTATATTTCCATGTATGGTTCTCATCCTTGCTCCAAATTTCCGAATTCAACGTGCAAACAGTGGACAAGGATAACCTGTAATACTGGAATAACCTATACTCGAGCCTACTTAAGCCCACCCAGCCAGGGCTTATCTCCTTTCCTTAGCATGAGGCAACAAGCAGTACTACGACTCCCCCTGGATGGGCTGCTAGTCCATCACAAGGTTCCCCCCCCCCCCAAGCATTTCATCATGCCTTCCTCACAGTGAACCAGTACCCATTTATTTGTACTCCTCAGGGTGCATGGAGAGAGGCGCTGTGAGAGTAAAGTGTCTTGCTAACTGAAAGAACACAACACGTTAACCCCGCCCACTCTTGCATCAGGACCTCTTGACACGGAGTCCAGTGCAGGCCACTGAATCTCTCGACAAATGGAATGTCCACAGCTAAATTCTCATTTTTCCAATGTTATGGTAATTAATCTACAAAGAGACTGAGATGTTACTCCATAACATATGAACATGTATCACATCTATACAAAAATAAGTTTAATCGCTTCATCTAACTAATCATTATACATATAATACTGTTTGAAATGGGTCTCAAGTAATTAACCTGATTTAGATCTACCTGCATCTGCCATGTCTTGTGTATTTATCAGATTACAATTTGTGCCGGCTGCTGATGGCCAATTAAGAATGTTGCCTTCTTGCATTGGATAGTCATTTGGGGGTTGCAAAGTGTTCTGAACAATGACTGTTGCACTTGTATTACTCGAGGTAGGTTGATTCAAGTTATACAATGCCAGTAAATTTAAAAAAAAACATGTGAAAGGAAAATTTTCAATTTCACAGACGTATAGGACCAAACTATGTTTTTCTGATACAAAGTTCACCTTCTGATAGACAACTAATTTACCTGGTGGTACCTGGTGGTAGCTATTGGTAGAATCATTGGTTTCGTGTGGTGATTCTTGTGGCATCTGAAATGCAAATAAAATAAATAATGCATTGATTTTACAATGCTGCTTTTAAATTTTAATACAATAATGATTTGCCTTGTGAATTCTGACAAAATAAATTAATCCACAAAGTAAGTTATTAGATATCTGCACAAACACAAGCTGGTTGTGAAAATAATGTGCATTATGACATAGCTAATATATTTGTATAATCATGCAAATGAAATTGCATAAGCAATTTTGCTTCATCATTATATGTTGATGAGCATTCTTATAAATATATGCATGACACCAGCAAATGAATGCCTCGAGATTTAAATTTAATTCTACGCGATTAACGACGTTAACTGCAAAGTTCACATCCAGTTTCTTGGCCACGAGTTTTGAGATTTTCAAGTTGGTTTTTCCTTTCCATACTGATTGAAATAGACCTTCATGCACTCTAAATGAAAAGTAAACTTATGGAGGTATACTTGAAATTGGAAAGCAATGGACATTTAAGCCTACATGTATAAAGAGATGAAAAGAGCTTTTGAGTGAACAATGTTACAATTCCCAAATGTACAATGAATTGTGGCTAGAAGATGAAACTGAATTTGCTGACTTTAGCAAGGCTTCGCCACTTTTCTTCAATGGCTCAAAAAACTAGAGTGTACAATAAACTAAGTTGTATTTCACCTCCGAATTCTCCGAAGTGCGCACGGCTCTTGGCCTGGGTGCCAGAGTGGTATTCTGAAATAGACTGCTTTTGATAGTGTCTGGAAAAAGCATAATTACAAACAATAATTAATACTACTATTAGTGTCATTATGATTGCCTCTATTTACAAACCCCTCTGCCTCATGGCTTATTAGTAAAACTGCATAAGAATCGGCCATGTCTTGTTTTGTGAAACAAATTTAAAATACTTTTATACACATCGGGATCCTACTCACGACGCACTAATTTATGCTAAGAAAGATGCAGAGGACTGGCGGCCATGGAGGAAAATGAGGACGCTTACGGGAAACTGCGAAGGAAGACCAATCACAAGCCCAAATTTAAAAAAAGTAAACCCACAAAAAGCCAAGAAATTCCGAACAAAAAGAAGGTATGGTAAACCGACACAGAAGAATATTATCGTAGTACAACACAGGAGCTGTTAGTATGAAGAGACCACTTGACGCGTGTCAACTCGATTAGGTTATGTACACAAAGCACCATTTGATTGGAAAACCACAGACCGCAACTTTTCGATCCCGTGGAGCAAAGGTACAATAAAGGTAACAAATCAAGGAAATGCGAGAAAATCCACAGATTTATTGAGACAAAGACAAACTAAACAAAAATAAAAGTAGGTACGGAGAATAGCAAAAATAAAAGAGAAGGAGTTTTTAGCTTTTCTTTGAGCGAAAGGTTTTCTTTGGGTAGATCTGGAGCCAGGGCATCAACCACTGGTAAATTGACCTAGACTTACTAAGTGTCAGAATTGGGCATGACCTCCCCTTACTACTACATTATTAACCGTACCTGGTGGAGGGGAGTCTGGAAGTGAAGACCCATGGCAAAGGAGTGGGTCCGCAGACCGGAGCTTAAGACCCTCTGTCGCTGTTTCGTTTGAACAGAATTGTTGAGATGTTTCCATAGCTTCTGCCTCTGCCTATAGACAAAATGATATATTATTTTATGTCTTAGGGTTATATTTAATGCATTAATAGTTTAAGTCGTGGATATAAGTGTATTCATAGGTACATATATATATATACATTTTTATAAATATATACGTATTTTTTTCTTATGTACATTTTCAGTAGTTTTTAACTTTTACACTTCGTCACTCCTCTACTGGAAACCAGCTCTTTATAAAGTTGATGATAGGCTAGCGTATTCAAATAAATTTGATCTACCTATCTGTCTTTGTGCCCTAGGAACTGGTAGACCCGTGGAATACGGTGTTTAAAATAGTTCTTACTCCTTTTGTTGTCGTTTGTCATCAGTGTCACTCGCTCGTTATTTTGCACGAGTCCACTAGCTTGGGAGCCTGGAGCAGGCGTTTAAATCACTAAGTTGTCGGTCTCTTAACAAGTACATTGAATCCTTCTGAAAATTCTATATTAACATTTCTGTTTTTACAATTCTCGTGAAAGTTTTTTTTCGTTATCTGGAAAGAAAATGATGCCTGGTATTACCTCATCCTCCAAAATGTATAAAGCTGAGTTGCCCTGTGTGTTCCTCTTTATGGTCTTTCCATCCCAAATTCGAGATGTTGATATGCATCCAGCTGGGCGTGAGGTAAAAACTTTACAAGCATAACTAAAGAGGCAATTTATAGGAAAACATTCAAAGGCGACTGTCTTCATGTGGAAAAAATATTTAGATGATTGCAAATAATCATGTATGACCAGTTAATGAAAATAGAAATCAGCGGTTTCATTTCACATGTTTCCATTGAGTAGAGCTCTTTAGATTGCATTTATGTTTTTGTTTACTTAAGGGAATTCTCAGCTTTATCTGTGTAAATTTAACGTCCATATGCACGTAAATAGGAAGAAATTTAAAAGACATGGTTCTTTAGAGCATTGTCACATGAAACAAGAAAACAAAACATACAAGCTCAAGAGGCCTATTCCTGCACATTCTTGGGGAAATGTAATTTCGATTTTCCTTACCTCTTATTAGGCAAGTAGGGAAATGTCTCCTCAAGCTTTTCCTTAACCATTTTCTCCGACATATTCCGATAAAATTCAACTTGCTTTTTATATTGTCCAAGAACGGAAGATTTTCGTATTTGTGCTACTTCACTTTGTGTCGGCATGCAACGTTCACCATCTTTCCATGTAAAATCACAGTTCCTTATCACAGTGACATTTACATAAAATGGCTTGGCATCTTTTCTCTTTTGTCTCGCACCACTTCCTACTTGCTCCATGCCCTAAAAATGACGAAGATTCATCAAATAGAAGCCTCTGTAGCCCTACAGTAGTCCAATATCATTCTGTCACTTAGACCGAGCCTTTTTTTAAAAAGCCACTGTATACTTTTTCGATCTCCTTTGCCAAAAAAGTAATATTCTGTAGTACACTGAGAGTTTTCACAAGTTAATAAATCTGCTTTAACACCGCCTACAACAACAACAACAAAAACACTAACAACCGACTTCGCGCAAGAAAATCAAAACCAGTTGAAATGCAACCAAAAGGAAAACACAAATGGGAGTTAACATTTAATTGCAATTCAGACCCCTTATATTCAAGGGTTTGACTACACAGATTTAAACATAAGTAGTGAATCTATGGATTCCGTTTAAAAGAAATAACATAAAACAAATCAGTATAGCTAAAGAGTTTTTTATACGTCAGTCTTAAAATAATTCACACTGTCGTTTTTTTTGAAGCTCGTATGAGTTTGCAATTTGACAGTTATCTATATTGTGAGTTCGTTTTTTAAGTCTTAAGACTGAGTGTTACAGCAGAAATAATTTTTTTGGGTAATAAAACAAATGTCGCCTTGTCGATTGGTTTCAATGCATTTGTAAACAATTTTTTTGGTTCATATGTATTTCAATAACGTCTTGTGGGTTAGTTTCGATTCTTTTTTTTTAGTAATTTTTTTTAAAAAGTTTTGCATCGGAATCCATTCATCTGTAAACCTAATGTAATGCTTTATCAGCCAATAAAGCAAATGAAAGCACTATCATGCAAAATTGAATGACAAAATATAGTAACAAAGAGTTTGTGAAGAGCTGGTAATTCCAATGTTCTTTTAGGGCGATGGCTTTCACCAATCATAAAAGAAAAAGTATAGAAATACGAGGAATGATCACATCGTTGGATTTTTCTCAGATTTCAGAAAAAAGTATTTGAAGAAAATGACAAAACTTTTAAGTTTGTAAAACATGTTTCGACAGAAACTTCTGTCATCTTCAGTTAATTATTGTACAAAGCGTTGGAATAAGTAGAAAAATGTTAATTATGATAAAAACATGAAAGTGTGAGAATTAAAAGGATAGTTTTCGATTAACATGGTGTAATTGTTGATTCAAAGAGGGTCGCTATCTTCGAATATGAATAGCCTCTTTTATCTTTAGTTGAAAACCGGTAAGGCGTGATGCAAAACAAGAAAGTTATCTGCAGAACACAAAGCGCGACAATGTTCAGAATCTTGGAGATGTTTGAAAATGTAAGAGGCCCTGTTACTGGCTAAGTGCCCTGGGACATCATGAAAACTTTGACTGAAAATTTTCATGGCTCTACAATTTTATTTTATCGCCGGTATATTTTCATGTTGTCACTATTTATCATAATTAGCATTTTTCTACTTATTATAAATTCAACTTCTAATGCTTTGTACATTAATTAACTGAAGAGGAGAGAAGTTTCTGTCGAAACATGTTTTACAAACTTAAAAGTTTTGTCGTTTTCTTCAAATTCTTGACTTGCCTGCTACTATTAAGACCCTTCAGAAGAAAATGTTATAAAAAAAATTATATGATGGTCAATTCGATTTGAGACTTGTCAACTTACGCGTCGTGCTGCTCCATTCTCTACCCTGCGGCGTACAAAATTTAATTATAGAACATCTCTATTGAAAAGTGAGGTCAGGTGACTGTCGGGGATAACGTCATTTCACGCAACAGTTGCTAATTAGGGGTCTTAATGAGCCACGCAGGTTTAAGATTGTAAAATGTAAATATGTTTGCCATTACATATTTTCCCGAAGGGGATACCTTTCAAAGCTCTCTGAAAAAAAATTAAATTAAGCTTCTCTGCCAAAACCTAATCTCTTTCCCATCTGTGTTCAAAAAGTTATCATATCAGCCCCATGGAACGTCGTTTTCTAGTTGTTTTGGTTAAATATTCAAATTTTTCAGACTAGTCTAATCGCCACACAAATCGGAATTTGTTTTCAAAATATGATGAGGGGTACGAGAGGAGCCGGATGCTTTCTCCAAAAGTATAGAGAGTACATGATTTGCATTTCTCAAGCCGTTTGTCATTTTTTGTGTGAATATTTAATTATCTTAGCGCAACGCGGCAAAAATAGATCAGGTGACTAATTATTTGAAAACCTAGAAGTTCGTTACGCAACTTACATTTCAAAAGTGTCACCACAGATCGCACTTCGAAGCTTACTAGCCGCATATGGAACACAAATTGTAAGTATAATATTTTTCCCGTCGCTTCAACCGAAATCGACATGTGTAATAACCTTTGTCATATTAATTTAATTTTTCAGTTGACTATACTACTACAAGTGCAAATAAATTCCATGTACGGTCATGTACGCAAAAATCAGTTAGTGGTGAAATCTTCAACATAAAGTAGCCCTTCAATCACAGGAGCGAATCAGTACATCTCATCCCCTTCCAAATCAACTTCCCTCATTCAGTGTTTCTTTGACCAAAAAGAAGACGTTTAGCCAAACTTGTTGCCTTAAATCGCACGGTAATCTTCACTCGATAATTTTCAATCGAAGGTCTGTACTTTTGGAAATGAGAATATGTAATCCACTGCACGCTAGGAATTGAAAGTCACTAAAGGTCTCGCAGCAATCTGCTTTGTCCATGAAGACGAGTTTTTAGGCAGCTACTTCGTGTGACATAAAACTGTTCACGTTATTAATCGAGCGTTGCTGCGATGCAGTATGCGAAATTGAATCAAAGAACAGAGCCAAGATGTACTCGGGAAAATATCTGATTCATTGATAGTGCAGTTTATAATTCTTTTCATCTCATCTCGGCAATAATCACGTTTAGCAAATGAGCCTATGCTCCCAAATTTGATGTAAGCGGAAGTGAATTTGGCCTTCATCGCTGCTCAAAAAGTAGAAACTGTCGCAAAGAGAACAAACTCTTTAAGCATAGAGATATATCCTCTTACCTTTAACTATAAAGAACGAGCGGGCGAAAGAAGTATAAGATTCCTATCCTGTGTGCATGTCGTATGTGAAATAAACAATTTTCCTCAATGGTTTGGTTTTTGTAATCGTGTCTAAAGAGAGGTCAGGTGACTGTCAGAATTTTTAATTGGTCATTTTGGATAATTTATGCGAAAGTAGAGGCCTGTTTACATGGAGGTGGGGGACCCCGGTATGTTAGGTAACCCGCTTGTTCATATAATCTCTTATGTTATCGTGATCACGTTTACAAGATCGGTACACAAATGACTGCAATTTTCAGTCCAAAGTATTGGACAATAGGTAAAAAAAAGCTTAGGTAAGTACGCTCTATCCTCTTCAAGGCCAGTTTTCATTTTTTGATACTCCTTTAAACAAAAGGAAAAAGTGACAACAGCTTTGGGCAAAATATCGGAAGTGATATGTTCAGGATTAAAGCTAACAGAATGAATGTTGTTAACCCCGTGAAAACGAAACATCCCATCACCCTTACTAGGCGCAAATCAGCTTGTTGTCATCCGAATACATAATAGTTCAGGTTTTTGTGGACGAGAGAGAACTTTAGGGAGACCTAAGTAATTTAATAGACTCTCTAGCAGGCTGAGTAGTTGACATGAAGTTTCTTTGCACCACGGAATTTACCATCCACTTTGTTGCTTTTTTTTTTTCGAGGCAGCTGATTGTCAATACTCTTAGACTGCATCCGGTGCGACGTCGACACAATAAGTGTTAATTTTCTGTGGAGACGGGTGATGCAAATGTTGGATACACTTCGAAATGTTTTTGGTAAAGTTAATTATGCATCTTGCTTTTTCGGAAACGAAATATTAAATTATTTTATCAACGTATTTTCTTGAAACGTGTTTTTTCAAGGTAATCCAGATAATTACTAAAATATCGCAGTGACGAACTTGTAAATGATATAAAAATTCAACTTAATCTGTGACCAGGCTTGCGTGTCAACTCTATGTCACGGGCTTTCTACAAGAAGTAAAAAACTGTGGTTATTTACGAAGTTGAACAAGAAAATGCGCGCGATTCCCCTGCGAAAAAAGGTCCCTAAACAGCTGTAGCCGAACAGAGGTATACCTCCGCGACGTGTGCCTTAAACTGGGAACCATTTCACGACCGCGAAATGGTGAAACTAAACGGCTTGGTCATTACATCTCTGTTAAAGCCCTTTTTATCTAAACGTTAATATTTGAGAATAGTACCTAGGAACCAACTTGACACAACCCACTTAAAAAAATGCGTTTGGCATATCCGAAATGGGCCTGGGTAACCGAGTTACTTGATCCTGTCAATAAGAAAAATAGTGTTTTCGATAGAGATGGCAGAAATGCGAAAACAAAAAAAAGGGGTTTGTCAAATTGGTAGGGCTTCCAATTTTGAGGCAACGGACTTGGTGAACCATTTGAGTCTGGGACAGGTGAAAATGTAAAAATTGTAGAAGATTTGAATGATGGAGGGAGACGGTTGATCCCGGACAAATTTTTCGCTTTTAAGTTTTGCCAGTTTTTTGAAGCCAGTATAATGGCCATGAAATATAAATATGTTTAACAGGATTCTCGCGTGAAGAATTCTGTCTGCAGAGTTCAGAAAACGACCAAATTGAAAAAGCGTGTACGCAAGGTCCGAAATCACGCACATACATGACATGGCGTATTTTTTGCGCCTACTGTCATATAATGTATCATTTTAGAATATAAACAGACACTTCATGGAGCCAAAAGAGCACCAAAGTCACCCCAGAATAGCGGGAAACTACTTATTTTAAAGCCGCTCGATTGAAGGTTAAGAAAAAGAGATGTTTGACCTTTTTCTTCACAATTTTCTTAAAGCTGTTGATTATTGTCTGTTTGTTTGTTTGGTTTTTTCTTTGGTTACTTGTATTACACTCATCGTCCTTCCAATCGCCCTGTCTCCTTCGCAACTTCATCATAGGTATTACGTAGCCCCCTTAACCTCCTACACGCCTTACTCCCATATTTTCGAAAACCGTCGTCAAAATGGCTGAGGAAAATACCATTCGATAAGGTGAGGAATATTTTAAACAACCACATGGCTCGCGAGGAGCCATAGTTGTCAATGCTAATGCGTTAATTGAAAAAAAGGGATCCCTATCAAATTTTATTTTGGGTTGAGGACGTATTATGTGGATGCTTTTGGTTTGTTTACGAAATTAAATTCCTCGGGAAACGACTGGCCCCTAAATACATCTCGACTGTGGTTTTCGCTTTCGTTTATGTTTCGTCTGTTTATGTCGAAGTAATCGGCGGGGAAGAACGACATAGATGTTCTTTTAGTGGCTAAGTGCACATGTCCCCTACACCTCTGAGGGAGCAGAGTTCATTTGAAAGTCTAATGCGAGTGTATTTACTCTGTAACGTTCGGTTGGAGCATTGTCACTGAAAAGTGATGTAATGTAGCTAAATTTCGTGTCGAAAATGTCATTTTCTTTGGCTTCCACCGGTTTTGAAGGCTTTACACAGACATTTAGTCTATCATTTTCCGCATGGTTACTACTTTTTGCTTCTTTTTTTATCGCATGCTTGGCACATTTCTTACTCACGAGTTTCGTGATGATGCGCAAGTCTCAAATTGCCATAAAGAATTTCGAAGGACCTCCATCTCACTGGCTCAAAGGACATACTCATCGAGTAAGTGCTGAAACTATTCATTGCTGAAAATTCTAAGCAACATTTTGTAACAAAAAAAAGGATAATTTTCTTCCCGAAATATTTCCTGTTGTTAAATAGATGGTTAACGGAAGGATTGTAAACAAAATACGAATGTTGAAAGTGATTTCCCTCATCTAAAAAATTTCAGTTGTGCGGTTACGTATGACTCATATGGCAGTATTTACTATATTGATGCAATTTGTAACTTCTATTCAGCGGAATCTGAGATGTTTTTTATAAAAACAAAAAAAAACTGTTTTAAAGCTACGCAATTAAGATTCAAAATGGTTTAACTTGAATGTAACACGAGAAGACTGTGTTTGAAAACATTTTTGAATAATTAAGATTTTTCAAGCCGTCCTGAACTTTAAGCGATGGTATTATAATGAGACTTTTAGCGACGTGCTGAACCACAAATGAGTTTATGAACCATGACTACAAATAGAGGCTATGAAATGTATAATGGCCCTTATGCACTAGAGCACCAATTAATCAAGGTCAATAATATTCAAACCTGAAAGCAATTCCTTTTTGAATGTTGCGTAAATAATTGAATCACAAAGACATTGCACTTCATTACTCTATGAGTGAAAAAGTGGTTGATTGAAATATCAAGAGCTTAAATACTTTGGTTAACTTTATCCCAAAAATACATAAAAGCATCTAGTTACTAATTAATTAATAATTCATTTTCCCTGAGGCAGTCTATGTATTAGTGCCACTTCACAAACATTTACAAAATTAAACTCCTGGTTAAGCTTTTGGGAAAATCCTGTGAGAGACATTAGTAGGTATATGGGACTCTGTGAAGCTATGATCTAAGACCTCCATAGACAGACCAGGGTACATATGGTGAAGATGTTTGTTAAAATAGCACATCCAAAGTAAGTTTTTGGAACAAAATAATGGCATTTCTTAAGTGGGATTGGACACATTATCATCATCATCACCATTTATTTATTAGCCACTTAAGATATAATATTTATACAGGTTTAACAGTATGGTTGGGTGAGGAGACCTCCAAGAAATCACCAGGCTTATAGAGGAGGCCACCTCAGTTGTCAATATGTTTGTAATTAAGTTGTGGATGAGTATGTGCCAAGTCCTTCCTTGACTCATTTCATTAAAAATCAATAATCTTTCTTTTAAAAGTGAAAAAGCTAGTCAAACCAGTGACCAATATTGGGAGAAAATGCCAAATTTTTGGATCTTGGTAGAGTATGGTAAATAAAGCAGCATGATTGAAAGATACCCACAGACCACCCACTTAGTACTGCTGTGGAGTCCCAAAGAGGATCACATCTGTTGATCAGTTTAATTAATAGCCTTCTGAGATGTTTTAAAACACAAGCAGCTGAAAACAAAAGTATTGGAGAAATGAGGACATTAGGAAATATATTATTTCATGGAAAAATTTCATAAAGAATTCACCTTAGATAATGACTTGGCCATTTCAACAATTTGAAAATTATTCCAAGAATAATAGCCTTCATAGTGCCATTAAACTGGGTGGTATACACAATACCAAATATTAAGATAAGAAAATAAAGAACTTTTCAATTATTTATATTTCAGGCAACCTTTGATGGTAATGGTTTGAAATTCCATGTAGAATGTGCTACAAAATATAAGACAGCCTACCCACTGTGGTTTGGCCCCCTGCGATCAGCACTTGTCCTTTGTCACCCAAACTCTATCAAGACTGTCCTATCCAGTCACACCCCAAAGGAGGAATTTGTGTACAGTCTAGTTGTACCATTCACTGGTAAGGACATGTAAAAGTGAAGTTCTGGTAAAGATTAAAGAGACAAAAACCAAAGTCCATCTTCTACACTGTGCAGCTTCATAAAATAGAATTTTCAACAATCATTTAATTAATCAGTCTCTCTAAGTAAGAACTATTTCCTTTCATATGTTATTTTAAGAGTGTATTTCACATATTTTACATGCAAATAAACCTGCAATAACTGTAACTTTGAAGAGAATGGCTTCTTGTAGAAAAATTTTACTTGTTTGATATAATTTTCATTTCCCTAAGAGAGGATTTTGAATAAATTAGCTTGCTGTGTGTTCCTAACTTGAGGGATGTTGAAAGTTGATTAAACAAGTCTCTTGACACAAAAATGTCAGAAAATTTTTGGAAAGACAGGCACTGGAATGGAAGGAAGAGTAGAAGTTCAATGAGTGTGGTAGAGGTTCAAAGTTAGTGGCAGGAATCAATTAAGTGAGCACCGCTGAAGCATCTATTTCACAAGTGTTACAAATTCCTCTTCCTTTTACTTATTGTTTTCTGGTTCCAGCTACAATCAACCTTTTTGGACATATATTGCCATAAAGCTGGGGTTAAAATTCATTTCAGTGCCAGATGGGTGTATAACTATTGTTTTCACCTACAAAATGGCTGGCACTAAGTTAATCATCCTCATAATTATGATTGCCATTTTAATTAAGCATTGTCATTATAATCCTCATTTCTATGCACGCTTATAGCTTTACTCTGATCCCAATGAGAGCAGGGATATATCATTTTAACCCTTTAACTCCCAGATCAAATTTGTACTTCTCCTTATTGTCAACCATACAGTTCTTAAAATGTTAGTTCAGAGAATTTAGTATTGGATCAACTCATCCTCAAATTGATATTTTTCTTTATTCTCATCACTTACCTGGTTGATATTGTATTCATTACAAGGAGAAATTATGTCTTGATCACTCATTGGAGTAGGGTTGAGAGGGGTATGTTGTACATCTTATGAATGCAGGGACAAGGCTTATTAATTTGGCAGTATCACTTACATATTTTATTGGGGTGAATTACAATTGCATGGATTTTAGCAGTAAGTTTTGGCCTAATAATTTGGGCACTGGAGACAGTTTCTGTGTAAAATTAAGGGCTGGCCAAATGTAAAATATGAACACATCATTCTCTGACTTGAAATTTATTAAATGAGACAACTTCAAATAATTTCTGCTAATAGGAAACAGTCTCACCATCGTGAATGGAAAACAATGGCAGCAAATGAGGAAGCTTTTGACTCCAGCTTTTCATGCAGAAATCTTGAAGCAATACACAAAAATATTCCAAGAGTCCACCAAAACCTTATTGGTGAGTAGTTTCTGGGACAATTAAATGTTTACAGCAAGGTGCACTCAGCCTGATGATGATGGGCTACCATTACACTAATCAAACAAGCCCCTGAAAAAAATTTATAGAAGCTCCAAAATAACTAAGCACAGCTTTTTATTTAAGCTGGAAACTAAAATTTTAGCTCTTACTACTTAATGCACTTGACTTCATGTTTTGAAGTTGAGGGTCTCTTGAATCTTTGACAAATACAAACTTTAAATTATTTTGAATTTTATTGTTTGCCTAACAAAGTCAACTATTTAAGTTCAGGAAATCCTTCTTATATTTCATGCCCAGCCAAATCCTTAATACACCACGATCTTTAATATGAAAGTAAGAGTATATCACTTAAATCTGATATTTAATGTACAATTTAAATTACAGGATAAATGGTCTCAGAATCCACTCAAAATGGAATGCTTTCGTGACATAGGCTTAATGGCTCTTGATTCTACACTGAAGTGCACCTTTAGTTTTCATAGTAATTGTCAAACAAATGTGTAAGTATTCTATTCAGTCCACGTACAGTCTGAATTTGACTTAAGCACTCTGCACCCACGGGGAATGGCTGGGTGACTGCCTGAAACAGGTTGACTACCTAACCCTTTACACCCTAACATCAGTATGCATATTCTCCATACTATTCACTATACATTTCCTAATTTGCTGACATAAGAGAATTTGTTTATAATCAAGAGCTGCTTTAGTTGGTGATCACTTCCTTTATTCTCATGACCTTAATGTTTGATTCAAGAGTGATATTGTAAGGAGAAATTAGATGCAAATCACTCTTGAGGGATTTAAGGGTTAACACAGGTTCTACAGATAAATAGAGAATAATACATGGGAAAGTAAGCAAGTGTGGAATTTCTTCGAGTGATTAACTCGATAGCTCACGAGTGACCGCAGCGTACAAGCGAGATGTCGAGTTGAACAAGAGAAGGGAAATTCCATATCTACAATCAATTATGTATTGTTTTTTTATCATATAAACACAACAGCTCTTTATTAACGAGAAAAGCCAACTTTATCAATCAATGAATCGACAATTCCCGAATAAAAATCGCACGGTGGGTTGGTGCTAAGGCTCAAGATGGAAAAATGCGTCGAATTATGATTACAAAAACAACAATGAGTGTAATTTTCAATTTACAATTATAAAACAATAATATTATTTAATAACAACAATTCTCATTCAATGACTTTGTCCTGACCGACAGAAGAAGTTTCTCAGGTAAACGGTCTCCAGCCAATCTTCCAGTTGTAGATTTTCGTTCTCAGCCGCGAGAAATGCCATTACCAAAGCCTGCACTCGATAACATTCGGTTTTTCGTTTCGTATATTGGTTTTCTTCTCTTTCTTGTTAAGTTTGAACGTCACTGTCTTTAGCAGCCGTAATCCGAAAAAATTCCGACAAACTACCTTAGATTGAGAATGGTGAATGCTTTGCCGTTCATTCTTCACCTTGGCGCGAAAGGCAAGTGACGTGCAGCAGCTGATTGGTGATATCAAACACGTGAAAAATATCGTATTTTTACACGTGTGTTGTTACGGCTTTTCTCGGGGCTGGAAATCCTTATATAACACTGTAGTTTATAGGATAAAGGGTATTATGACAAAATTTCGGGACTTTGAAAACCGACGGTTTTATACCGGGTGACGGCTTAACATGATGCTGCTTAATACAGATTTGACTGTATTTTGTTGTGAAGAATTAAGCATCTAGAATAATTGAATACCAAACTTTGTTGGTTTTTAAGTCATGCATTAACTGGTTGTAGCCTTGAGCTATTCATTTAATATGCAAATTGGGGATATCTGTGAATTAAATGTTGCTTCACATCGTTCACTTAAAATCAACATATCATAACCTACTTTTAATGGCAAAGGATGTCAACTTTTATGGATCAATTTGTTCTTTCTGAACAGGACACAAGATACATTTACAAGAAGTGTCACTGAAATTTCCAAAGCCCTCACCAAAAGGCTGATGTGAGTATTAAACTTTATGGCCGGTTATGTTAATAAAGTTTAACCGCTGTTTAACAAAAATGCGTCCCTAAAAAAATCCTCAATTTAGCTGGATTTTTCATCTAAAACATTTATTTTTGTGAACAGCGATCGAGTGGGCTGAAAGTCAAAAGTGGAAGGATATTTATTTAATTAAATCGACCCTCTTGTAGAGAAAGCCTGAGGCCCACTAATTACGTAAAGCCAAGGTTTGGGTTAGACCTCAAGATAATAACCAGCCCTATAACCTTAATTTCAGTAACAGATTAAACCAGCACCCCCCTTCCCCCTCCCCCCAATCATCTCAGAGACACAGAGACTTCCTCTCTCATCTGTCATCTGTTTTTAGTACACCCATGCTACACCCGGACTGGATTTTCAGGTGGACAAAAGATGGAAGAAGGTTTTACCGTAACTGTACTGCAGCTCATCGTAAGGCTGAGGAAATAATACGAAACAGAAGAAAGGCTCTTCAGGAAAATGTATCAAAAGTAAAAAATAAATATATTTACTTTCTTTGAACCCTGATGAATGCCAGAGATCAACGTCTAAGAACGATAGAGTAGGAGATCTCGTCTGTTTTGCTTTACAGAACTGTAAAACAGTGATTTTGTACATGATTATGCTTTCTGTTGTTTTCTATCGCAAGTTACACATTGCTTCTTCTTCAAACAGAACCATTAAGTTCATGCCCATTAATTGCAGATGCATCATTTGTTACTAAAGTCAGCAAGCAAAGACTAAAAACATTTACCAAGCTTTTAAATCTCTCAAATATATTTACGATGTTGTCTTGTGAATAAATCTTTTTGCACAAACTTAAGCACTTGCAGGAAGAGAGCTTCGGTGGAAAGAAGCATCTGGATATGGTTGACATTGTGCTTGCAGCGAAGGTAATCAAATGCACTTAAACCGTCTTCTTGATTATCTTTTTCTTATTATTTCTAATTAAGTTATCAAGGAGCTCAAGAAGTAGGTTGATTAAATACTCTCTCTGGTTTTTTCATAGGATGAAGACGGAAAAAGCTTATCCGATGAAGCGATACGAGCGGAGGTGGTGACATTTTTCGCGGCAGGTCAAGATACAGTGGCTGCTGGTAACAAGAACTGTTTTTATCAGTTATAAGATAAGGTTTCAGGCTGATCCACAAGATATCATCCTGCAGATGGGGTAGAGTACTTCACAGCTTAGATTGTATAAAAATGTGCCGCCCCAAACGGTATGTGTTTGAGTCTTTCCTGCTAGACAGCGAGTGTAGACTTGGGTCGTTATGGTCTTTAATCATGCGTGGTTTTTAAGTAACCGAATTATGTCATTCGTGCTAAACTTGCTGGTGACGTTGACACCAATGCGAAGCTTGATCATATCGCAAAACTAGATTAGAAACCAGGTCTGAAAAGGAAATACGGATTGTGTAGGCCAGGTATGAAAACTGGGGGCAAAAAATACTACAATAATAGGAAGTAAGGGTAAGCAGTGATTAGTTAGACGACACCGTCAAGTCTTTAATCGTGCGTGGTTTTTAAGTAACCGAATTTTGTCATTCGTGCTAAACTTACTGGTGACGTTGACACCAATGCGAAGCTTGATCATATCGCAAAACTAGATTAGAAACCAGGTCTGTAAAGGAAATACGGATTGTGTAGGCCAGGTATGAAAACTGGGGCAAAAAATACTACAATAATAGGAAGTAAGGGTAAGCAGTGATTAGTTAGACGACACCGTCAAGACCTTAATTTGCGTAGCTAATATATGGAAACACTTGCCAAATACCCACTCTTGGTTCAGTGTTCGTCCAAGACAATGGCTATTTACGTAATCAATAAAGGCTCAGATGGTCGAAGCTTAAAAGAATACAGTGGTTAAGACTTTTGGTTCACAGATATTTGATGTCAGCGCTGACTTTTCCTTTCTTTTTTACCACAAAGCAATTTCCTGGACACTGTACAACCTTGCCTTATACCCTGAGTGGCAAAGAAAATGCCAGGATGAAGTCAAAGAAGTTTACGGTGACAAAAACGAACTTGAATGGTTAGATACTCAATTGCACATAAATCATTCTCGCTTTCAGTATGACTGTCTGATGTATGCCTGACTTTACTTGGCGAGCCCCGTGCTTCGATTGGCTGCTTAAACGGGAAATATCAACCCATCGTGCTTACTTGAGATTGGCTTAGAGAGGCTTTAGTGAAAATGGTTGCCCATTAGAAAATATCAATACATGTCATCTGTGTTTTCCTATACCTTAAACGACTTAAACTCGGTTCATGAAGACCCAAAAGGAATCCTAGCCAATTGCCAGCCATCTTCATCACACACTTGGTCAATAGCACCTAGACATGTGACGTCTGTTTTTGAGCCAGGTGGTTCACAAATCTAGAACCTTTCTCTATTTTCGTAACCTGAAGCGTCTTAAGTGTTGCTGGCCCCTTCACCATCCAAGATTCACCGCAAGTTGCCCCAGAGTAGTTGGCATTAACAGGTCGCTTGAACCAACTGATAGACACCTAGGGTAAAGATTATGGCATTCCAAAAGTAAAATGTTCAAACTCACCACACGGTATTCAGGGAATGAAATAAGATTGCTAGAAAGCTCTGAGGCTATACTAATGTCAATTTGCTTCATCAGGGATGACCTATCTCAGCTCAAATACGTAACCCTTGTTATCAAGGAGAGCATGAGGCTGTATCCACCCTTCCCAATGTTCAGTCGCACCTTGGACAAGTCATATGAGATCGCTGGAAAACTAGTACCACAAGGTAGGGATGTAACTTCACTTCTTTTAGATTCGTTTTGGTTTAGTAGGATGGTTTAAATTGAACACCTAAAAGTCTCTCTCTGGTAAGGGGATTTTTCAGGTAGTGTATCAGAAGATGTGCACGCTTAAAAGTTACAGTTGCCGCTAATCATTCTTCTAAAGAACCTATCTTTCCACGTAATCATGTCTCTCTCGGGTAAGGTAACAGTTTGTGGCTGTGTATCAGCAGATGTAAAAGCTTACAATAACAGTTTTTATTAGTCAGTTCTCCTAAAGAACCCGTCTTTCCTCTTTATATAGGTCTTTGTTGTCAAAATTTATATTTTGCTATTCATTTTTAGGAACTTGGATTATGATCAACGCATATGCTTTACATCACAACCCACATGTGTGGGAAGATCCGGAGGTACCTAACAAATTATAAATTCCAGTTAGTTCAACTGATTTTAGTCCAGATTGCATTGTGTTCACTTTGCACTGCTCTGACTGGCCCAGATTAGAACATCACCCATCCAATCAGACGCAAAGCTGAAACCAATGACGACTTAGTCCTTTGCCTTTCCATATGGCGACGTGGCTTGAGTTCTTATCGGACGTGAGATAATTTCGCCTTGACATTGGAAAACTGACGTAGACATTTTTCGCATACTTTTGTTGTTTGTTTTGACGGAGTTTAGTTAGTTGTTTTAGAGCTTTCCTTCGCGCAAATTTGTTATCCCTTTGTTTTGAATTTTAAGAAGTTTCGGAGTTTTTGTTTCAGCTAAATGTTATGGTTCATTTAACAAATTTAATACATATCTTCTTCGGAGTTTTGACTCTAGCTTTCTTTTCTTTAAGGGAATTTTTACAGGATATTAGCAGTTTAAATAATTGTTAACTTTTCTTTGGAAAAGAAAAGGTGATTTGGCTAAAGTCTGCGAAGTAAAGGGAAAGTTGTTCTAAAACATATTGTTTTTGTTACTGATCAGAGCTAAGCCTTGTACGACAGATTCTGCCAAAGATGTTGCGCTACAATTTTTGAAGCGTAATTGAGACGGTGTTTCATACACCAGTTTTACAGTGTTGCATTTTTGCAGTTTGTTTAGGGTTGCTGTTAAGTAGACCCTCAAACGATTCAACAGATTCATTTCAGTAATACTTAGTCGATTTTTCCCACAGTCATTTGATCCACTGCGATTCACTGTTGAAAACAAAGAGGAGCGATCACCGTATGCGTACATACCATTTTCTGCTGGACCAAGGTAGGCCTGATATGATTTGCATTTGTATTGGGGCTTCACAGCACACCCTCGACATGCATCAGAATTCGCGCATACGTAATGCCTCGCCCCGTTCACGTTTCACGCTACTCATTTCGCGTTTGCCTTTCGAGTAATTCCCAAGTTTTAGTTTTATGACAAAACATAGCTTCTGATAGCTCTAACTGTCCATCTATAATGATACCAGCACGTTTAACATCTATCATATAAGGTTTCACAAAGTTCGTATATTTAATCTCAACAGGAACTGCATTGGAATGAATTTTGCAATGGCTGAGATGAAAGTAGCCGTCGCGATGATTCTTCGAAGGTAATGTACTTTCCCTACGTCATCAATTCAGAGCGCGTGTAGCAAAGTTTAGAGCGCTTTTCTGCCCGATTTGGTTTCCACACCTACCGTACAAGTTCTGGTTGGTTTGCTAACATATCGATCAGGAGTTTCAACGTGGATTATGATTGGCTGAGAGCTCTCTACGAAGCTAAAATGATCGAATCGCTAAAGGGTCGCTCAAAACATCTATCATAATTCCTGCTATTTATTCCTATGAATCACCCCTCTTCCCTTTACTCATGCACGTAACTTTTTGTGGCAGGTTTCATCTGTCCATAAACGAAGAAAACCTGGTTACATCCAAAGACCTTTTCCCAGAGCTTATGCTGCGCACAAAGAATGGAATTCGTCTGAATTTAACTCAACGTATTTACACATAACAAGGGGATTCTGCTACTGTGAACAGCACGACGCAGTTAATTTTGTAGATGTCTAGCTAATATCGCACAGTCAGTTTACTCCAGGCTTTCACTTAATTAATGGGGTGCGACACAAGAGAGAGATTTTGAACGTAAAGGCGAATCGATCCATCTCGTTTTTCGCCTTGAGCCACCATCGCGCTCCATGTACGCCTGGAACAGTGGGGGCGTGGCCAGGATTTTCGAAAAAAAAGGGGGGGGTGGTGTCACACTGTGTCCAACAGAGGGTATTTACCAGTTTTCGCCTTCAGGTTGTAGGTTATTTTCTTTGAAATGGCTTAAAAGGGGGGGTTCACGGGCACCTCAGACCCTCCTTCCCCTCAGTTACGCCCTTGAACAGTCCAGTAAAGCTTCGATTGGTCGCATGTTGATTTTCAATTGTTTTTGGCGGGATTGGTCGCGAGGTGAATCACTCGTTTGACATTAATCACGGCCCTATTCAAAACTTTTTCTCGTCTAATAGGATAATAATAGGATAATAAGAGGTACTACCGCCTCGAGATTTGCTACTTAATACAAATAACTTTTGATGAACAACGAAAACCTTGGTGAGGATTGTTTTGTTAATTAACGAAGATGCCGTTTTTGAACACAAGTCACTGAAAATAACAGAGTTCTGATTAGCCACACTAGAAGTGATGTATTTAATGATTTTCATACTCGATTTTGTGCTTTTTTTGTTACAAAATTTGTTACATATTTATGTTTAACTGTATTTATTATTGTAATTAAATAACAAACTATTTTCTCGTTCCCTTTGAATACAACAATACTTGGAAATGTCAGTGACTGCAATGTCTAATAATTTCTTTACTCGTACGGCCTTTTGTATAACTGTGGTAAAACGAAGTAAGGTATACATGCGGCTTTAAATAAGCAAGTATCAGAGCTTCTAGATGAGCCGTTTTCGAAAACCGCGCTAATCGCAACGCATTTTCGAAGGCAAAAGTGAGGGACCTGCGAGTTTGCAGGGGGGGGGCACGGGTAAACGCGCATTTGTCTTAATGGAATTAATTTTGCAATGGCTGAGATGAAAGTAGCTGTTGCGATGATTCTTCGAAGGTAATGTACTTTTCCTATGTCATCAAATCAGAGCTGTTTTTCAACCTAGAGGGTTTGGACTGACATCGAGATCGATTCCCGATCGGACCGCTAATGAAGCAACTCACCCAAATGTACATTATTGTTACGACTCTGTGCTGCGTTACCAGAGACTTCAAACAAAAATTGGAACAGGGAGGACTCGAACAAAAGCGGCAGTCTGAAGAAAATTCGCAAAAGCATAAAACCCATGCGCAAGTTCCAATATTTTAACGACGACCCTTGAAGACAGTCACACCTCCCAATAGTCAAGAAATAAGGGCCCTTCGAATGTCGAAGTGGTAATTCACCAATGCTCCTACCAAACAAAATCAATCTGTTTCTGCAAATTCTCGAGCTAGGAGTTAGCGTTGGATTTGAAATTAGGGATTCTTGGGCAAAGCACAGAACAAAGAAGTCAATAACGAAGAACTAATAAAGTTAAAGGACTCAGGTGAGGAACCAAAGAGGATAAGATCAGAGATATAAAAAAAAAACTCTTTCAAAAAACAGGACAAGAGGAGACCAGGAAGAAAATTGGAAAGGGATGGACTACAACAACTCATGACACAACCTGAAAAATGTACGACAGACAAAAAGTTTCTGAAGTATGGACAAACACGCGTCATCCATGACTGGAGAAGCAGTTAGAAGACATTGCAAGTATAACTGGAAACTGAAGAGGAGACTGAAACCGAGGCAAGCATGAAGAACACCGTTTATTGGAAATAGTATCGTTCATTTGTTGGAAATAGAATCGTTTATCTGTTTCACTTTGAGTTTGAGAGAGCCTCATCATGTTGCTTAATTATCTCATTTGCAACACTTGTTCAAATTGTCTCAGTACAAAGTTGGTGCAGAAAATGAGAAATTACTTTTTGATTGCAACTAGGCAATCATCACTTCATCCAATCATTGGACTTGCAATCACATTGTTTAAATTTTCAGTCAACGACAGAAGAAACGCCAGGGAATCTTTGAACCCAACCTACATACAATATTCTTGACACAGGTTAAGCAATTTCAGTCCAACTTAAGTCAAAAAAGGATCCCAAAAAAAGAAAGATGGACACCTGTCCTATCAATACCAAATCTTTTTAACTTTACTTATCAGTCGAGACAAATTGGTTGATAAATTCTAACTCTTGATATAAAAGACCTTTCAAAATTCACTTCATGTCAATAGCATTGGCTATTTTACATCAAAACTGTATTGAACCATAATTCTTTATATATTAACTATAATTAGGTACACTTGACTTCATTATAACGCCCATAGAAAAAAACATTCAAAGCCTGAAAGAAAAAAATAAGGAAAAAGCACTTCAGTTTGACAGCGAGTTGTTGAGTCGAATAAACGAATAAAACTTTGGTCATTTATTATCTCTATCTTAAAATGTAAACGAAAAATTTGTTCTTCCCTCTCAGGATTTCTCTAAGAATAAATAAGCTATCAAATAAGCATTGTCAAATTACCTTTTCAGTGAAGAAAGTTGGCTTAACTGTCTAACACATTAGAAAAACCGAAGGGTGGGAGAAATCCCGAAAAGAGAGAAAAACCCTTTGTTTTATTAAATTTTACAGAGCGACAGGTGACAGTTTCAAATTCATAGCTATAGTTACTTAACTTTGTCAACATGTCATTGAATAAGTGAGTGCAACAGCGAATGGCTAAATAAAGAAATGCAGGACTGAATGAAAGATTAAACTAATGAAATAATGAGTAAGCGAGAAAAAACTGAATTAAGGGAGGTACAACTACGCGTTTCGTTCTTATAATTAACATCATTGATACCCCTTTAAAACCTCACCTTTTTAGTAAGTTTTAAGTTTAATCTGAGCCTCGATTCTCCAGGCTGTCTTCTAGGGCCTCTTCTTTGCTAGGTGTTGATAACTTTTCAACTTTTACGCGAATCTTGAGATCAGAAGATGAATCTAAATTGAAGATCAACACAAAGGTATTACTTTCATGAAGCCTTATTTCTCGCACATGCTCGGAGTTTTCAAGAAAGCATACCGCTTTTAAAATCGACTTAACTGTTGAAGTAGTAATGAAACTTTAATAGTCACGCTCCTGTGCTCGTTTTCAGCAGCGGCTCTGAGCGTCATACTTTCACTAGCGAAAACTCAATATTCTCGTAACTGTCAGACGTTTCTCCTTACAGTATTGATTGCTCACAGAAACGTCGTTTAAAATTTAAATGCACAACTTTAACGTATAGAATAAGTAAATAGCATCTATAGATAACTCGTTAACGAGTGAATACTGAAACATAAGACTTGTGAAACGTTTCCTCTTGAAAAATGAACACTGATGGTACATACCAAAATTAAATTAATTACGAGAAATTTCACTGAATAATAAATTAGTCTGTGGATTCTAACAAAAATCAAATAAAAAAAATCATAAAATAATCGACACGTGGTCTAACGATAAAAGAAACAAAGAAAAACAGAAAAGCAAGGGTCAAAATAACCTTTGCAAATCAGAACTAACTTTGACTGTCTTTTGTAGCGTCGATGGAGGAGACCTGAGGTACTGTGGTAACATTTAAAGGCTGTGTAGAATTCTGTGTTGATTTAACATGTCCAGGTGGTAACGCATTTACAGAAAGTTCTTTTAGTTTATCAGCTTTTGATGCCGTGTGACTGCCATCCCTTTGTGAAGGTGATGGTTTTACACTTTCAGCTTCAAGTTCATTTTTCTTAGGTGGATTTTCTGTTACACTTTCTGTAACCTTATTAACTTTTGACACAGAGTTATTGGCATTACTTCTTGGTGTAGGCGATGGCTTGATCAGTTCAGCCATAAGTCCAGCATCCTCAAGATCTTCTTTTTCTAGGTCTTCTGTGACACTAGCACTTAAACTTTGGTTGTCCTTTTTCTGCTTTTCCTCAGAAAGGTCTGACTCTTTAGTGTCAAGTTGTGAGGTATTTTCTGCAAAGAAGGAGCAAAAACCTTTCTTTACGCTGGTCTCAGTTAGATTGATAACTAAAGGTCATTACCGATGGATATGTTCGGGACATTTCTTGAAAAAGAAATGATATGATTAAGTCCAACGTTTTCCCTGCTGCTTACCAGTATTGGTTTTTTACAATAATGCTAATGCAATCGAATTTGAAAACGACTGGTGGGGATCAAGCAAGGTCAGGATATGCAAACAATTAACAGTCCTCACTTAATCTCTTACTCCTTACTTGGCAAACTTTCTATGTTACTTTGAAGAGCTTGAAGTTCTTGCTGCAGTGATTCGATGCTCAATTTGTTGCTTGATAACTGTTCCCGTATCTTTCCAACTTCCACAGAGCAGTTGCAATAAGCAGATTTCTTGGGTGCACCGAGACTTTGTTGATGAGAAACAGTTGTGTTCATTTGTACCATTTCTAGCATCTGATGAAAGAATTGTGTGGAGAAATAAGTAACACATGCAAGGTCTCTGACAGAAGCACTTGTTAAGTAATCCAATGCAAACTGTATATATTCAGCTATCTTCCAAATGAACAAATTTTTAAGAAGTCCAGTCACATAATAGTACTCTTTTTAGTGCTGGTTTCTTCTGACAAGTAACAAGTTTAGTATCATTGTAATCTGCTGCATAAAAATGAACTGATTATCAAAAACCAAAACAAGGATGAAGGTAAAATTACATCATCTGCACACATGTATTAATATAAGATAACAAGTAAGAAATGTGCATGTTCATAAAATTTTAATGAAAGTAGGTGCAGAAAAATTTCAAATGAGGTGATAAAAGGATTGAATTTGCAATTTTGTTATTTTTAACCACATGCACTCTTATTACACCACACAATGCAATGATCACTGTTCTTATTCATGCCCAACTTATATTAAATATTATTCTGTACTTTTCCAAGGACTAATGCTATAGAATTGTTCACAAAATAACATCATGCATACAGAAACTTTTGCTTGTTAAAAACAAAAAACGATGAAACCTTAAAAAAAAAGGACAGCAATAGTTCAAGTCAGTTTCTATTAAAATTGAAGGTCATAGCTAACTTCAATAAATTTTCCCATTGTACGCATCTAATTTAATAATCTAACAGACCTCCCTTGTACTTTACTGTTTGTTTCTGAAGGCACCCTTGACATTTTTTATATCACTTTGTTAATACCAATAACAATTCTTTAGCTTGGATACCATTAACCTCCCTTAGGTTGCAATGTATACACTATATGATCAATAGTCAATCACTTTCTCTCCCTGTATTTAAGGCAAATAAATAAATAAATAAATAGATAAATAAATAATACTTAAAATATAAAGCCTTTTTGAAAAAAAAAATTAAAGGAAGCTGAAACAAACATACCAGTTCAGCCAGATTCTTAGACTGTTGGTCAACATAATCTGATAGCTTTTTCACTTCAACTGATAAATTGGAGACATGCTCTGAAAGCATGTCACTGTCTGATTGAAGGTGACCTCTTGAGGTTACACTGCTTTGGTTTTGTTTCAAAACCTGTGTTACTTTAGTTTGTAAGTCATCAAGAGCTACCTGATACAGAGCAAAAGAAGACTAATGAATAAACATACAACTATATTTGTAAATACAATTAATTTCAACATGCAAGGTATAGACCAACTTCACCTAACATGCATTAACTTCAAAGCTGATAAAATGCATTGGCTTTGACATGAAAACAAACTGACCATAAAATCAATTTTGGTAGAACATTGACAATTCTAACCCTTTTATCGATTGCTGGTGGCCTACTTTAAGCCATATTCAAAGGCAATATTCTTGGTAATGTTAAAATGAACAATGAAGCTACTGTATAGCATTTCTTTATTTGGATAGTAACAATTTTTACCTAAGTTCAGATATATATAAGTTTTGTGTTAGTCTACATCTACGTAAGCACTAAACAGCCAGTGAAATAATAAACTACCATCACAGAATATCATTGGCACAGAGCTGAAAAATTCATGATACAAGGAATTCAAGGGAGGAGGGAGGAAAAATCAGGAAAGAAGAAAAACAGTAATTGGAGAACAAAAAAAACTGCCTTCCAAATGACTATCACAAAGTAATTGTATACTCACATTTGTTTTCAGTTACTAAATTAGTGAGGAGTAATTATCAGCTGTTTCTTCGACAATTAAACAATATAGTTGAATTTAAAATCCTACAACAATATTGTGACCTAGCCCTCTTGAAAGAGGACATACTTCACTTACAACATCTTTTTTGACTTCCTTCAACAAGCTCTTCATCAAAAGTCCTAATTTGGACACTTCATAGGACAATGTCTGGTTGACGGTTGTCAGAATTCCCATAACCCTGCCAACTTTCTAAAAATGAAAATAAAAATACCCCCCACATTGGACAAGTTAATATTTCAAACTAAATTAGCTACAGGATGTAATAGAAATTGTGAATGTTTTACTTAAAATTGCTTTTAAGACAAGAAGACATTAACTACGACAGGAAATGATATAAACCAAAAATAAGATGTAAAAAAAAATCAAAACCCTGATATGATATCGTAATGAATACCCTGTACATTAAATTTTGGAAAAATGTGTACTCACTATGAGGTGAAAGTCATCTTTGAACATATCTGACTACTACACAATTTTTTAATAAAACTTTAAACAATTAGCTGCATAGTTACCACTGAAATTTGTGCTGTGAAGTTCTTCACCACTGATTCATCTCCTGCTTGTTGTTTCTCGTCAGCAATCACTGGCATTCTTAAAATAAGGGGTGGAGTACCAGTATTTGCTGGTGCTTTAGGAGTTGGCTTTCCCATTATTTGAGCTACTTGAACCTGTATAAAAGAAATTCACATAGACATAAGATTGTGATGTGATGAAACTGCTTTTGGAAAGTTTTGAAATAAAACACTCATCTACTGTGATGTAAAAAAAAACATTTATCTGAGTGCTGAGGGTTGCTAAAGCAGCACATAATACGTGGATAAGCAAAGATCTTTGAGCTCCCAGGAAATAGGATGAGCTGGTTATATGAAATGACTTCTCCCAAACAATAGCCACAGATATGTAGACTTATGAAAATGCAATCATATTTAAAATATCAACTGTTTGCCAATCGCACACAAAAAGAAGAGAATCATTCTGTTTAATAATGATGACATGGATAATACTTACTGAAAGATTATAAACATTTTTGATTAACTTTTCCATTCTATGCTCCTGTTTATCAGCTAAATCTCGTAGTAGTTTAATTTTGTCCTTAATCTCTGTTATATCGCCTCCTGTGTCAGCCATTCCTTTCTTCAGTGAATCAATATCTTTTGTCAACGTGCTTGCACTTTCTGGTAGCTTAACTTTCTTTTTTAATTCATCCACTGTTAAGTTTAAATACGCAATCTGAAAAATAGAAAAAAAAATTCACTTTGGTTACACAAATCAAACAGTTATTGAATGCTGTAAGTATGGTCCAATCACAAGTTATGAAGACAAAGTTTACTGATAGTAATACAATGATACAATGATACACTGACTAAAATATAAAATAAAAAAAGAAAAAGGCTCAATAACAAAGTAAGCAAGCTTTTTTGAGAGATGTGAACAAATGTCGTGGATAATTGAAAGGCTCAGAGCAAGAACGATCCCTTGATTTTTCGGCCATTTTTGAAAGTGTTAGAAGTAGTTGAATTTTGGCATGTGGACACTTTCAAAAATAGCCGAAAAATCAAGGGATCATTCTTGCTCTGAGCCTTTCAATTATTACATCTAAAAATCTACATCAATTTTTCTGTTCTGCAAGGCATAATTGATGCTTTGTCTTTGAATTCATTACATAATCATTCTCATTATTCTGATTAATTCACCTTGCTTTGTAAGATGGCATGTGGCCTAATTGTGTAGTTCTTACCTGCTTAAGAATTGATTTAAATTGTGCATCATCATGTTTTACGGCTTTTTCTCTGTCAGTTTCTAAGGCCTTGTACTTGTTAGTGAGCTCATTATTCAAGCTCTCATATTCCCTTGAAGTGCTTCTATCAAATGATTCCACTGATAGAAAAACATTGGATATATAACTGCATTAATTCATATGACTCCACATACTACAGCTAATACAATTATTAACACCCACATAAAAACTTCAACCTTTTACACCTTAAGAACAATATGTTTAATTTAATCTATTGGTTTCCTGAGGTGCAGACAGGGAGATTTTGCTTAACAATCAAGGGTTTCTGTACTTGTTGATCATTTCCATTATCTTCGTGATCTTAATGATTGATTCAGGGATGATACTCTAAGGAGAAATTAGATGCTAGTCACTCTTGGGGGTTGAAAGGTTAAAGAGCACATCAAATCGATTTTTATGAAATCCATTCTGCAACTACTATAACTTATAATTAGTAAATGCACTTCCCAATATATGGTAAATTTTAAAATCAAGTGAAAATAAGAATGAATGAATTTTTCAAGTTGTACCAAGAAGACTTTAATTCCTAAGCACCATTACTGCTGTGCAACTTTTGTTATTAGCAGGGTCACTTACACAGCACAAAGTGGTAACTGGAAACAAGCCACAAACTCCAACTGAATACCATATCACCTTTCTGTGCTTTAGTCCTAAGCCCTGATTGGCAAGATTATTGATTTAGGTTGGAATCCCTTTTTGTTTCTTGTGATTAAGTGCTAGTAACAGTACGTACTAGTAACAGTAGCAATACAAAAGCAACCTTTTGACTTGATTTCTTTTGACCCTTTAACTCCAAGAGGCAATTAACATATAACTTCTCCCTTTAACATCCAACATTATGAGCCAACAGGTAATGATAACACTCAAACTTAGACCAGTTGAAGTTGTTATCTTGGATCTATCACCAAATTCTCGTAACCAATTTACAAGGGAATGAGTAGAAGCAAGAGAGGAGAATTAACAATCAGACCTTGGAAGTTCAAGGATTAAATAAGAATCATTGGGTGGTTTGAGGCACTATATGTAGGTAAAGTAACTCATCCAACAAGAACAAAAATTGGCATGCAAGAAAAGCCCATATACCTACTCAGAGAGACCTTGTCCAAACTACAGGAAAGACAATACTATAAGCTGTGACCATTACAGTCACTGTAGCAAGTAAAAAAGTTTTAGCAACTAATTTTTCAACACAATTTGCCAATTAGGTGACCAATGCTTAGCAGTCATGTAATGTAGCATCATGTACTGACTTACTGTTTATGGTACATTCTTTTGTTTTGTATCCAGTAGAGTGAGATAGATGTTTGCACAAAAGATTGTGTTAATTGTGAAAGATTGTGATTAAAACCTCCTTTTCAGCATTTTTCTGGCATCCAAAATTTTGTTTCCAAGACCAATTGATGATTTTAGATTGCCAAAGGGAAACTTGACCTTGGAGCCCTACACAGACAAAGGACTGGCTAAATATGTTCAGAATACCTGATGGGGAAAACTAACCATCTTACCCATGAACAATTAACTCTTGTCAGCTGGAGCACAGCCCTATCCAAAAGCACTAAAAATTCTTTATAAGAAGTACCCTACAACAGTTTGAATTTTTCTTTATTCCTTGGCCACAAATTCTTAAAAATTTAAATTCAAGGTAACTAAATTAAAAAAAAAACTAAATTAAAAGTTGCTCAAACTAGATTGACATCCAAGACTACAATATATACAAAAGTGTTTGACGACCAATATAAAATAATTATTTGTTCTTTGTACAGCAGCCATACAAGAAGTAATTCCACTTAAAATTTAGCACCTGTTTCAAGGCAAATGAACAAAAATTGCACTTTCTCATTTACTTTTGGTGCTTGTACAAAAGGATTACTGGCAGCAGGTAGCATCAACCCATAAAACTACCAGCAGTACCTTCAAAAATACTCCAATCCATTATTTTAAATTGTTTTCTAAAGCAATTATTTACACACAATACAGTTAACAATACAGAACCTTCAGTTTGGAAGTCGTAAGTGTAAAAATTCCCAGTATCTGGGAGGTTCTCTTTGAAAAGAAAACCATCATTAATTATGTATAACTGTTAAATGATACATGTACAGCAATATCCATTGAAATCAAAACTGACATGACCAAATACTTGTGAATTATTAAGGTATTTCCGGTAACAAACGAATCAATGAACGATATGGCTGAGATTCAGCGACCAACACCAAAGGTAAACGCTTAATTAATGAATATGGGAACGACTTCCCTCTCGAGAATGATAATTCAAACCTACTCCCAGATTCGCACAGAAAACAATGTCACCAAAATTAAATTCAAGATAATTTTAGTCGAAAAGAATTCGCCACCGTGTGACATATCGGATAAACAATATCGGGATAAGACGAGAGCATTAAAAATATTGCTGACCATACTTTCTAACCACTAATGTACAATGATAAGTACATAAAACATTAAAAGATCTTAAAGGCTGTATTTCACAAAGAATCGTGACGTGGAGACAAAATTACTGAAAAAGTCGCATAAATACATTAGCTAGTCTGGAAATTTTATTTTTATCAGGGCTGAAACGAGTTTCTGTTCCTCGCACCTAAGATGTTAAGCTCCAGGAGACTTCACGGCATTGAGTCAGCTTCATCACTGGATGACTGATGTAAAATAGGATTTTTATTATAGTTCAAGAACGAATAAATCAACACAGACTATTAAAATTCTTGGACAAGTTTGGACATTTCCATGTCCACAATGAATATATCTGATTGATGCATATCTTGATGTAAGTCGCTTTCTTTCTTTTAGCAAATTTGTACCTCGAATTCGATTTTGTCTTCAGCTTACCACTCCATTCGAGACTTAGAACAAAATTACTTTTAACAAGCGCGCTCGAAGTATTGTTACAAATAATCACTACCTCCTGAAAGAGTGAGCTAATCATTACAAATCAAAGCTACAAGAACCACTCTCAACACAGCATAATGATTCTCGAGACTGAACAAATCGTTGATATTACAAAAATATACGAAAGCTTTTTAAATATACCAATAAGAGAAAAGCTCGCCAGTGATTTTATTACATTATGTTTTTCATCTTCACAAAGTAAATTATTGATGAGCGACCCTTCACAAAGAACGTTCGATGAAACAAAATGATCCACAGTAAGACCGCAACGTCACATCGCAAACTTGTGAAATGTTTTGAACGAATCAACAAGCGCGTAGCGTTTGCTTCTGATACAAATCTTGAAACCAAATAAAATGGAAACTACTAATGAAGGAGTGCCGGGCAAACACTACATTTAAAAGCTAATTTTTCGATAATTTTGAAATGCGTCAGAAAGTAAAACATTGACGTAAAGTTCGCATATTGTGTAGAATAAGTTCGTGTACATGCAACAGCATTCGCGCATGAATGGTTATTTCCGCTTTAGAATGTTAATCACAACAGATAGATTCAGCAGCATTGAGTCTGCACGCTATTTAATTCATTTTTTGGGAGGCATAACGCAGTCGAAAAAAAAAAATACTTATAATCAAATTTTCTTACAAAAGTTTTAAAATTCAATCAGTTAGTGAAACTCACACTGTGTCTGCATAGTATTTTAAAAATATGCAATCTGCTTCTGATTAACTGCAAAAATAATAAATGAATCACCCACAGCTCGAACTTACCTTTGCTTAATCTTTTCCTCATGAAGTCTAAATCACGCTTGAGCCTTAAACTAAACCATCCCAGAACTAATACACAAAGAACGGAAGCTATGAGAAGTATCGAGAGGAACACTGAAGCACAAACTCGGCAGCAGCCACAGCGCCGTCTGAAACGTTCGAAAATGAATCAGAACATCCAAGGAAAAAAAAATTATATAATGCATTGTAGAGGAACGCACTGGTTTCTCATCCTGACAAAAAAGAGCCGAGGGAGGATCTAACCTTGCAACATACGTGGACTTTCCTGGCTTGATAATCCTCTTCTTGGGAAGAGGGAATTCTTGGAGGTCAGAGTCCGAATCATCATCGTCCGGCACAAGTGTGCCATTTCTTCTAGATGAAAGCTTCATTTTCGTTTTACGCTCACTCATTCCAAACTAAGACAAGTTCCATTTTTTTATACAATAAGAAAAAGGAGAAGGAACGAGAAAAATATTAATCACTTGGTGCGTCTATCGACCTCCCGAATGAAATCATGCTCAATGTATAATGACACATAACACAAATGAGTCAAAGAGAGAGGGGACTGGGAAGGAATCACTTAATAGTTTTTTGCTGTCGTCTTTGAAAATTAAGAAGATACTTTGGGAATTTTAAATCCATAGGAATGTTTCTACTCTATCAGATTAAGGATAAGTATCTTAGGCGTAGATTTGCTTTCTTAGTCTGTTCCTTTGCTGTCTAAATAAACAGTTAAGACTTAAACTTCCTTTCACTTCTGTGAAAACAAAAGAAATATTGTTTGGACATCTGATTTTAACACACTTCTCCTTATTTGCTATTCATGTCTGCATCCCTCAATTTACCTGACAAATTGTGGCTATGAAATCTAGAAACGAATTTCAGGCCATAAAATCAACAAGAAACGGACTAAAACTACTATTTTCAGTTGCACACCAACACTGACAATTCCAGTAACATAATTGCAATCTAGCAAAATGGATGACACCTCAGGAGGGAAGGTAGGTTGGTGATAAACTAGTAAAACTCTACCATGCTTAACCCTTTTACTCTTTAAGTGATTAACAAGTAACTTCTCCCTACAATATCCATGCACTATCCAGCAAACAATTGATGAGAATACCCACATGTATCAGGTAGAAGTTGTTATTTTGATCTAACACCAAATTCTCATAACTTATTTACAAGGAAATGCACTGCAGCTTGAGGGGAGAATTGACAATCAGATCTTGGGAGTTAAAGGGTTAATACAACCCTCTCCCTTGATAGTTATTTCCCCTCCTTCCAGTCATGTGTCTACTTTAAAATCCATCTTAAAATGGCTGCCACACATTTTTCAGAGAAGTGCACAATATTTATGCACCAAAAATGCACCTAAACTTAAGCTTAGCATTAGAAAAAGTACCAATTCATAGAAGAGTAAGTAAGGTTCTCTTTCCAAAATAGTTCCAACTATCATTGTGTTTTTTGTCCCTCTTTTTTCTTCTGCCTACCCATGCATCAATATTTGTATCTTGTGCTATTCATGGTACTAATAATATAATTTCTTCAAAATAATTTTTCCCAATAATGTGAGTAAAAAGCCTTTAAAAATGGAAGCTCCAATGGCTTTTTTTTTTTGTAACAAGGAAAATATAGGCACAAGGATACTGTTTCTTCTCTCTACTCTGCTTAAAGTGTATAAAAGGTTTTCTTCTAGTACATGCACCCAACACAGTAATGAAGGTCGTTTTCACATTTTAAGACACATGATCACTTTCTTCTGCATTTCTATGATAAATATGTACATGATCTATTCTGGTGATGAACTGATTGAATAATGCTGAAATAATTAATGCACACCAATAAATAGGAATTTTTGTCAAGTGACGCACTAGAACTTAGATAATGAGCCCTGTGGTGTTCTCAATAATGTTGTCAGTGTTAATAGCACAAGCTTGTGAGAGAGTTATTTCTGTGTGGAATTACCATCAAATTGAAGGTCAGCTTCAATAGAAAAGATTGAGGCAAAATTTAAGAAGTTGTGTGATATCATCAACTTAAATAGCTGGCCCCAGTCCAGAAAAAAAGAGTAAAAGAAAAAGAAGATAACAAAGGCATTTGGGGATGGTATCTGTTAACCCTTAAATTCCCATAAGTGACCAAGACAGAATTTCTCCTTACAATATCAATACAATATCAATCAGACAGGTGATGAGAATATAGAAAAATGTAAGTTTAAGGATTTTCTAGTTGATTCAGTACCAAATTCTCAGAACTAGCATCACAGGAATTGTATGGCAGACAATAAGAAGAATTACTAATGAGATCTTGGGTGTTAAAGGGTTAAAGTTCTAACTAGCATCAGTGTGTTGGGCTCTTAGGAAAGACTCTTGACTTAGTGCCTTACTCCATTCAGGAGCTGATCTTTAAGAAAAATTACCAAGTGCCTGAAGGCTCTGGTCAAGGAAATCTAAGAAATTCATATGATTTGCTGAAAAAGGGACATGAATGTGAACCAATAACTCGTCAGAAAACCTAACAAAATGCCACAGGGTAGCCTGTAATATTATCATCTAATCCAGGGGAGGTGGCAATACTCTTAAATCCTCAATGCTATAGAAGCTGGGATGAGTTAAAACTAAAACAGTGAATGCTTTCATCCAATTCTGACAGGTCAGTTGTGCACTGACCAAAACACAATGGAGATTGGAACAAGCAAGAAAACCCCAAAATAACAAAATTATTACAGTAACTGTAGCTATTGGCTGTTCTGTTTTTTTTTTAACACCTGAGTGACTTTTTTTGAAACACATCAACATTCAATGAATATTTCTACTTTACAAGGCTTTTTCAGTATCAGGGTAAAGCTAAACTGATATTTATTTCTTAACCCTTAAACTGCCCCAGTGACCTAAACAGAATTTCTTCTTACACCAACAGTACATCATCAAACGTGACAGGAATAAGGAAAATTTCAAATAGGGGATTAATGGTTGATCCAATTCCAAATTCTCTTAACTAATATCATATGCATTGTTTGGCAGACAGTGAGGAGAATTACTGATGAGAACTTGGGAGTGAAAGGGTTACTTCAGAGTTTATAGCAAATATTATTATGACTGGTAAACTACAAGGCAAGGGTGCTAACTTACATGAAGTGATCCTTTTTTTCATTGACTCTAGTGATGTCTTCAGTATTATAGTGAACCACATCATGGAGATCATTGTTCCAACAGTGAACAGAACAAAGATCACCTGCAGAGCATTCCATGGTGAATAGCAAGTTTTTGATTGTGAAGGAACATGAATTTTCCTAGAACATAATAATAGAAAGAGCAATTTAACATAATTCATCTTAAATTAACTGTAAACTGAGAAAGGGCTACAGTGGCAGCTTGATAATCAAATATAATGCCTCAATGATTCTGGTTCAAATAGTTACTGTTAGTAGTGACTGTCAAGAGTTAGACAAAAAACATTAAAACAATAAATTTTCAGAGTGCACTGTTCTTAACACTTCCATGGGGGAAATAAATTCCTTATACTACCCATGATCACTCTTAGGACTGTCTCTGCCATTTACAGATGCGTAATATACCACTGTAACAATGATTTGGAATAGAATATACCACTGACTCGGGGGTTCCAAGATAAATCAAACCTTCACACCCTAACATCAGTAAAGGTATTCTTCATACTGTTCCTTATAGATTCCCAAAGGTGCTGACATGGAGAATTCTGCAACAATCAACAGCTTCTTTTGCTGCTGATAATTTTCTTTATTCTCAAGACCTTACTGCATGATTCAGAGGTGATATTGTAAGGAAAAATTAAATGCTAGTCACAGAGGTTAAAGGGTTTACAGATAGAAAGTACACTCTCATACTTATCATTTATCTATTGCTTTTCTCCCACCTGAATGCCCAGCTAAATATACAAATTAAACAGTGTGCATTTTTTGGTAGAAATCTAATCAAGACATATATAAAAAAGAAATTGCCACATATACAATAAAAAATTATCAAATACTCATGAAAAATTTTGGTGGCTAGTAAGATGCGGTGTTTCATCTCCACCACTACAGCCTTCAGAATACATGTAAAATTTGTACTATAAACTCTACCAAACCCAAATAGAAGATAATACAACTTTCAGTTTCAGGAAAGAGGAAAGGGGTCTTATTAGAAACTAAAAGTTCTCTCTGAGAAGGTGATTTATTACATCAGTGTTTATCACATTCAAAAGAAGGAAAGTCTGACAATATTTGCATCATACTGCTAACTTAAAGCTGGGTGTTAACCTCTTCACAAGCATAACACATAGCCTGTATAGGTGGCTGATGTATAAATGCTACATGAATATAAAATGAACGTTGTAAGCCAATGTAAACAATCATTTTTGGATGTATTGTGTGTATGAAATAAACCTATCCGATGTACAGCAATCATTTAGGTAGACCTAAATTATATGTGACAAATGTACTTTTCCAACATCAAAACATTTCAAGGATATCTCAAACTACACTCAAATCAAGTAAAAGAAACAACTCTATGTATTTGTGGTGAATCTGTTGTGGTCCAATTCTTTTTCTTTTCCTTTTGTTTCAGATTATAATAACAAGTGCAAGGCAAAGGAAATAAACAAAACTTAAAGGTAAAAATGAAACTGAAAAAAAAACAAAGAAAATGAACCAAAGATAAGTTTGTAAAGAAAAAAAACCTACCGCACGAATAAAATTTATGTCAGCCTTAAAATCAATCGATCGTTTGTAAATATTACATTAATGTGCCATCGACATGTAATTGTAGCAGAAACAATACCTACCGTAATAATTTATTGGAGAAGAATCCCTTGAATGATGGGTTACTTACATGAACTAAACTATAATATATATGTGATAAAATCTGATAACTCTTTAAAAAAATCTGGCAAGTTGAATTCGTAAGCGTCGATAGGTTGCAAAAACTGTCAAGAGTTCCATCGATCTTCGTTGAAGTCCGGTCAGCTGTGCACTGTATTTTTAAATATGATATTTAATACAAAAACTTAAATGATATATGCTGTAATACCTGGATCTTGGACGTCGAAGTCGAGTCGGTGGTAAATCCAACGGTTGAACATTGTCATCAGATTCACTGCTTCGCCCAACACCACCGCGATCTTCTGCGGAATTGTATGAAATCAACAATGACTCCTCTTTATTACGCTTCGCCTTCTTCGCACTCATGTCGGTTTCTTGTTAACTCTTAACTCGCCGATGTTCGATTTCTCGCCATTACAATCAATCATTATATTATGGATGGAGGAATCTTGTTTTCCGCTCAATTGAAGAATGCCGAAAATTGCTAATTACGATTTACAGGATTTGCAACATTCATAACTCTTCTTTCCAAGATCACTACGACGCCTTTGTTAGCCCAAAGGTAAGGCAAAAAATGTTTCCCAATAGAGAAAATCGTTTTGAAAGAAATGACTTCTTCAAGATGGTTATTGATGAACGAAACCAAGAACGCTTGGAGTATCCGACAGCCTTCAAACTTTGGTCTCTCTTTCACGTCATGAACGGCTGATCCCACAGGGGAGGGGTAGGTTCTTCATCGCACAAACGGCACGACGCCCTAAGAAAGTATTTTAAAATAACTAATTTCTATTGATGTATCTCACAACATTAACGTCGACATTTCCTGCTAATATTTCAGATATCCGAACACTTTCTGTGTTCCAAAAAATTGTGTCATTCACAGTACTTGACACACAGAAATCATAAATTCATTGAAAACGAAAAACATAAAAAAGGTGTACAGCAGCTTTGACAGCAAAACTCGATGTGATTCACTAGAATGTTAAATGTACTCTGCTAAATTTTCAAGCTTGGAGATGTCGCGCTTATATGAGAAAGAACCATACCGAAATGTATTCACAGCATTTTTCTTGGAAGCCTTCCAAGACACACTGTAATGAATGTTCCCTCCCCACTCATGGTGAGTTAATTTTTGGCCAAATGATACATTTTATCGTTTCCCAAATTTCACGGACACCGCGTCCTATCGCTTAAGTCCCCAGATTGTAACAGTTTTTCGGGTGTTCTAGTCGTGTAAGAGTTTCCTCCCTTGAAATTGGCAATTTACATATTGGGTATAAAGAAAAAAAAAAAAAGGGAAGATCTATGTCTACCCCCGCAAGGACTCTTTTTGCCGTTCTAATAATGTTTCCTTACTTGGCAGATGGCCATAGTCTTGAAGACAGTTGGGTAACATTTTGATTTTCTTCCAAAGGGGCAAGGAAACAGTGTTGAGAGGAACAAGATAAACTTTATTCGACTGGAAGTTCGAAAGTGCCGTCATAAAAAGGGGAGATTATGGTTCACATTGGTAGGAATCGACTACAGAGCCTACACCTGAGGTTATTTCAACAGGTCTCTCCACAAGGAGGTCATTCCACATTCATCAAGGGAGCGCTTTGGTGAGAGTCATTTTGTTTATTTTACACACACAGCTTGGATATTCGAATGTTTCATTTTTTCATTCTAGCAAAATAGCAGGTTGCTTTAGTTTGAAAAGTGATAAAATAGTTGGTGTTGCATGCGCATCCATCGCCCGGCTCGCGAACAAAAATTCCTTATTCTCAACATTTTTGAAATAAGACCGCACTTTTAGTTAAAAAGGGACTGCGTAAAAACCTTTCATCACGTTCAGGAATTGTGCAGAAATTTTACTTGGTTCTTTAGGAAAATGGAAAAAAGTCGAAATTCGTGGATTGAGTAGCAGTAAGCTTACTTCAAACCTTTGTAGAAGAAACATTAGATTACTTTGTATGTATGCATACCTGTGTCGAGCATTTAATCAGTATTAAATTCTTGATATTTTGGAAATATTCGGATAATGTATTTCAAAAACATTTGTGTAGAGGACTGAGAACTGAACATGTCGTGGATATTTTATAAGTGTCAAGAATAAGTATCCATGAACTTTAAAGAATGTAGCAGATTTAACAGTTGCAGAAGAAAAAGAAAGACCAGTTTATGTAACCGAACGAGACGTTTTGGGCCACACTTCAAAATTAATACTTATTTCCTTCCTGGCTTAACCGTAATCGGATCCTTTACCCTCATAACAAGAGGAAAGGCAGTGAAGTTACAACTGATAAGTTATGCAGTAGATTTCATGAAATTATTACTATTAAAGCTTTATATCATATAACTTTGAAAAGAGATTAACAAGAGCATACAAAGTCTTAAAAATATGCTGCAGGCAGAAAAAGGGTAATGTTATCCCATTCATGCAATGAAAATTAATTGCATTCATCGAAAATGAATTACAGCCTTATTGCAAGCATAGGAAGTTTTAGCGTAAAACAAAATATTCCTTGATACGATAAGTAGTTCCAGAGTTTCCATATGGGTAGCTGAATCCAGAAAAGCTGAATTATCCATTCTGCTTTAGAAAAATGGAAATTTAATCTGTCTAGTCAATAAGGAATGCACACAACAAAAGGTTATCAAATAATGCACAAAGTATTAAATGTGTTAGTTGTGGATGTGAACTATTCTGCAGAGACACAACAAATGCAAAAGTGATCATTGCCATTTCCTACTTTGAATCTTGCCAACCAATTCTCCAGTATGAAAAAAAGCAATTCGCTAATTATTCCTGGGTGGTTTTAGTTCGAAAGGCGTGACAATAGGGCGAGCCTGGTTCTTGTGTGTCCTGCTGCTCATTACTGAGATCAAAATACACTTTGCATCAAGTTGCTGCAGCATTTCTATGCCACTGACCACTCCATACATTTGCAGGCTAACCCTTTTTCTTGCAGTTCTTGTATACATGAACTCAAAACAGTCATATTCGAGCAACGAGTCTCAGGAAAAAAAGTTTGCCTCAATGGGAAAAATATTTTTTACAAAAATTCTCCATTTGGCAAACAGGAAATTGTTTATGCAACTTGTCTTGGCATCCTATTCAAGGCATTTATTGCCTAATGTCATGACCTTTAAGAAAACTAGTCAGTGGCAGATCTACACATGAGGCCTGTGTTTTTTAGGAGATCTTTTACAACGAAGAAGAAGAGCAAGAAGCTAAGACTCCCTTTAGGGCTCAAATTCTACCCAACTCTAGCAATAAATTTGTGTGAAAATTGCACTTCATAGAACCAAGTAATGGTACTTTATTTACCATAGTATTTTGAGGTGACCTCTCTACCATAATTGTTAGTATTGCCTCGTATATGCTCTCCTGCTTTCTGGTGTTCATGAGAAATAATAAACAATTAAAGCAATGTAACATTTAATTAGCACAACGACTATCATTGCATATTTCAAGGACAATGCAATTTCTCCAAGTCTATAGATTTTTTTCTTTTTACAAACAGTACAACGCCGCCAACTCTAACTTAGTTAACTCAAGCCCCCCAGTAACTTGATCAAGATCCGATTTCCCTTGACCCCACTTTTTAAGAAATTCACTATTGGCCAACTCTAACCCCACTGGCTTAAACATTTTTTCCCCCTTGGGAGTTTGAATTTGCAGGGTTCCGTTGTAGTGGCCTTTCACTAGTTAAAAAACGAGGCTTTACTCACCGCTAACCGCTACATAACACTGAATAATTATTTCACTGACAGAAATTCAAGGTGTAGGAAAAGATACAGAAAGCAGACTGATAGAATGAAATGAAAAATGAGGATGAATGATGAACACAGTCAGATACTTGCTGCAAAATTCAAAGTTATCTTATGTCAGGGTAACTTGTGTAATGTTACTTGTTAAAGGATTATTCAAAGAAGTAACCCAAAAATCAGTAGACACATGTTTGTCCGTGAATTTCCAATGCAACTAAGAAAGAAAGTATTCCAGAGATCAACTGAATCCTTGCAATGGGTGTATGTTTACTTTAATTGTTTTTACTACCATCATAATTTGTATGCAACAATAGCCTAGTATTAACCTTTTTTAAAACTTAAAACTCTTTTGATTGGACATCAATAACTTGTTGTTTAAGGTACATCACAACTTTTGAAGAAGTTCCTTTTTTCTTCAAGATTCAAAATTTTAATCCAATTGCTTTGTCATCATAATGGTTGTGGTCATCTCCATCATCAACAACCCTGGACAAAGTCAATAAGACATGGTTTGAGGGCTGTTCTCAGATTGATCGTCTTTTACAGCTGTATTTTACTAGCCTCAAATACTGCACCAAAGTAAGTCTTTCTGAAAGTTCAGGGCATGCCTCTTTATTCTCAGCATCACATTCCCTGATGGCCTCTATATATAGCTCTTTCCCTAGGTGAAATTATAGCCAAACCATCTTTACATTCAGATCTTCTAAAGCAGACAATGTCCATGGGGTGTAACCTACTTTACAGTTGGACAAACCACACAGTTCCTTACATTGTGGTACCTAAACTTAAGACTTAATATGTGGAGAAAGCAGGTAGACTCTCTGTGCCAATGATGAGAGTGTAAAAGCACATCTGAAACACAGATCAAAGTAGCTACCTTTTTGAATGTTCAGGAGTGTGATCTTTGAATTGATGCTGCTGCTCCTCCTTGAAAAACATTCTGATTGATGCAGAATTGTGCCCTCAAATTGACCATCACTTTTCCATCCATTAATTAAATGGCCTGAAAGCATTCACCACCATCCTGCCAAACATTTACATGATACATACATTCATAATACTTTATTGGCCTGTCCCTACGGGGCTTTTCAAAGTCAATGTTACATTGTAAACAAATAAACATAGAGTGCTTGAAAATCCCAACTGGCAGGGGTAGACCCCCAAGGGTACACAGTGCAGCCGAGGAGTTGAATTTAGGGTGATTGAGAACAAATCCAGTGAGTGGAATGGTAGAGGATTTAACCCCATGACCACCAGATTACAAATCCAGCACCCACTTAGAGACCTTCCTTATCCAAAGATTTATGGTGAATATCTCTTGTAGACTTAAGAATTAGAGTGGGTAAGACTGTGTAATACACTCTTCATTTTAAGCTTGGCTTTCTCTGCTCTAATAGCTTTCCTGGTCCTGGCCAAGACTAAGAGGTAGTGCAAATTTCCATTCCCATTTGTGACATCACAAATGCTTAGTTAATTACTACATCATAGTTACTCTCTCATTAGCCAATTACTTTTTCAACTTTGGAAACTTCAGGCCACTTATTCCTTCAGTTGGAAAAAATTTGTTGCCCTCTTCTTGTTAATTGCATACTACAGTTGGATGGCTGATTGAAATATTCCTTTTCATCCTGCTTTACCCTATTTGTATGAGTGTATTATATCATGAAGTAATGAGTTGAAAGCCGATAAAGGCTTCAACTTGTTTTCAAACCTTTTTATTTAAGAGGAATAGGGAAAACTGATGACATTATTTGTACCATTGCTAATACTGGCACTAAAAGTTGATACTTACAATGCTTTTGAGTAAAAGGTAACTATGATACTACTTTGGGATCTAATAATAATACTAAAATTGAAACCCTAGTTCAAGTGACAATACCTTTAAGTTTATTAATATACATGGGCACTAAAATTTTCTTATTCCTGTTTTTTTTACTTTTTTCACAACATATTTACTGTTTCAAATCTTCAAGTATTGCAACCACTACAACTTTTTTGATGATAATAGCATAGATGATAGCACTAAAGTATCACCTGATTAACAATTTTTCTTCCATTTACATTTATCATCATTAGGCTGGCAAAATTAGAGAGGGTTAATTTTTTTTTAATGGAGGTTACAGGAATATTTGTTAAATCTCATAAATAACCAAGTTTCAATTAGTTGATTTTATACATAATCTAAATAGAGATTCTTTCAGAGAAGGATTCAGGTCCAAATTGTTCCTTATAGAGTTAAACCACCACAAAACACTTTCCAGAAGGGATATTGTAACTTTGCCACAAATGAAGGTGTGGTTAATAGAATCTTCTTCTCTGCAGTATAAACAAGTAATGTCCTGTTTGATTCCAAATGGAACAGCTCATTTTTACAAAGATAATTTACGCAGAAATATAACAAGAAATTACCTTACCTTTGTCTCTTTGCCAATTTCAATCACTGATTTAACAAAGGCTTACCATTGACTGATCTCTATGGCAAAAATACTCTTCCATTTCATTTGCATAGTTGGCGGTGATAAGGTGTTCTGTTTGTCTAATATTCAGTAGAAGTCCTTTACTTTAGGTTTCTCTACATTCATCTGCTGACCATGTGCTGACCATGTAACTAAATATTAGGGAATTCTCTCTGTAAATATTTTACCAAAAGTCATACAAACTTCTTGAATTAGTCATACATTGCACTCAAAGCCTGATCAAAGTTTAAGAAGTTGGTTTTGCAGCTACATTTTCTTTAGAAGACTTCATTATTAAGAAAACATCCATTTAAAGAGGTCTGTTATTGAGGCAGTTCCTTTAAAAAAAATAATTACCCATCAAAAAAAAAAGGTTTTACATAAATTCAAATTTTTTTGTCAATGAACAGTGTCATCTTCTGTTCATCTACACCTTCTAATTGGGATTTAATTTGGGTGAAGAAAGACAGTACATCCTGAGAGAAAATTGGTTATTTTGAATCTAAATGTCCTTGAGCTGTAGTTACATCATAGAAGGAAGTTCAGGCCTCAATATTTGGAAAAAAAATTGTCAGGTATTGATGTTCAGTGGAGGTAGTGAAATTAGTTTGGCTTAAAAACCACATTGTGGAACTTACCCTCACGAATACTGGTAATGCTTTCCACAATTTAACAGCTGGAGCAAGAAAGGATTTTCTGCTTTCTGTTTCCTTGTTGAATTTAGAGTGCCAACACATAACTTCTGTGTGTCTTGTAAACTGTTAGGAAGTGCTGAAGTCTGTTTCATCAGATGGGCAAATGAGACATTAAGTTAAAGTGTATTCAGTTCAATTTCTTAAAGAGCTTAGCAGTTCTCTTTTTCCTTGTTTGAACTTCCAGATTTACCATCACTCACCTTTTCTGTAAGCCTATCATCATCAAAAGTTATTTCTGAAGGTTGCACCCAAAACTTATTTTCCATACTTAGCTTAAAAGTTGCATTATAGAAAAGCACTCTTTCATTTGGAAGTAATTTATGTCAGACTGACTGGTGGGCACCCATACATTGGGAAAGTTTCCTGTTTATATTTTCAATATGCTTACTTAAAAGATGGTCCCAATCTTAAGACTCCCAGTAACTTGTGGTTGGAAGTTTCATCCAGGACTTAACATAGAATGCCATTCGCTGAACTATTTTGGGTAGATAATTGATTATTCATTTTCAGATTAATGGCCTATTCAAAAGTATTTTGGAATTGTGAGTTGAGGTGGAAGTTGTCCTGTATATATGTGATCAAAGTTGTTTTCAATCTTCAAGCTTGTTTCATGTGTACAGTGCTAGTGAGGTGGTCAGTATAGTACTCATCTTATAGCATCAGAAGTTATTAGGGTATCTCTCATCAATTTTTAGACTAAGTTCAAGCCTTCCATTAGTCAGACACCACCAAGAGCCTTCACAGGGCATTTAAACCTCTTAAGTCTAGGTTTTTTTAAGACTGACTGACTCCTTGCAGAATACTGAGAGATTATGCTGCATTTTCAATTACTGTGATTTCCCAGTTTTTATTTAGTTACACCTAGGTTGACACTTTTGTTGCTATTTGGGAATTATGTAAAGATTATTATTTTTTTTAGTATGACTAAACCCAAAAATGCATTCATGGATATTGGGGTGTAACAGTTGTAATTCTCTCTCTCAAAAAAATTAATTTTAAATTTTTTCCTCATTCCACTGAAGTCAAAATTAATTTCTAATAACAACTTTATTTTATTTGAATTTAAAGCAATAGTGGATGGGATATTTACATAACCCAAAATACGTGTTGTTGTTGTTAATAATTATATCAATGCAGACAAGTCTCTTGATGAGTAGTTAGTGTAAATAAGTACAAAAATAGCTTATGTTCCGCTTACAAACATGTGTCTGAGGCACACCTATATCCTGTTGAGTAAGCTATTGTTGCTATTGTGTTGTTATCAGTATTGTTCTTTTGTGAAGTAAAAGTATAGTTTAGGAAGCAAAACAACTCATTGAAACGATCATTAAGCAACATTTTGCATGAGAATCAGGTAGGTCCCTAAAAAACCGCCTTAATGAATAGTGAAACGCGGGAATTTTCCCGTCCTTTGTTTCTGCTTGGCATATGTAATAAATTCAGGTGTGACAGAACTGAAGTGAGACTTTTGAGTTGTTTAGTAGCATTAACAAGTCAAGCATTATTACACCTTATTTGGTTACAGTCTTGTACGTTTCGTTAAAAACCACAATATCTGTTTGTTTTCTGAACCCCACTTCCTGTAATCCGTTCTCGCTCGTACACCGCAACTCACTTGCAATCAAGTGACCCCATGAGCTGAGCACATGTTTACCAGACCTTATATGGGGCTCCGCTTCACCTTGGGCCTAATAAGGATATGCTGTGATTCCTGCTTGTTAACCTCCGCCCATAATCACGAGACGTGGCAACGACTTCCTGACTAAAAGAGCGAAAACCTGATACGTGACGTACTCTTCTTACGCACAAGGGTATTAGGACAATTAACTTTTAAGCCGCTTCAGAGGGTCCTCATTGTTTTGCAAGCTGGAGTTTACCAAGTATGCAAAATCAATTAAGGCTGGATCAACAGTTCTTTTTAATTTTGCGGGAGAATTGAGCTCGTAATCGTTTTCAGGGTTACGTTTTTCTACTAATGAAATCATAAGGGTCGTGATGACGTCCTTCGTTTAGTTTTAGGTCTCAAAGTGAACTTCAGAAAGCTGATTACGTTAATTAAATATTGATTGATGTTTGTGTCAGCCTCTGAAAAACAGTGTCATGTCAAATGAAAACGACAATAGGATACGCTGGATCAAGGGCTGCGTATTTTATCGCTATCAGGTTTTAAAAAGACTGCATTCAGGAAATGTTACTTTTGACATAGGATAGATTAGGCTTAAAATGACAACAAGTGTTTTCTAAATAGGCCTGGCATAATCATTTAAAAAAACGCCATAGTCGAGTCCTTTAAGATTGAAGAACTTGTACATGATGTGTACTACAAATACGTCATTTCCGATTAAAATTAAGTCTATTTTTTCCTCTATTACACGTTTCTTTCTTTAAAGTTTCCCTGTGTTTCTGTGATGAGTAGTTTTATGTTTTTGTTTACATGTGAATATTGTCACACCAACTTTCTTTATTAAGTTGCAGGTACTTCGTGACTCATAATTTACTGAGTGAGAAAAATGTAATCCCAAGTTTTTATACCTCGGATCATGCCGATAAGTGATAGCAAAATTTATACTTTGAAACTGCAACCACAATATGACTCACTGTCGACCGCACGGCGCCAAGCTGTGTGTATCTGTCCATCAAATAATAGAGAAAAATTTGCACACCTTGTTTTGGGAAGTTGTGGTCGAAACAAATTCCAAACGATCTTAGCTATCGATTGTTTTCGAACGTCCGATCGCTTTCTGTTTGTGTGCATAATAGTATTGTCGCGCGCATCATAATTAACGCTTAACTTACATCGATGTTTCATTAACTGATTCGTGTGGGAGAGTTATGATTTGGCCGAACCACCAAACAAAGCATTCTTTCAGTTTCGCGCCACCGTGAAAAATTCTGTCGATTATTTGTGATTACTCAGTAATTGATTGTGGAGTAGTCTTGTAGCGTAATACGGAAGTCGGCGTGGGAATGATCCGACTTTCGGAAAGATTTTTTCAGGTTTCATGTCTCGGTTTACATAGAAATGACAAAATCCTATAGGGTCTAAATAGACCCGATTGATGTTTGAATTCTCCGTAAAGTGGCGCCGTGAAACCTCAGTTCTCCAATGGTCAACACTTGACAGCTTTTGTTGTCTTTTGTCATCTGCACTCGTGCTGATTGGCTGAACCATACGTGATGGACAAACCGAATGTGTTTTTGACACGCATGACACGAAGTAAACAGTGTGCGTAGATTGAGAAAAAAAATCTATCATGTCTTCAGATGGGCCTCAGTGAACGGGGTAAAGCTGAGGGCAACATGGTTAGCGGCGAGAGTACATCTCTAGTCGACTTCGTAAAAATGACTAACCCTGGTCTATTTGATTTCCAGGACGAGATACACTCGTTCATCGAGGCCTTGCTCCCTCACGTCAAGGCCTTCGCCTATACGTGGTTTAATTTGCAAGCAAGAAAGCGAAAGCATTATAAGAAGCATGAAGTACGAATGACTCCTGATGAGGAGAGAAGGTGCAAAGAAGAGCTAGATGCTGAAGCCCCTGAAGTGAAACAGAAGTGGGCCTCGAGGCTCTTGGCAAAGCTTCGAAAAGACATTCGGCAAGAATGCAGAGAGGACTTCGTGATGTCGGTCGTTGGAAACAAACCCGGCTCTTCTTGCCGTTGCGTAATTTCCAACCCCGATCAGAAGGGGAAAATGAGGCGTATCGACTGCCTTCGCCAAGCCGACAAAGTGTGGAGACTAGATTTGGTTATGGTTATCTTGTTCCGTGGCATTCCGTTGGAAAGCACGGATGGCGAACGCCTGGGCAAGTCGCAGCACTGCCAGAATCACACTCTGTGTGTCTTGCCCAACCATATCACAGTGACAGTTCGAGAACTGGATCTATTTCTTGCCAACTTTATGTGCAACCGAGGTAAGATTTTCCACCTGTATTGTCGATGACTATCAGTCACAGAACACATCTGATCAGATGTTTAAATGCCAGCACATCTGAGTTATATAGTTAAATTTTCTGCTTCTTGGGTACCGTCTCTCCTATCAACAAGTTGGAGGTGCTATGTTTCTCTTTAATAATTAAAACAGAAAACTGTTTAAGTTCTTTGGGTGTGTAATTTAATCGTTTTATTACCCAAAAGAATTGAAATTGTTATGTTTGTGTAGTTTGTTTTCTTGTGTTCCATCGACCGCAATTAGTTCCCTATTTTACTCGCAGAGCACAAACAGGATTCCAACAGTCCCGTACGAAGTTCTGGCGATCCAGATTCTCATCAAAGTAAGTATAAATTTTTAATATCTTCTTTGTAGGACCTGTTCGTAAATGTATTCAAAGTGAAAAATACAGAATTACAAGTAAGTTGCGAATTTAGGCCGTGGCAAGGAGTAAAATGGACTATTTTTTCATGGACAAACGCAGTGTTGTTGTTTTGTTGTGACCCGACACGTGCGCGCATTTGGACAATCCAAATTAATTCGCTCAGAAGGCTTTTGTTTTTGTTCTCGTTGCGTTATCCCCCCAGTAGAAACCACGTTTCATTGTTGTTAAAGGTAAAACTAAGAGCCCCATTTGCATGCCTTGTGTAATCGCAAAAATTAGCCCCTCCGGGCTACACGTGCTATTTCAGGAAATCGCTGCTATTTTGTTCGCAAGATTCTATTATCACTAGAATTGTGAACGACTTCCTCTAAGTGTTGCATAAATTCCATTGCGTATTGAATGTAAGTAAGGTAATACATGATTACAAAAAAGTGCCGTTTAGTAAACATTTAGATTCATTGTTGTTTGGCCCAGAAGCTTTTTACCAAAGTACACGAAGTTCTTGTGAGCCTATTGGAAAGGAGACAAGTTTCATATTTCCCCTTGAGCTTTACGCGAGTCGATCCAAGAATGAAACTCGAGTAACAACGATGTGCAAACAACATCTACGTATTCGTCTTCGTGTTTGTAAAAGAATTGTGTTACGCGGAAGACAATTACTTTTGCCGTAACTGTTTCTGCCTGAAAAACGAGAATTCGCAAACAACCATCATGGGCACGGGGACTTAATTGTTGCTTTAACTCCTTCCCTTACGAGTCGTAGGTTTACTTTTGCGATGGCCACTAACACTTAGCTTGTTCATACATATTAATATATTCTTTTTGCTTCAGGTTAACATTAACATATAGGCCTTAACCAGAGGAAATCATTCGTGACATTTCGCTTTGTTGTTAGTATCCACTTGCTAACCCTTTGTTCATCTTGTTTTTAGAATTCCTTTGAATTCTCTCTCGTAAAAATATACCATAAATTGCTACGCATTAATTAATTTTTTGCAGCGCTTAAAAAAGTTCTAGATCATTCTTTAGTTGTCCTTCCTTTGTTACATTCTGTGAAATGACAAAATTGGAAGTATGTAATTATATTTGAGAATTATAAGTGCAAATGGAAAACAAATTGTTCGAAAGATGTGATTTCTTGACCTTGGGTTTTATGTAAGTGGAAGGATATAAGCTGTTTCTGGTCGTGCATGCAATAGGAAAGTACCGAGTCATGCGAAACTGGTTCGAGAACTATGATAGCAAGCCATCTTCGCGTACAGTTAGGGTTCTCTTTATTTCTTTCTTTGGGGAGGGACTAAATCTTTCACAATTTTGGGTAAAACACGACTTACGAACGATCACTTTCTAAGAGGCATGCTCTTGCGGTTTTGTTTAACGTGACTGAGTTACTCGATACAACAACATTGCATTCCTTCCATGTGAAATTAAACTCTTGTGTATGGCTTCCTAGGTCGTGACACTATTCACATCACAGTGTATAAAAACGCGTTCTCCTAACTTCTTTGTTTTTTCTGTTATCTGCTTTGTAAGTTCCTTGCTTTTCTTTCTCTACGTCATGTGAACAATTTGCTACACCTCCGAGATAAAACTTGAATCAAAAACTAACTTCCAAAATCTTATATGATTGACGGAAGAGATACTAATGAATGTAATTGTTGACAAGCATTGTTCTTTGGTCATTTGACAAGTTATTGTCTTGTAAAATGTCAAAAGGTTGTGATTTACTATGGGGTGATATCTTAAACAATAGACATGACAACAACACATATTTCTTCCAAGGTCAGGCATCAGAATTATCATTATGTAGTTTATATTTTTATGCAGTAATCCTTGCAGGAATGCGGTTTTTTAAGCTTACATGCTTTCCACTAAGATTTCTGGTTCTCTACCCCTGGTTTGACGGATGGAGTTAGTTTTGTTGATAGGAATGGAGAAGTTACAACTTAATCTTTACAAAGGATTAAAGAGTTAATCTTACCACTACTTTTGTTTGATTTCAAGAATAGTTGATGGAAGTAACTTTAGGGCATGCCAGGACTTAGTACACACACTTGAGTGAGAATTTCTATCTAAGTTTAAGGGGTTTTGAACAAACTCGTTTTGTTTGTGATTTTTAAAATGCCAGGTTTCTTGAACTTATTGTATAAGAGACAGGTAAATCCAAAATTTTTGTTGTTTCTTTTTTTTTTATCTTAAAGCTGAAGTGTGTTCTGTTATATAAACAAATGTAGCAATGGGCAAGGTATCTTTATAGAATTGGTAGATATTGTGTTTTTTGGCTGCTTTTTTCCCATGGTCTCTTGCAATGCTAAATTTTAACAAGGAAAACACTCAATATAGGAAAGATTTTGTGATGAACAACAAAACGTTGGTTTTTCTAGTCACTTCTTGTTTTATTAATTTAACAAAACCTTCTACCCAACTTAGATAAAATCCCCAACATCAACAACAAATCTGCTCTCTCTTGGCACATTTTCTTTTTTCTTTCAAATTTTTTTATGAAAAGGATACAAATTTCATTTACCACTTCCTTTGGAATTGTACTCTTAATAAAATGCACTTATTCAATAATCTAAACAATGTTTGTACTTGAGTGGGCCTCTTTATCAGCCCCTAGCAATAGTGAATTAGTTCATTCACATTCAACACTAAAGATAATCTAGCCAACAATTTCCCTTTGGTAAAAATCATGCATCAGCCATAAAAGTATCGTCTTCACCTGCCAATTCTGAATAAAACATAAATTAATATTTCAATCAGTGAACAGCATTGTAAGCTGTTTGCTAACCAAGAAATACAGCTTTTCTTTTGAAACTTGTCCTAAAATATGGAACATGTACTATTTGTTATTTTTTCCCTCATGGCCAACCATTTAGTCCTCTCAATCACAAAATGAACTATCTATGAAATAATTTTCTTCAGTCACCTATCAGCTTCATCACCCTTGTTTAAAGTAGCTGGTGTGTGTACACAGGGTTTCCTCTCTGAATCAGATTACAGTTAACACTTGAGATAGTTCATTGCATAGCAATGCATAGAGTCAGGAAGTTCCTGTAATGTAAGTAAAGAACACTCTGGCATGGACTCTTCAAAGGGGAAGAGAGATTAACATTTAAAGAGTGCATTGTGCAAAGGAAAACTACCACCCCTGCATATTTTGTACATAAAAGCTGTAGCATTTAGCACGTTAATGAAATTTGTGTTGCTACCAGTAAGAAGCAGGTGCAAGTCAAAACTTTAGATAGCATAAAGCATTGTTATAAGTTGTCACTTTTTGCTGATGTAAGATTTGGTGTGGGTTAACAAACAGTCAATATTTAATTTCATATAGCAAAAACTTGCCTTTGTAGCAGTTATCAGATGTTATTTCTTTTATCTAAAAATACCTTGCAATATTTTAATCTTTACTACTGATAAAAAGATGCATGTAAGCATATCAATCCAGTATTTCAGGAATGATATTCAACAGGTCAGCTGAAGGTATGGTTGATTCAAGAAAGATCTTTTTTGTTTGTTTGCCAAGATGTGCAAATTTGATGACATGAAATTCTCTTGCAACTGAAATACCTGTGCATTGACGAAAAGAAGTTGGGCTAGTTTTCTAGTTTCAGCATATGCACAAAAGTCACATTTTCATTGGGTTGACTTTCTTGTAATATTCCATAGAAAAAGGACTTGGAGTTAAGAAAATTAAAAAATATTTGCACAATGTAATCATTACAGTTTGACAGTTAAAACCCAATACCAGTTACTTTTGACATTAAATGTCACATTGTGTGTCTTGTTATCTGATGTCAACCATTAATTTTTAAGCAATTCTTCATGGGGTGGATGCCAGGGAATTTAATAAAAAAGCAAGGTCAACCTAAGACTTCGATAATGAAATATGCAAGGGATTATCATTTCTTTTGAATATTCACCTTGGTGTCCTTTAATTTTGTTGAAATATAAATTCTTGAAAAAAATGGAGTTTCAAGATGAAAAAGTACATTTTCAAGAAATTCAATTTTTAAGACCAAGTCTTATTGTAAAAGTTAAAAAAAAGAATTAAAAAATAGAAATATATGTCTGTGCATCACAAATATAATAGGTTTACAATAATGTACTATGCCATCTTGTTTGTATGTTACAAATATTTAAAGAACACTGCAAAAAGACCTTATAATTGAGTTCTGTTCAAAATTTGCAGAACTTTACTCCCTTTGGATTCCTTAGAGTTGCAAAACTGCAGCCAGGGATGATGAAGCAGAGGGTAAACATACACTGCTTTGACTATTAAGGCTCTGGTAAAATAGTATATAGCTGCATCCCACTACAATAGTATGTCATGGTATTTTGCTTCAAAATAAATCAACATGACTATCATTATTTTTTTAGTTGGTACTGAGCAGAATCTGGTTTCATCTGGTGTGTTTACAGTAGCAGAGCTCTACACCTACGCTAGAAGTGAGTCTCTTTATAAGCAAGTACTGGTTACATTCACAGACATCTTTAAAAGCTATTTAGAAATTTTAAGCTTTGCTAATTTAGAGTCCATATTTGGTCATACTCAAAATATTTTCCATCTCGCTTTTTATACTTTACCTTGACCCTTGTAATTAGCTCTTTGAAAAAATAACATGATTTAGATAAATGTAGTCATTAATCAAAGGCAATTTTCCTTGTTACTCACTTGCTTAATGTACTCATTTAGAAGCAAAAGCTACCCTAACTGAAAACTTTATCAGAAGTTTACTTTTGTAAGGTCTGTTTCTCTTCACTTATCATAAAACTGAAAGTGTTTTTTCACAAGTGCACATTACATTCAGTTAAATATCTTGCAACTTTGTAGATGACTGGGTTACTTGCGACTTTGTGTTGTGAATCTATCTTGAGGCATAAGTCCTTCGTAACAGAGGTTCTAGCTGTGCTGAACCTCAACAACTGCAGCAAAACTGTAATTAATTTTCAAGCCAAAATCTTGTATCAGATGTTAGTTGTCTTGTAGGCTCTGGCAATACTTGTCATGCCAATGCCCTAGACAAGCTACAGCCATTTGCTGTTCTTCTTTCTCAAATACACATAGGTATTCATACGCCATAGTTAAAAAAATTATGCATTCCAGCAGACAATGTAGTATCTACTCTAACTTTTTTTTAACTTTACATCTCAAACAAAGTAACATTTTTCTTGAATCTGTTTGTTTTCAGCTTTTCTATCTATGAAGAAGTGTAAAGCCTTTCACTAAAAAGAAATTAAGCAGCTCTACATTGAATGTTTAGGCATTTCAAAATTTTTTTTTAAGATACATTATGTGAACTGAGGAATTCAACAACAAACCAAAGTAAAATATATGAAATCCATCTCTTAGCTCTGTTTGACAAACTCATTGCATGTAATTTATTTCCCAAACTTTCTAGTTCTCCTATCAAAGAGCCTATCAGTTTGATAATGTAAATAATATATTTTCCAACTCTTTTAGCACCCATCAAATGTGTGAGCTCATCACACAGCCTAATGTTATCAGACTTGGAGAGCCCACCTTATGGTGATGGAGGTCTTGAGCAGCGCTTCCCAAATGCAGTCAGCATACATCCACGACCAGATGCATATGACCTAAGGTACAGAAAACGAAGTCGGACAATAAGCTCTGTTTCGTCAGTTGATGAGGACTGTGATGATGATGATAGGGATAGCACAGGACTGTATGTTCAGTCACCAGCAAGTTTCTCTTCCCAAGGATCGAACTGGCAAAATGATGATTCAGGTAAGACAAAATGAAAACTGAGCGTTTGTGATCATGAAGTATAAGCCACTGTAATAATTGCAGCATTATTATTATTATTAATTGCATCTATTAATTGGGAAGAAACTGAATTGAGGTAAAAAAATTCTCAAAAGTTGGAATAAAGAGTGTTTAAAGGAAAATTTACATTTCTCAATGAAAATTTCAGTCATTTAGTTTCATTTAATTCCTTGCTAAATTCTGTGTTACTGAATTTTCAGGATCCAGTGTCATCCACTCTCCAATGGTACCATACCCTGCTAAGATTAAACCAGAACAGAACTGCACAGGATACAGCCCAATGGAGAACCATCACTCTGCCATCACTTGTTGTAATGTGAATGAACCACAGTCACCTGCAGTCACATCATACAGTGGTCAGACTCAGCAGTTACACCTCAGGCAAATGAGAGACTGTAATATGAATGATACATCATATATTATGCAACTAGCATCAGCACCTAAAGGCCATGTACAAGCAAGTTGTGGGCTTGTTCCACAGCTTCCACAGCAGGGATTTACATTCCGCCTGCCGATGCCAAATGCACACATCCCTTCTGTTGGTAAGGTGGAGAGGGTAAATGTATTTTAAGAATCCAATCTTCTTTTGCATGTGTTGTGTGGCACTTACTGAATACAAAGTATTGATAGGGATCCAATATGTCTCACACTGTTGCCTACCAGTGCTAAGTTTAAGGCTAACCAGTACATTGTCGTCTTGGGAACAAAAGCCATTTGCCAGAATTCTCTTTTGCTGTCCAAAAGGGAATTGACTTGTTCAATGCATTAGTCAACTATGTTGTTATAAATCCAACCATCCATTACATGTTTATGGCCTTACTGGGCTTTGTAAATGTGGTAGTTCTATAGGCAAGATATAATTAAGAACAATGTCCATGATTGTCACAGGTTCTGCTCCTTGTCGCACTGGTGCCCCCAGTGATTTCATCCAGCTTCTTGAGAGACCACGCTCCAGTTCAGCACCAAATGGTAGGCACATTGTTCCTGGAACATCAGCAGTCATACCTCCTCCTTTGACAAGATCACCAAGTAGTAACAGTATCATTCAAAGCACAGGGAACAGTAGCTATAATGCAGCAGAACCACGGCACTCTCCAGTACACCAGCAGCAACAATCTCCAGTGTCAACAAGCCCAAGTAAAACAAGTCCTCCCTCAGGAATAACACTGAACACAACTGTCCAGATTATTCAGGTAATTGAGATCATGAACAAAACTTTTCATGTTACCTAATATGGCAATTATTATTATCATTATTATTATTATTATTATTATTATATTATTATTTTGGAACACGAGTGCTACCTCCTTCCATGAATTATTTTATGTTAGGTTTATTGCCATGGAGTACCCAGGAAAATTTTTTCTTGTAGAGAAAAGTCATTGGCTTTGAGGGCATCATCCATATCCAAAGACATTTTTCCCAATTAATAACATTCACACATTTTGCTTATGTTAGTGTATTCCCGAGGGTATGGGTATGTACTTTTTCCCATGAGGTTCCACATTTTCAGAGCCACAAAACAGGATTAACTCTTTTTTTTTTCACTGTGATTTCAATCCCCAGTCTCCTACTAACAATCCAAACGGTGGAGCATCATCATACAGCAATCACAACCAGCAAGTGTTCAGCTACCCAAACTTGCCACCTGGTTGCTTATCTGCTGTAAGTCCATCACTTCCAATGAGCTTGTTCACATCACCTGGAAACACACCAAGGGGTAGTATACCTCCTCGCTGGCCCACAGCTATCCAAGTAGCACCTGTTTCAAGCAGTGGAAATGTTGCATCTGAAGAGGAGTCCACTGACTACCAGATGGTGTCAGGGTTTGGCGGTATGAATCCAGATGAGAGCATGCTTGAAGGTAGTTGTTAGATGCTTTTACATATCACGTATATATTTCTACCCAGGGGTTCTAAGTAATTGATGGGGAAGATGACTTGATGCATTGTGAGGACAGTTCACAATTGAAGTACTGATAACAAAGGCAACAGCATTTAGGAAGGGTGGCAGAGGCCTATGTGCATGCTCTGCCAGAAAATGCATAGTTGCTTTAAATGTGCAGTTTTGCAAAATTTCAAGTATCTTAAGTGAAAACAAACCCACAGGATAGAAAATAGACATAAACTAAAAAAGTAAGACAAAGAAAAAGAAAGGAAGACCAAGTTTTTTGTGGAGTGCAAATTGATTTTCTGTTTGCTAAATTTGTTTGTGACAGCTTTTTCTTTTGTAATTTTATTATAATTCACCAGTTGCATAGTACACATTATTTCACAAAAAGCAAGGGACTTAGAAATCAAAGAAGATGGCCTGTAAGCAAGCATGCAGCACTTTATGAGAACCTTGTGTACCTAAAATCACCACTCAAAGCCTCCTTATATTCTTTTAATTTTAGAGAGGAATTTCTTTCCAGTTAACAACAATGCAGAGTCAGTAGATGTTATGTCAGCCAGGATATCATCTTAGGCTGCTTGGTTCCCAGGGTACCCTAAAACTGGTCTTATCTTCAGCAGCCCAGATGGTAGGCCTTTAAATTAAATGGGCAAGTAAAAGCCAGTCCAGTCCATCCCACAAGATAAAGTAGTACACAGCATGCCAAGATGTGCAGCAATGCATGTCACTTGTGACTAAGACGACTAGAAGAAACTTAGCACTAAGAAAAGATGGTTCAGCCAGGTTCAGAGAATGCTTTGGTTTTGCCACATGTTAAGTTATTGTAAGTTGTTCTTCTGTAAAGATATTAGCATAAAATATTAGAAGCATCCATGTACAAACCAAAGAATTTATATAGGCTTTTAGAGTAAGAATAACTGGTCCTATTTATAAATTGCATTAGTAGAGTATTTTGGAAAGTAAATTTAAGTACATTCGCATTATTTAGAATATTTCCATGCGTAAACACTCAATCAAAAGAATAGTTGAAGTTAAATTTCATAATGATAACACACTCGATCCACTCTTGGTAAAGTCTTGTCAAAGGTGTTAAGGCTTGATGTTAATTGGTCATTTGACAGTGGAGAAAACATTGTCTAAAAGCATGCTGGATGTACAAAGTGTGAATTTTTATCTGGATAACTAGAGGAACTGGTTTTTTTTGTTTGTTTGTTTTTTTTTTAAAGCAAGTCTAATTACATACTGTGAGTGAGTGGTGGGGTGCAGTGCAATAACTGTGTTCTTCAGTAGACCATATTCATATAAGAGTTGCATACATTGGTTGCTTGTGGTCATAGTTTTCTCTAAAGATTACATTGATCAAACATAATATATTACCTTAAGAAGCCTGAATGTTGGATATAGTGAGGAAGATTTACATGATGCTACAGATGTTCCAACAGAGTATTAATATATATAATCTGCATGTGCAAGTGGAAATAAAAAACTTTTTGTCCACAAAAGTGCAAATAACAATTTCAAATTTGCTTTTTTTGTGCTACCACTCTCATATAAATTTCTTCTTGAGGTGAAATTCACTAACTGCATTTCAACTTGCACATATTACTGAAAACCTGAAATTACACCATGAAAATGGTCACTGGTTTGACAATAATTCTATTTTCTACTGATTTTGTTCAGCAAAAATGAGAAGTAGCTGTTGATGAGTATGGTTTGGACTTCTTTTTTTGATGAGTATGGTTTGACAATAATTCTATTTTCTACTGATTTTGTTCAGCAAAAATGAGAAGTAGCTGTTGATGAGTATGGTCTGAACTTCATTCAAGTTTGGTATGATAAAGAGAGAAACTAAAAAATTTTCTACTTCCATTTTAGAAAAGTGAGATGTTAATTTAAGTGCTATGTAATCAATTCAGAAAAAGAGAGGTTTTACTGTGAATGGGATGCATGCTTTGCTAAATTTGTATTCCAGTGCCTACGATACCGAATGTCTTTTAGTGAAAGGGAAACAGGCTTAAGCCACAGTGGGCCACACAAGTGAAAAAACCCATCTCAGAAAACACTTTGTCAACTCCAGTCGATTAATCTGTACTTAAGAAAGTAAAACCTGCTTTAAGGCAAATACCTTGCCCTGCCTATAAAATTGTGTCTGTTTTTGAAATGGTTAATGTGCTGATCAATTGTTGTAAATAGTCTCAAAACTGATGGAAATGGCTTGCCAGTTTTTGTATCAGTTTATTTTTCCAGGTTTAATTTTGGAACTTTGAAATTGTAATTATGGTGGCAATCGATACAAGAAAATGTTCTTGAGTACAGTAATTTTGATAATAATTTTCTATAATTATAGTAGAGAATAATAGAATACAAAATATAGATTTAGAGAGTAGAATTGTTTTGTAGGACATCAGGTTTGTAAATAGTTTAAATAGAGTTCTTGTTTTAAAACTAATCATGATAAATTTTGTAGTTTCACAAAAAGATGTAGAGTTTATAAACAATGAAATGTCTTAATGCTGTACTTCTTAACTGCTCAGAGCAGCTGATTTTTTGGGCTGGTTGTAGACATTTAAAAATAGGGCTATCTTTTGTAAAAGGGTTTCTTTTATACCAATAGTAGTTTTCCTACAGTACATTTGTATGGTTCTGATATTTTGTAGTCTTCATAAGATAATCCTAGTAATATATAAAGAATCGTGCTGAAAAATACATGTCATCATGTTTTTTCATCTGTCTTTAAAAATTAGTGGTGAGTGGCAGGAACACTTAAAAAATTAAATGCTAACAGTTTTGTATGTGATTTTGCAATAAGCACCAAATATTTGAATACAACCATTAATTTCAAATGATCTTTGTGACTGTACTTATTTTTTTGTTAAACAAGGAAAGTAAGAATTAGTTGATTGTCTTTCATTAAGCTGTCTTTGCAACCCATTACAAGGTCATATATGCTTCCTTTACCAACAGTGGCAAAGCCCAAACCTTGAAATTTAAGCCATTTTTCTACAATTTGCCTTAAAAATGTCAACAACACCAGACCTTACATATCTTTTGTCAGCACAATAAAATAATACTGCCCAGACAGAGGATTTTGTTATACAAATTCATTCCAGTGCACTGATGCTGGAGTTTTAAGGGAGAGAAATTTGTCTTGGCAAAGAGAAAAGCTGCAGCAGTATTGTTATCTTGAATTGGTTATGTCTTAAATCATGTAGGAATCTGTTTTCCCCCTCAAAGTAATGTTCTAATAACCTTTTCATTGCCCTTGGCCTTTTAATTTAAGTGCCCTTAACTAAGAAATTCAACTATACTTCAGAAGCATGTTGGATTATGTAAGTGGTACAAGATTTCTTTTAAGGGATACCTTTAAGTAACATGATTAGTCAATGAATCTTCTAAGTCTTTGCCTATCTGTGACATCATCAGGGATGACGATGCTGTAGATTGACAAAGGCTTGGAGGACAAACTGACCAAAAATTATAGCTTAAAACTTATTTGAAACAAGGATATAATTGCACTTGATTTTGTTTTAATCATAGAGAGCATATTTAAAAGAAATCAGTTCAAATCAAGTAATTTAAAACTGTTCCCATGCAATGGAAACAGTCTGAAATTAATTCAGACCTATTGTTATGCCTGCAATCTCACATGTACAAGCTGCTGTTAGAAAAAAATAAAATTAAGGTTAAGTGTCTAATGACATCTGGTTAATTACCAGTAGTCTCCGGTCTGCTACTTAGTGGTTGATGATTTTACTTCTGGGGAAGTAGTGAAGTGATTTCTACAATCATTTCTTACAATCATATTTGCACAGAGGAGATGTGGATTTTCTTATTGGGTAAACATAATTGAACTATTTTCTTTTAATTGTTAGGTTGTCATGTTATATTCCTGATACTTCTTCACCCCTTTAAGGATACACTTTTCTCGGGAGCCAAATGCATTAACTTGCCTTAAACAGCAGTTGCTAGACACTAATTAACTCACCTGAAGCTAAGACCTTGAAAACAGAAAAAACCCATTTAACCTATCCCACATAGAAATTCTCTCTAAAGTCAAAGTTACCACTCTCTTCCCAACATTAACAATTTTCCAGAGAAAACTTTTATCCAAGATCAGTGTTTCCCTGTTTGACCCCCAAAAGCATCTCTTTTCTTTTGACAGTGTCACCCCTCCACCAGAAGTTACAATTATATGAAGAAAGGAAATGATCATGAGTGCAAGAAGTTCTTGACTGTTGGACAAATTCTTCTTCTAATTACCCTAGGGAATGTAAAGCGAACAGTATGGGGAACTTGCATATTGATGTTAGGGGGTTAAGGGTTAGTTAGGTAACAAATGTAATTTTGCCAGGAAGGGAAAGGACTTGATCATGGTTTTGGAGACTTGTTTTCAAGACTGAAAAGTTTAATGACTCGTGGAAACAAAAAGTAGCACAATCATAAATATAAGCTGCCACAGCTTTCGACGGATAAAATTTCAGCTCTACAATTCGCGTAGAGATTTGAAGCTAATTTCTCCAGGGCTTAACAAATTATTGTTAAGACATACAGTTCGCCGAGAAAAATTCAAAGATCAATTCACCGGCGGTACAAGTACAGTACAACCCAAAACTGTATTAATTAAATTCTTTAGTTAGTACCTTAAATTTGCCATCCATAAATTTTTTCTGGATTTGAAGTTTTCTCAAGTTACTTCACAATACTGTCCCATCTCAGCATGGAAATGCAATCTTCCGCCATCTAAGATGGCTTCCATGTGAAGATAAAAAGCAAAAAAAAATACAAACTCAGTGGTGGACAACTTAGAAACACAGGTAGGATTCAATCGGCCAAATAAAAATTAACGTAAATATTTAAATAGTGACTGTTTTGCGGGTAACGAAAACGCATGGGAAAAAAGTATGTCGTAGTATTTCCCCAAATGCGAGATTAACCATACTAAATTTAATCAACCTTTTAAAAATTGGCTTTTCCCCCCTAAAGCCCTTACTGCATTTAAGTTTTATCAAAAATGAACCAAATTTTAAAGAAGTAAGGAACAAAATGCTCTAAATTTTTTTCAAAAAAAGGTTTACAGTACCAGGGACATGGCTTCGAGCGTGTGAACGAAGCGGCTGTAAGATCGACAATTCCCTCATCGAAGAACCTCTGTCCTCCGTGTACTGAATTCGGAGTCCATTTGATGAACGTTGACAGGTGTTAAATGCTACAAATGAACGAAACACTCATTTCTCAAAGATAGCGTAAGTTTAAGTGTCACAGTTGAGGAGAATTCACTTCTTCATTCACAAGCCACAGCACGAAAATAAAGGCCCGAACACGCGTCTTACCGAAAATTTCGCGCGCTTTCCATCCTACATGGTCACGTGGAATCACCCTCCACGTTGGGAGTCTGGAACTAAATGTTGTGCTATCCTGGCATCCTAGCATGCAAAGAGAGTAGTTCACTGAGCCCACAAGGACTAGAAGTGAAGCTCCGATAAGTTAAGATCCTCTCCACTCCTAACTGTTTTTCGAAATTTGGGCTAGATTTAGTTGACGAAACCTGTTTTATGAAATAATGTAACTCTTGCCGTTTCAAACAAGGGAACAGAGTATGGTGTATAGTGTTGGGACGTGCTAATATGAGTCGAAATTCAAAAAAGTGTTCATATACGTTCAGGAGGCTATTTTCATAAATTTCGCTGAGATCAGACTTCGAAAGTTATAGTGTTTTTTTTTCGAATTTCACACCTCTTCCCTACATGATTTCATGGTTGTTTCGCGCGAGAACCTCGATATTGCTCTCGGAGTGGCGGCTAAACCAATCTAAAGCAAAATTATCAGGCAAGTCAGCAGTCTGAACTGTAACTGAAAGTGGCAATTTTTATTTAAATTAACTTTCTCAGACATTACATGACTAACTTAAAAATCTCCTTTACCATAGAAAAAAATTTCAAATTTTGCAAAGACGCTATTTTAACCTGCCACATTAACTTGAAAATGACGTTAGAGGACATGAAAAATGTTTTTAAGTCTACGGGGGTTTGTATAGCAATGTACAGTTTTAATTACTAATAAAATAGCTGGTGGCTTCTCAACCTCTATAAATACGTAAGAATTTCTCTTTAGTCATATTTTACAGAAAAGTAACCATTTATTTTTCGACTTGATGTATAAAAAAATATCTTTTGGAGCAGCTTCTGAGAAAATGCGTGCTGTGGGCTGAATCAGACTAAGCAGTAGCAGAACTGAGCCACCTAACAACTGACCAGTTGTGTGGAGAACTTAAAAATAATCAATTATAGAACAATGTCAGGGTTGTCAAAAGGTACTTTTCATTCTACTCTGAAAAATGCGCCGGCTATTTCGAATGCTTGTGGTTCCAGGAGCCTTTGCCCGCAGAGGGTCTTCGACCTTTAGTACTGCACCGTCCGCTTACTCAAAATGTTTTTGAGAACCCTGAAACAATGTCCTGATTATGAACGAAATGAAATTCGTACCACTAAAGTGCTGAGGAAAAAAAAGCTAACAATAACGGAAGTTATCAATGATATTGATAACCGGAGTTAAGTGAACCAACCAGAATATTCGAAGATGAAAATGTAAAAATTAATAATAACTAATAATCAGCACTTTATATCGAAACGGTTCACTAAGGCTCCTCGTCAAACATAGCGCTGGCATTTTTAGCGCTCATCCGTATGAGCGCAGTAAGTGCATGCAGATGTGATTTAGACGATGGTGCCTGGACACTTTTGGCAGGATTCTTGGCTACAACTTGTTCACTATGGCGTTTGTCTTTAGAAAGAGTCCTTTGAGGAACTATTACTTGTTTTCTGGTGGTGCCATTCGTAGCCACATCCATAGAGGTTTTCTCCCTCATGGGTACTTTTTCTTCGTATTGAACTGGCTTAATTGAAGGTGATAAACCAAACGATTTATCCAAAACCTTGTATCTCTCCTGCTCTCTATGAGGCTTCGCTAAAGACGTTTTCGCTAGAGCACCGGGTTTAAAATTCCCTTGACTCACGGAACACACAGTCTGACTATCCAGATCATCGCGTAAATTACGTTCTCCTGGTTTTGCCTCAGTTCCAGCTCTAAGCATCCTCTTGAAAACAGATGTTTCCCAATCGCCACCCTTGTTCTCATCCACGTTACCAAAGTCGACATCGAACAAGTTGCTAATTTCTTTAGTTTCCACAGCATGGGGTTTATCAAAATGCATTCTACTACTTGTCTGCGAAGGCAACACTGATTTAGGGTGGTCCTCGAGAGAAGAAGTGCTAGTTACTTCGTGAATGGAGGATAGAGGTTGTTCAATCATGTCTTTCAGTGTGACACTCATACCATCACTTGCATGACCAAGTCCTCCTCGTGAACTTGAATCATCCACGTTCCTTGGGAAGTTTCCAAGGTAACACGCAGTAAAAAGGGTTTACCACCACTAGAATCAGCATCACAGACCTTTGTAGTTCTTTCTACAGATACGTCACTGTTATGACCATTTTTCTGAGTTTTCTCACCCATGGATGTGCCTCCTTGTCCACGAAAAACATGTCTAAGCTCTAATCTGGTGTTTACTTGCTTACTTCGCGAAATTGGTTCTCCACGTCCACTCGTGAAATAATCTCGGGAGGGAGAATCTGACCTTAAGTAACTTTGATCGCAGCGCTTTTCATTGTTATCCTCTCTTAGCTCAACCTTCAAAAGTTCCAGTTCTTTTTTCAAATCATCCAGCTTCCGTTTAGTGTTGTTTAAAACTCCATTTCTAGTTAAGGTATGAGATCCATACGTTACAGCACTCAAATCGTCGTTTTCAAGGCTCTTCAGCCCTCTTGGGCTTATTACACCTTCACTGCTTGACACACCCTTCGAGGCGTTAGCCAGAGAAACCTGCAATTTCTCCCGTGCAATACGGGATTTATCCTGGCTAAGTTCTCCAAGATAAGTCAAATCAGAGCCATACCTCTCTGCGCGAAGTTTTTGTTCTCTAATTAACTGCCTTTTGTGCTCCCTTCTTGAGTTCCTCTGCTCAAATGCATCAAACGCCTTGTTGGATTTGTTTTTATACACTCGATACAACGATTTCAAATACTCCATGAAATGTTCTCGACATCTTTGATCTATGATGCTCTCTGCCTTCAGACTGAGTCCCACAAGTAGCTGTTCAGCAGAAACTTTTAAAGCAAGGCTTAGTTTTTCAGACGTTGAGCCATATTCTAAAACCTGCAAAAAAAGAGAAAACTGTAAGCATGTCACAATGTTATAAATCGCTCTAGCAATGCAATAAAATTGTCTCATATGTCAAGGAAGTCCACAGATAAATTGTTTGATGGGGTAAGCAGTGGTGGATCTTGGGGAGGGCCCCCCCCCCCCCCCCTTATTTTGGGTTAAAAAAAATTGCAGACGGAAAAAAAGCTGGCAGAGCAAGTGACAAACAACCACCACTCTCCTCACCCCCCTCTTTGCCCAAGATCTGGATCCGCCTCTGCTAAGGATAAGCAATGGTTGAAAATAGAAAATAATAACATGGATGCCAAACAATAAACTTGAAATTGAAAATAATAGGTTCCGCAGTTTTTCAAGATGCAAAATATCTGTGTATTAATTTGAAGGAAGAGTGGAAGAGGGAAAGATCAGGTGGCTCACTTTCAAGTATTTCAGCAGTCACATCACTTTCTTCTTTTATCCCTTTCGATTTGAAGAAGTGTAAAGAATATTTGGAGGATTTTTAATAAAATGATAGGTTAAGGCTACTGTAATGTTCAATCAGTGAGTTCTTTGCAAATAAGAATTTAATTTCAAGCCCTACATTCCTTTCTTTTGCACTTACCAAGCTTGGAATAGCTCCTTCAATAATCTTGTTTAATAGCAAACATAACACTGTGCCATCTTGAAAACTGCAAAGTAAAACAGATAGCCATTGTACAACACAAGAAAGCTTATTTCCATTCTCTAATTGGTAAAGATGGCATCATGTGCTCTGAAGGTAAAGCTGTTGAAATACTGAAGCACTTTCTCTTCTTGTTTCCCACAGTTTTTGCCCAGAAAGTAGTCATAACCAAATTCAGTAAACCCTTTTACCACTAAGAGTGACTAGCATCTATTTCTCCTTACAATATCACCCCTGAATCACACATTAAGGGCATGAGTATAAAGGAAATCATTTCAAACTAAAGAAGCTCTTAACTGTTAAATAAATTCTCTTTGTCAGTACCATAGAAAATGTGTGAAGAATATTATAGAAAATATGCATACTGATGTTAGAGTGTAAAGAGTGAAGGGGAAAGACAATATTAGTGTGCTCACCTCCCATAATCAACAACATCTTTGCCAGTAACCTTTGCCACCCAGCTTAACAGTGACAATTCGTCATTGTCCACCAAATGAGAAATTTGAGGATCACTTACTAGTGAAAAAAAATGCAGCCCCTGAGTGGTTAGTATTGGTAGCAACACACACGCAAACATTTCAGCTTGTTCATTGGCTGGGAGCAAATCAAATATTGAATAATTTTACTCCCTAAATATCCGAGTTTGTGTAAGGAAATTAACAACGATTACCTCCATTTGAGCCAGCGCGTCTGTAAAGACTATGACATAAAGCCAACACAACTTTGAGGTTTCCTCTCACAATATCTAAAACAAAAACCAGAAATATTCATATGATGCTTGTGTAAAATAATATAGAAATTGCTCCACAGGCAGAACAAATTACCTTTAAGTTAATACCCAAGGTCTCTAGTGTAGGGATAAAAACATCAAGAATGATGAAAGGACTGTAGTTATTCAACACCTTTATAATATAAATGTAATACAGTGTTTTGTTGCACCAATTACTACATATTTACTTCTAATGTGGATTGTGTTTTCTTAATCCTTTCACTCCTGGGACCTCAACAATACTTCTCTTTACTTTCTGCCCTACATTTCCCATTATGTTGCTTCTGAGAATTTGGTGTTTCATGAGAGTCAAATACTTATCGTTTAGTTGATAATTTTCTTCATTCTCATCACCTGCCTGCTTTATAGCATATTGATATTGTAAGGGAAAATTAGTTCCAAGTCACTCCTGAGAGTGAAAGGGTTTGCTAATCTATTTTAGGGACTAATAATCCCCTTTCAAGTGACACAGAACTAATCCACAACACAACCTAGAGAAATGGCACTTTCCGCATAGGGCCATACCAACCCACAAGACAACTGTTGATACTCTCACATTAACTATGTTGATCTAACCATCTGCAGTGACTCCATTGACAGAAATTCCATAGTGCTCCAAAAAGTCCAGACAAGTCTGAATGTTCTCCATCTTCTGCACATCTAGTGCTGGCTTTATATGTATTTGAGGAGGACACTCCCCAACTGTGATAACATTCATCATGAAAAAAGTTATAAAAATAAATAATCATGAAAAGAAAATGGTAAAGTTGGAACACAGTTGGAACAAAACTCATTAAGCATAGTAATTGTAGTTCAAGTGATATTTCTCATAAAAAAATCTCTCTTTGCTGCAGTAAAAGGTTTTTTAAATTCCCTGATCTAACCTGGCTATTCCTTCACACACTGAATCAACAATTTCACATAGGAGTCCTGATAATGGCCTCCAACCACTAACTTCCCCTCACAGTCAACCTCTCCACCCAGAAGTTTATTCTTTCAGCAGTCACACATATTGTATAGTGTATATCAATTGATTATACCTTGAAAATTATGTAACATGGAAAAAAATTGATTTTCATGGAAGCCCAATATCTCAAAACTCAGTCCTATATCCATGATTCTTGAACACTTTTAGAATCAAAGAATCAATTACTTAGGAACATTCAAGAATTTATTATGTTGAGTTTCCAGACAATCAATCAAGTTTTAAGACCTTTGAAATGAGAAAAGAGGGATCTTTGCAACCTTTAGATTTATTTACTAGAATATTGAAGACCTACCTAACATCTCAACCAAGCTTAACAAGGTAATGCCATCTCCCAAGTCCCTCACCAAATCAGTGATTAAAAACTGATCTTGGCTGTGTTGAAGAAATGCATTTGCCCATCTCGTGAATTTCTGCAAGAGAGAAAAAAAGTAGACTATCAGACTTCCCTTACCTACAACAACAAAGGAAGCAGGAGAAGCTCAGCTACAATCTATGGAAACTGAGACTGACTTGATAAGATTTTGAAATAACTCCATTGTAAAAATTGCACAACAGATTTCAAATTTTGATACAAACATTATCATTTGAGTGAGGTATGGAAAAAGTTTGATAAAGGAGTTGTCACAACCTACCTCCCTCTTCTCCAATGGTAATTGAATCTCAAGAGCCCTATGTCATCAACCATCAAACAAGAAAACTCATTCCCACTGGAAATAGAGCCATTTTCTCATGACAACATGACAATTTTCACATCAAGATGGTTCCCCAACTTCTGTCATACTTCACTCAACTGAAAATCCTAGTATCAGTAGCAAGGCAGGGGTTTTTAAAAGTTGCAGCCAACAATTTGAATCCTGAATAAGTTTGATGCACACATCTGGCAAAGGTTCAGAAAAGAACTGTTCTCAGAGATATCAATATTTGGAACATTGCTGAGAACAATCCTTTCAATGAGGTCAGACAATCGCACTAAACGATCCTTTCAGGGATTCATGTAGCATTACTAACTTAAATATTTTATCTGTGGGGTAAGGCCATTGTTAACATTAACTTACCATACATTCATCATAAGTCTGTTGTCCAAGCTCTGATGGGTTGCAGTGTGTTTTGGTGTTTCTGTACAATGATGAAGCATTTGGGGAACATGGTCTTTCCACAGGATGGTCAGACAAGCTCAGGAGCATCTTACTAATACCTGGGCTAGGGGTCCTGGATCTTGATGAACTGACAGTTTTTCCTTGGGTTGTGATATCTGTATCATCATGTTTTGTCCACTTTGCAAAGTCAACAGTGTCTCTTGCATTCTTATAACCAGTTGACAGATAAAACCCACTCTCATCTAACCAACCTGAACCAGTTGTTGATGGAGCAGTCGTCAGAAATAAGGAAGTCATGTCAGAACAGGATTCCAGATCACTGTGTGCTGATAATGTACTTGCGGGAAAGACTGACTCATCACCACTGATGTTAGAAGCTGAATCTTGAAAATCTCCTTTCTTTGCCATGAATGGTGATGTGAGGTTTGTTGGAAACTGGTGGTCAACCATTATCTGTAGCAGTTCTTAGCACCTTTTATAGCCTCTATAACCAACATCTTGAATTATTGTCAATTTTCAAAGCTGCAGAGTGGCTCCAGCTAAAACAATGATTGCAAATTGAACTTAATATTTAATCTTGACATAAAAGTCATATAATAGAAAAGCTGATATTATCACATTGCAAATCAACTTTAACCTTGTAAAGGATATAATGGTGCTTAATTATCAATTAAATGTATACTACATGTTTCAGTCATTCTTGGAATATCAGATAGAACTTTATTAATGCTGAGATCACTGGTAGACAATCACAATGCAACCTCCACTCAAACGACACAGTCAAAATCAGAAAAAAAATCCCTAATCTTTAAGAAGGACTTATGAACATTTTCCCGGTCGGAACTTACATGGGAAGCATCCAAAAAGTATCTGTGCCAAATTGGTAACGGTGATGCAAGCAATGTAGACTACCCTAAGACACAGGAATGAAACATCATTTACTCACATTGCATTAAACTCAATCCTATCGTTTGCTGTCCGTACGCGATGCAAGAATTATTTTATTAAGTCATTACGGATTAAATGCCCATTTGACGTAAGCTTCCATCAAAAGGCAAAAATGATTATAATCCCCTAGTACAATGAGAGCAATTTTAAGAGCTACGATCGTCACGTAACAAAAATTTTAACAAATGCAGCTACATAATCTCATGATTGCATTTCATAATCAAAACATTTAAGAGGAAATTAAAAAAGAAAGTTAAGAACACCTAATCCAAATCTTCGCGAAAATTCTGTCTCTACTCTTCATTTCCCCATCATTGCAAGGAATTACGATCGCAGAGGGCTAAATTTCGAACGATGCATCATATATATTTACTGTAAAACCTTAACTGAGTTATTCTTACGAAGAATAACATACATACAAGAAAATAATCTGATTAAATGATGTAGAATATTACTTGATCAAGACTGCGAGCAGACAGACTAGCAACAACGCTTCACTCAATCTTGTGCTCAAACTTCAAGAGATCGTGTTGCAGTTTGTCAAGACTCGCAGCGAGCTATTTTTAATCCGTATTACCTTAGCAGAACTCTCCTGAATGTTTTCACTCTCAATAAGATGAAAATCGGAGAATTACACAGCTCTTTCCGTTCGTCAAGATGATCAAAAGTTGAGCGTGACTGAAAAACATTCACGCGCGTTACTTTCAACATTCCAAAACAGGATGGAAACAGTAGAATGAAGAGCCCGCGACTTTGTCCGAATTTGCCCGAAACCCGCGGGATGTAGATGAAACGTAGACTCGTCCCAGTCTTTTCTTACGGAAAATATCCTCTTCAAGGCTGAGAAGTAATTTCTTCTTGAATTCTTGCAAATTGTTTGCCTTTATTTCGAGTACCAAAATAATCACGAGAGTTCAAATGTAACGTAAGGTGCTCTCACCCAGACAATCAGACTACACGATGAAACAGGTGTATTAGGTATAATTCGTGCTACATTGCACAATTTATAAGAATAGGTGCTGGTGATGGAAACCGCACCGACCTTTAGGAGAGTGCTTAACACAAAATTTGCAATAAAATTACGCTAAGGATGTTTTCTTTCACGCGCAAGGGGTAAAATTATAATAATTTGCTAAGAGAAAATTAAGCAAATGCTTTGGTAAACAAAGCAGATGTATCCTCAATCCTCGTGGACTAGAAAACTTGACCGGCCAATCTCGCGTTCATGAATTGTGTTCTAATCAGTTTGTGGCTAGCGCGCTAAACTCTATAAGCTCAGAAAGTTTTCTCACTTGTTTTTTTTTTTTTTTTTTTTTTTTGTCGTAGGACTCTTTCACTGGGTCCTGAGCGTAACGTTTAAGTTTGCCTGGGCAGTTAACGGTTTTGGGTGTGCCTGACATGAAAGCATTGCAATCCTCTCTGAAGGAGGTAAGGGGTTGAGGGAAGCGATTAACCGAAAATTTTCATAACCACTCTAATAAGCCCTCAAGGCCAAGGGGCTCATTGATATCTGGTAAAGGGGCGTATGAGAGAGGGGTGGGGCTTAATGAAGACGGAGGAATTTTCAGAGAAGGGGGTGGGGGGGTGGGGTCCATTAGAGAGCATCTCAATAATGAAGATTTGCAAAAAAAAGAGGGCTTAAGGCCCATCAGAAAGGGCGTATTATAAAAGGGGCGTATTAGAGAGGGGCCAATTTGAGCGTTTGCAATGGAAGTTTCGACTTTCGACCAAGACGGCAAACCCATTAACGTAATAACCAAACACACACCAATATGGTGCAAATTTTTAATTCACTTAACTTCAAGACAATACTTTAATATTTACCTATCGTCTCCTGTACTTTCCAGAAGCTTTTAAGTGATTGTCTCGCCAAACTTCTTCTAAATGCAAATTATAAAAATCTTGCAAAAAAATTTAATGCAACTCTTATTTCTGACAATTTTAGTTCTTTAAATATCATTATCAATATTCGATGCACTCTTTTAAATACATTAAATTACATTTAGCTCGTTTCATTTACATCATTATACAAATCTTGTGAGACTTAGAAACAACTCTTTCTTTCACCAATAAATTCAACTATACAGAATGTGTATACTGAAATTCGGGTTGCTAAAACAAAAATTAATTTATCGATTGAGCTGAAAACACTAAGGCGCTAAGATCCGCATAATTTTGCTCATAAATTTTGCGCGGTTAAACTCTAAAACCTACTACTAGCCATGTCACGCAACGGGAATGGATATCACGAAACGGGAAGCTGTAACGAGGAATGACCACAATAGTCAGTCAATTCTGAATTGGTGGACGTTGTGAGCCATATCTTCACGTAAACTTTAAATTAGCTACATGATATGTGCTTTCATCTCGTACTGGATCTGTTCTTTTGGAAAGAAATCTTTTCGAAAGAAATTTTATTCAGTTACGTTTGGTTCCAAATTCTTCATAGTTTTCTTTCAGACTACAATAATTGTAAAATATTAAAGTGGTTTGACAAATTTCGTCCCAAAGAAATACTTGAATCAAAGCAGATCAAAAGTTGGGAGATTTGTAGATAACTAAAGTAATTTTGTTCCTCGTTAGGCAGTTCTACTTTGCTTTCGACAACTTTGTTTATAAATTAACCAGGTAACCATTTGTTTGTGAATGGGACTGCATAAACTCTTTCACTCCCAAAATTTCACCAGTAATTCCTTACGTGTCTGCCACACAACTCTTACGTATTTTGGGAGAATTCAGTATTGGATCAACTATTAATCCTTTAATTGATATTTTTTTCATTCTCATCGATTGTCTGCTTGATATTATAGACATTGTAAGGAAAAATTCTGTCGATTTACTTATGGGAGAAGAAGAGGTTGAGCACTTCTTAGCTTGCAAACCTCTACGAAAGTCACGCTAGTCACGAACTGGTCACGCAATACACCATTTCGTTACTTTCAAATTTTGGGATTTCAAAAAATGTACAAACTGTTCACTGTTTCGCCATTTCCTGTGATGTTTCCAGTAGCACTTCAACTTCACTTCATTTCAGTTTTGAATACATTCCAGAAAGCATGACACACATCGCAAGGCATTCACTACAATCCAGTGATCATATTATAAGTAAATTCTCCTAAGGTCAGATGGCGATGTAATCATGTTGCACTGCGGACACAACTTCTTAGCACCCTAAAGAAATAACAGAGAATCAGCGGGTGATTAATATTAAAATCCTCTTAAGGAAAATCAAGGCAATTTAAGTGAACATGTAAAGAGAGAAATTGTATTTGATATACACTAAGGAGCTACCTTACCAGAGTTCTGAGCCAGCACTCCTCACAGTGAACATGCCAACAAGATATCGAAGCCAAGGGATTTGTGTAGGGTTCCTGCAAGGAAATAAGTATAGGCCAATGAGTTTGAAACAAACAAAGAGGAATATAATTTAAATTGAGGAAGAAATTGCAACTCGGCACAATCATACAGTGTAAATGGAACATGCAACTAAACCAAATACCAACCATGCATATCAAACACTTCATTTTCTCAAATTTCTTCATTTCCTATCAGGATAAAAGGAAAAGAGGAAATTAGAAATAAAAATTGTTTTTTTGAAGACAGAAAAAATGGTGCCAAGCCAGACTGCATAGCTGGCAGTTTTGACATTGTGTGCCCCAAAGAAAGAAGGAGTGAAGCTACTAGAGTCTTGGCATGGCAGATAGTTTTATTTATTTTTTTTACAATTGTGGTTTTACCACTTATCACCCAGCACACAGAAAATTGTACAGTTTACACAAAATTACCAGCAACACAAGCTAGTGCCCCTCTTGTCATGTTCCTTTTTTAAACAACCCTTTGTGTCATTAAGGACTATTTCTCAACCCGTTTCACCCTAACATCAGTATGCATATTCTCCATACTGTTCTCTGGACATTTCCCAAGGCTCTGACACACAGAATTTGTTTAACAAGCAAGGGCTTTTTAGTGGGTGATCATTTCCTTTAATCAATCTTGTGACGTTAATATTTTATTCAGAGGTGACATTTTAAAGAGAAATCAGAATCAGATGCTAGTCATTCTTAGGGGTTAAAGGGAAATTGGTTAATGGTTTATAAATGCTGTTTCTAGGTTCCTCAGTCTTAGCTTACTGACAAATTTAAGTTTCTCTTCTAATGAAACTCAATACTTTTTAACTTTAATTCATATTCCTTGGGTTTATCTCAAGTTTGGACAATCAAACAACTCTCATAAATCACTTGGGAGGATGTCACAGTTGACCTTATTATCCTGAGTGTATTTTAATTACCATACCAGCTTCAAATTACTGCACCTACCATTTCCTTTATGCGAACCTTTAGAGAACTGATAACCAGGTCTGGGTTACCTGTCCTAAAACCAATAAAATATATTAATAATTGATCATTTTTCTTGCATGCAAATCAAAAATTTTCATGCATGCAAATCAGGCCTGTTACCATTGGCTTCACTTTTGAGCAAAAATTATACATTTTTTTATACTACCCAAGATGATGCTTACATGAACTTTTGAAGATAATCATGATGTGTACTTTATGGCCTAACAGAGTAACAGTCTGGGACAATTAATGCAAATACTCAGTAGAATTCTACAGAATCATCCAAACAAGCCTCGTGCATACAAACACGGTATGTGCAGCCTAAATTTAGTAAATCCACCACAATTCCATGCTGTTGCAGACAGTTTTGAAAGTAACAAATCAAAATGCACCAATCGCAGCCATTGAATACCAAGAGGTGATGCATTTTCAGACAAGCTTATTGCCTGAAGATGACCAGCAATAAGTAGTGTAGGCATTTCTATAACTTATTCCTTAAGCAGCTGAGATGATCTAATAGGCAGCTGTGCCTGAAAGGGGGCCATAAGACAAAACCCAAACACCAGAGCCTGCATGCAGGCTAAACAGACAGTGGTATGAGGTCTTACAGGCGGCATTAGACTGCCAGTAATAACTAGCATTTCTTGACACCCCGGAAGTGAAAATATGACAATCCACATTAGAATTAATTACATGGTAGACAAATGATTATGTTTAGCTTCAAGTGTACTCAACAAAATGAACATTTTAGGATATTATTAACAAATACTGTAGCACATTGTATCATTCCCTTGGCTTGTACAATAATCAAAAATTAATCACCAAAGTGGAGGTAAGCATGCACAGGTGAATAATCATTTAAGTATATACCACACAGATGCCAAAAAATTAGTTTATTTCTTTCGATATACCAAAAAATGCTCAGAAATTAAACTTGCAATGCATGATTTTGTGTAATCAGCTGCTTGGAGGTTAATACTACTAGCTATTCACTTCCAAATTAGCCAATCAGCACAAATGAAAAGCACTACCCACTTATGTGGTATATACTAAAACCTTTAACAAAACCCAATAAGCTTAATGGTTTACATGATATAATCACCAATAAATAATGATTTATAACAGAGAACACTGTGCATAACTTATTTTATGGGTCAAAATAATATCATTATATCAAGCACCATAGATTAACATGAAGATGATTATGTATGCTTACTCATGATCCTTTTCTTCACTATGTTTGTCAGCTTTTGTTTGCATGGAATTATCCTCTAGAGTAAAATCGAAAGCAAACCTGTTTACTACTCACACAGACATATACAAAACTGACACAATTGAGCAGAAAAAGGTAATTTTTACAAATCAATTCCAAAATACAATAATAGCGTATCATGTACCTGTTTGACCCTCAGAGGGCAGTTCTCTCATTGGACTTTTTTTCTCAACAGGAGAATTTTCACCACTGCAATAATACAAATAAGAATACATTTATACACAATTAAGGTTGTCATCAGAAAATTAAATAGGTGTATGTTCTGTCTGAACTGAGTAGGCTGCCAAATTGAATTGTGCTAACAGTGAGATTTGTCAGTAATGTAAACAGAACTAACCTGATCACTGCTCCCCTAAGAGCCTGTCTGACATTATCTTCATCAGGTTCATCAGCACCACAAGGAATTACATCTGCTTCTGTGTACCTTGTTTCATTAGATCATAAATTAAGGAATGGCAAACACCACTGTTTTCTCCTTTCACAATGTAATACATCATACAAAACATCATAATTCATGCAGTAACTGATCTTTCTTTACAATTGAAACCTTGCAGTTCTTATTACTGAAACCTTGAACAATACTGAACAAATGCCTGTCTAATTGATATATAATGTACATGTAAAAAGGTACAGCTACAGTGTAATATGCAAAACTGACTGGCAGAGCTTATCTAACTTTCTAATAAAACCAAGACATGACCAAGAGTATTGCAACTCCTTTTGGATGGTATGCAGGTTACATTCACCCTTAACACCCTAACATCAGTATGTACATTCTTCATACTGCTTTCTTTACATTTCCCAGGGTACTAAAAAGGTGAATTTGTCTAACAATCAAGACCCTTTTTCCTGGTGATCATTTTTTAATCTTTGATTTTGGGTTGATACCACAAGGTGAAACCTAAATGCTGGTCAATTTATTGATTAGGTATCTCCCTAAGATTGTTGCCACCCTTTATTACTCCTCGACAGAGAGAAGGACAATAAATCCTGGATCCCCCACACATGGAGTTATGGTCACCTATTTAAAAATCAACATTCTATAGGATACTGAGGTTTGCCATACTCTTCGGAATCATCTCCGTCTATGTCAAGGTCTCCATCATCCTCCTCTTCCCTTTTCCGTTTAATACCTGTTTGAAAGCCTGAAGCTGAAAAAACAAACAACATAACTTATATACCACCAAATTTTAACATTTTGCATATGAGCTTTCACAAACAACATGAAGTCAATTAAAAAGAAAGTCGAGCAATATGCACATTTGTGCGTTTTGAAAAATATTTCCTCTAATATTAAAGTTTGTCGTCTACAATGATTGCAAATCTTCTTAAACATTTGGCAGCTCATTCTAATCTTCCCTTTTCTATGTGTTTTCCTAATCTTACAAAAACTGCCATTTTTTGGTAACTTCTTCACCCATCACAACAAAAAATTGTGTTTATCCTTAAATCCTGTCAACAAAAAGCATATTACCTAACCCTTTAGAAAGTGAAAAAACTCTACCTCTAAAGCCACCTTCCAACAGAGTTGTAGCTCGTATTCTTGTTTGTCCAGCCCACTCGTATTCTTCGAAAACATCCTGACCATTGGCATCATCAATGTCATCAACAGCCCTGCCTTCCTTCTGCAGAAAGAAATACAACCATTGTTCTTTAGAGAAAGGAGTTACATTACCTCTTACTTTATATGAGCCTTGGAGCATAGTTAACTCCTAAACTCCCAAGATTTGATTCTCCCCTCTAGCTGATACACATTTCTTTGTAAATTATTTGTGAAAATTTGGTGTTTCATCGAGAAAACATTTTCTACCTGATAAGTTTGAATTTTCTCATAACCTTTTTGCTGGATAATGTATGGATCTTACGGGGAATAATTACGTGTTCATTACTTCTAGGAGTTGGTTAAATACATCCACCCTCTGCTGTGTGGGTAACTTCAAAGTGTTGCTATCCCTTGTGAAAGGGTTTAGTCCATATTCAGTCTTTGAAGCTCGTAAGTCCTTCCCCTTTGGATAGGAGAGGCACTTCACAAGTGGGGTAACTAGCACTTCCAACAAACAACAGTGCCTTCTGACCAATGAAAGGCTAACCATTTTCATTTCAACATCTAACATTAATCAGTTACTCTGTTACAGTGGTATTCACCTTTCTTAAGCAAGCTTCTACATGAGAATTTAACTCATCTCCATTCCCATGGATGACTTCTTCACACACAGGACATGTGGTGGTCTTGATTCCTGAGGGTCCTTCCTCTCCAGCTAGAGGTGAGTTCACTGGGGAGCCTGTGGGCATGAGCAAGAAGGTAAGGAAATGGAAAAACACTGCACAAAAGCCATCCTTAACAACATATCAAAGAGGTAGAGTCACTAGTCATGCACAATTACACACGTTTCATGATGGCAGGCTGATTGAATTCAATTATCACTGGCAAAAACAGCATCAGGCCAATCTGCTGTTACACTTTCCTTGTACCAGGATACATCAATCTACACCACAATATCCAGCAGTTTCAACAAAATATCATTCAACTGGGTAGTTTAGAACTAAAGGTGGGTGGTTCTGAAGGCCTAATGAGCCTCTTGTTCCAAGGAAGTTCTAAACTTCCCATGGAATTTGAAAGTTTGAGACTGTCACAGTTGTATTTTTCCCCATTCTGAAGTCCATTACACATATGTAACTTTTTTACATTCCTCAAAGTCCACCAATTTGAACAAATTTGAAGAGAATTACTTGTATAAATTAGGAGTGCAATGACATTTGTGTGAAAACCAAAAGTGGATACAGATCTACCAGCTACATTGCCACAGGACAAACTACCCCAACTAACTCTGGTCTATCCATCAAACTGAACCCTTTACACTTAAACATCAGTATGCATATTCTCCATACTGTTCTCTATAAGTTTCCTATGACAAAGACATGGTAAATATGTTTAACGATCAAGAACTTCTTAAGCTGGCTATCATTTTTTTCCTTCTTATGACCCTAATATTTTATTCAGTGGTAATACTGTGAGGAAAAATTAGAAAATAGTTACTCTTGGGGTTGAAGAGCTAATATTTGTGACATTTTTAAGGAATGGCATACTTTGAGAACTTCTGGACCTTGTAGGTTTGAGAGAATTTGAGCGGCCACTTCTTGCCATTCTGTTTGCACACACTCGCAAATATGTCTGTTGATAATAAAAGAATTTTCAGTTAATGAGAGTAACAGTACATGTATGTATGATAATCTTTGCTACATCATTTCAGTTAAGCCTTTCACTCCCAAGATCTGATTGTTAATTCTCCCCTCTTGCTGTTACACATTTCCTTGTAAATTAGTTACCAGAATTTGGAGCTAGAATAAGATAACAATTTCTACCTGATACATTTGAGTATTCTCATTACCCGTTTGCTGGATAGTGCATGGATATTGCAGGGAGAAGTTACTCGTGAATCACTTCTGGGATTTAAAGGGTTAACAACTCTTGGTGCTTACAGTGAAGCACCCTCTTAATGCTGCTACCATTATTTTCTTTGTCAGCCATCTCTGCAAGAAGAGCAATCTCACAGCTCGATTCTTTAACTCCCATGAGTGACCAAGAGAAAACTTCTCCTTACAATATCAGTAAAATATCAAGTAGAAAAGTGACAAGAATAAAGCAAAATATAACTTAGGGGACTTTAAGTTGATCCAATACTAAATTCTCCCAAATAATATCAATAGATTGTAAGACAGACAGTAAGAAGAATTACTAATTACATCTTTGAAGTGAAAGGGTTAAAATATGAAAATTCAATAACCTTTACTGCACTTACCTGTTGTCTCGTACTGGCTGGTGTGTCATCATGTCGATGGTGGAGATCACGTTTACCCTCTTGCTTCACTTTCTTTTGGAAAGTTTCCCCATTCTAAAAAAAAAAATGCAAAAATCCATGTTGATATTTTGGGTCGTTGAATTCAAAATGATTCCTTTCACTATCATGGTAATACATAAGCTTGCTGAATTCCAAACAAAAACAGAACAGCTACAAGCAAGTGTGGTGCACACTTACCTTCCTTGCTTGTAAAGCAGATTCTCTTTGACTTCTTCTCGGTTTCCTGTAAAAAAAAAAAAAAATGCAAAATCAGAGCAAATTAGAGTATAAAAATGTCGCTGACTTTTTTTTAAAGTGATTCCCTTTTATTGGAGATGGTTCATTGGTTAATGAGCTGGTCTATGGGTTGAGAGGTTCAGGTTTAAACCTGGCCAAGTCATTAGGTTGTGTTCGGATTGCTGATTCTCCCCTCTAGCTGCTACATGTTTACTTGTAGATTAGTAACGAGAATTTGGTGTTAAATCAAGATGACAACTTCTATCAGATAAGTCTGAGTGTTCACACTACCCTTCTGCTGGATAATGTGTGGATATTATGGGGAGAAGGTATGTGTTAATCACTTCTGGGAGTTACAGGGTTAACTTTTACAGTGCATTTCTCCACCCAGGAGTATAAATTAGTAGCAGCAAATTATTAGGGAAGTCCGATGAAGTGCTGGAGGGGGGTTAACTTTGTGATGGAGTACTCCTATCTCGTTTCATGATATGGCAACCAAGATAACCTCCAGCTGGACAGGCTACTCAGCTCAAGTATGGACTTCTCCTTTGCCTTTTATCTAAAGTCAGTCTGCTTGGTCTTGAAACACAGCTTGCAATCTTAAGTTGAAATTCCTTGCCACACTTTTGCTCTTTGGTAATGGTGAGAAACAGCATTATCTATAACCCAGAAACTAACCTGTTTTCTTCACAGAATCTCTCCATTTCCCAAGCAAAGTGACTTTCCATTTCACCTGGTCTGATGCTAGTGCCACAGACAGGACAACATGGTGCTTGACTTGAAGATGACCTCTGTCTTCCTGAGGTTGATAAAAAAAGAGAGAAATGTGTTATAAACTTAGTTAAGAGAAAAGTGATAATTGAGAAAAGGAGGTAACCTAGGATCACATACACTTTCTTTACTATGCTCTGTGTGATATCAAAAACTTGTGCCATCCACTAAACCAATCAGATGCAAAACCAAAACCAATAACAATATGATTGATTATATTTTCAGTAACTCACTGCAGTTTGCATGTGTTCATACCCTATTTATTCAATTAACCCTTTAACCTCTAAGAGTGATCAGCATCTAATTTCTCCCTATAATATCACCCTCAAATCACACCGTGACTTTTGACACTTTTTTGACTAAGTAAATCACTAACTATTAGAAACTTGGATTCACCAAGTAGGCTTACATTAAGGAATCTAGTACTCTCTTTTAAGCTTCTTCAAATTCATTGAACAAAAAGGGTAAGTTTCTAAAGAAACTGTGGTGCTACATCAGTGGGAGAGTATAACAAGGTAATTTGGCATTATTAACAGAGTTGATAACATAAATTGGCCACCATTAAGAGTTTTCAAAGCTGATGTTTTGAGCTTTAGCCCTAGCTCATTCCCTCAGTCAAAGGGTGAAAGCTCGAAAAGTCAGCTTCAAGACTCTTAACAGTGGCCAATTTACGTTATTAACTCAGTTGATAATACCAAATTACATCAAATTCATTGGATTGCATTGTGTGATGTACTGTAATTTGGACTTTGTATTAAAGATTAAAGGAAAAGTAACAAAGCACCCAGGGTCCTTAACCCTTACAATCCCAAGATTCATTTGTAATTCTCTTTTCTGTCTGTCAAACAATTCTTATAATGTTAGTATGGAGAATTTGGTTTTGGATCAACTAATAATCCCCTAATTGATATTTTTTTAATTTTCATCATTTGTCTGCTCAATATTCTTTTGATATAGATTAATTGATTAAACACAGTGATCTGTAATTTGCCAGTAGTTTTCTTTGGTGGAAAAAAAACAAAACAAAACAAAACAAAGAACTCAGAATACTGTGATAACACAGCTCTTGTAGCAATTACATGAGGTACACACAACCACCATTTTTTAGCAAAAGGTTAAGAAAAAAACTCTATAACCAATAGAAAGGTAAAAGCTACAAAAACATGTGTTAATTGACTATTCCTCCACTGGTTAACCATCACATCACAGGCTAGTCACACCTACGTGTGTGGTTGGTATAGATTGATTTCAACTACTAATGCAAACTTTGTACACTAGGCTTCCTTACATCACACTAGCCACAAAACAAAGAACACCATGTGAAAGGATATTATCTTGGAATCAAAAGTAATGATAATTAAGCATTTTTCTTCCTTTTATTGTTAATGTGTTATCTTACTGAATAACCTTAAACACTAACATATGTACAAAATAAACATATCCTCAACTCTAAAACAGAAGTGACTCTCCTTATTTGCTGCTACGTGTACAAATCACTGTATGTAGAAAGCTGATGTTTCTTTTAACTCAGACACTTTAACACCCTAAAAGCTTCCAAATTTTCCATACTCTACTCTTATATATTTCCTTTGATACCGACGAGGAGAATTTGTTGGACTATCAAAGCTTCTTAGGTTGGTGATCCTTTAATTTATTCTTACAATTTTAATGAACGATTCAACAGTATAAAAGGGGGAATAAATTACATGCTGGTCTCTATCAGGATTTAAGGGGTCAGAATAGCAAGAGCAAGTCAGAGCAAAACTTTATAAGACATTCAAAAGCCTGTAAGGTGAAAATATACAGTAGAGGATAATGAACCCAGAAACCTAACACTCTGCAAAGCAGAGTAGCTAAATACAAACAACATTCTCAAGAAGGAAGAATGGTAACTAAGAGATATCAAATATAAAGCCTACAATAGGAAGGGAAGTGAAAAAAAAACTTACTATATTAACATTATCTAGTTCTAAAGGAGTCAGACACAGTTTTGACTAGAAAAATGACCACATGGTCTAAGAACTTCCTTTTGCAAACAAACACAAGAAAAGAAGGAGCTCAGCATCTTTCGTAAACACAGAACAGTCACTCAACACCTATTTTTACATCACAGAGTCAATATTCACCAACATTGTAAACAACCACCTTCACTGTCTATTTGATATGTGAGTATATTTTATGGAAAAAGCTAATAACAAGGGTGGTATTCTCCCTGGGAGATCTTATTTTACATAATTTTCATCTGTTTTTGTCATAAACTTGACATATAAAGAACACCATTGTGTCAAAGGAGACGCTATGGAAACTAATCTCTTTTCCACCAAAAATTTCTTTCTCCTTAAACAAGGCTTTGCGTGTGCCACACAAGACAATAAAATAAATTTGAGCACACAGCTTTGGCAAGAGTGAAACAAAAACATGAAAAGGTTAGCAACATGAAAAGATGATCACCTTACACTGCGCGAGCAACTTCTGCTTGTCTTAGTAATAATCACAAATTATTCCCATTATTGAAAGGTGTAAACATGTGAAAAAACTCTTTGAGAATATTAATCCACAAAAAACAATGGCTGGGACATTAATTCAAGAAAATACAGACAGTTTGGTGAGAATTCAGACAAGTGTTGTAAATGTACTGTGGTATACAATTAAAAATAAAGAATTTTTTGTAGAGCACACTAAAACTGAAAGACTGCAACAACTGCCTTTGGCCATGAGGAGAAACATTAAATGCTGCACTTAATTGAAATGTAAAGCAAAACAATGAATAGAAACTGCTCTCATTTGATATATCTACATGAAAAAGGAAAAATGTAAGAGGCTGTTTAAGTAAAAATCTAAAGCTTACGACTGATTTAAACTGGATGTAAAATTAAAAATAGTACAGAAAGTGTATCAGGTGACTTGGCATCTAACCAAGTAAAGTTCAAATTTCTAAGTTAATATGAAAAATAAAATGTTCCAAAAAGAATTGGTTGTGGGCGACTCTTAATGAGAAAGGTACAGGCTAAACACTTTGTTGTTGGTCATTTAAATCTGATAATCCTAAACACGATAGAAACAACAAGCCTCTGTGAAATTAGCTCTTCTTTTTAAGTCAAATAGGAAAAATGAGGAAGACAATAGAACAGACAGCATGAATAACTATTTAGCATGCAGGTGTGACTTGCAAATGGAGATGAAACTTGTTATATCAGTTAAACAACACCACTTCACTTAGAGATGTTAAACTTATGGTTTACACTTTTATTTCCGTAAAGAAGCTAGTTTGCTTCTTTAGAATCCTCTTGAAAAAACATAAATTGGAAGTGCAATTTATTTGCTAAAAAACAGGAGAATAAAGAGTGGGTCCTTTTCTATGCTATGGTAACAAGAAGAGCCAACAAGCATTTAGCATTGTTATGTTAATGACCATCTGCTTTTTGAGTCCTGTTGGAGTATATTACAAATCATCTATTTCAAACATATCTCAATATTTACAATAAGCAAGAAAGGGCTGAATTTAATCACTAGTTTCACAGGAAATTTAATCACACCATCTTTCCCGACCTGCTTCCCCTAACACCAACACTCCATGAATCAACTCTATTGAAATAGATTTGAACAAAATTCAAATTACCACACATCTGGGAGGCTGGTTGAAAAGTGTATTTGCAAATTAATAGGGAATAATTTTTCAAATCCCTACAAGCTGCAAAATATATTCCTTTTTCGTGAAACTGAATTGATTACCAGCACCAGTTGACATGTTTTCTTATTTTTGGCACCCAAACAGGAATATTTTTCTTTCTGCAGGTCCCCAAACACCTCTTAATTTTCCATTTCATTCATGAGCACCAGTTTTTCAAAGGAAAATGATGAACAAACAACAATGAGCAGCTAACGTCACAATAGTTTGAAAATGTTCAAAAATACCTTCAGGACTGATTTCTAAGAAGTGGAGTTAAAGCAGGATGGAAAAAAATTTTATTTTAATCTTCTGTTTTAACTCAACAATTTCTGGCAGTATTACACATATTTATCAATAAATAAACTGCTTTTTAGCGCTTTTCACCATGAATTTTAAAACCATTTAGCAGGAGAACTTTCCGACAATAAAATGCTGTGAATTTTCCAAACACCTCACAATTAAAAACACCAAAAACAAAATCATCTAGAATGTTTTGGCTGTCGCTGCATAATAACCAGATTTAACAAAGCTTCCTTCTGACCAGATGATTTAAGATGCTTAGTGTCATAGTAATAAAATTTACAAACCAGACAAAAAATTAACTTCTGGTTAAATCACCTTCTAAATGGAAGAGTTCAAAATGAAATTCAATTTATTTTTAATATACATGTAAAAAATAATAATGTAAGTACTCTCTTTTACTTGCCTTTAGATTGCATTTCCCCATTGCTGTCATCATCTTCAGCTTCACTACCTTTACAGCACTCAATCTGATCCGCGTGTTCTCTCTTGATGTTTACAGTCTCAATATTACTGTTATCAGTCTCATCATGCGAGCTGGCCCTTCTCATTGGGCTGGGGCTTTTTGTTTGATCTCCAATCAGTCGTGTTTCACCATCCTTATCAGGTTTTCTCGGAGAAATCCTGTCCTTCAAACCCCTTTCTAAGTTTGTTTCTTTATCTAGTTCAGAGTTTTTGTACAAGCTATCGACATGGTGTTCTCGTTCCAGCAAGTTTCGTGGATGTTGCAAATGGTGAAAAGGGAAAGCATGTTCAGGTGGCACAACCCTGCGGAATGCACCAGTGCCATTGAATACAGCAGTGGGCCCACTTGTTTTGTGGAGAAGCCCTCCACCTAAGTGGTGATGCATTTGAATAAAATGTGGTCCATATTCGTGAGGCATTCTTTCAGTGTAATGCTCTGAGCCAGGGTAGAGAGCAAGATGAGAGGATCGATGCTGGTAGTGGGTTGAATTCAACACCATTCTGTGCACAGCTTCGCCATCAATATAGCGGTTTGATGGCGATGAGTATATTGCATGGTAGTCGCTCATTGGTCCAGGAGAAGAAGCAGTGGAACGTGCAGCCTCAGCAGTTGATGCTAGTACCATAAGGGCAGGAGACGTCAATGGATTTGGGATGTATGCTGGGCCACTCAGCTTCTCCATGTGAGGACTGTCTAACAATTTACAAAAATAAACACATGAAAAAAGCCATTCTCACATTTAAGTCTAGAGCTACTACAGAGTTGAAAATATCTGTGTTTCCCAATTTCAATAACTGGGAAGATTAATACTTTAGATTACATAAGTAAATTATCTTGGAGTTATGGTTTCTACCTTGAAATCAGTCTAAACCTGAATAGTTTTTAATAAAATAAAAAAAAACACGACTGATTCTACTTCAAAGTACAAAACTTCAGCTGTAAAATGGGTTTCAACTGAATAGTGCTTTTCACAACAAATAAGACCACAAAATTTGTAAGGGTAGCCACTTGTAAAAAATATATTAACAGTAATAAACACCAAAACCTCAATCATAACAGAAATTTACTTCGTACATCAGCATGAGTTTGTTAGTCAGACATCGTCTGCGGTCGCACGGCTCCTTGCTTCGCGCGTTCAAACTGTTTAAGCTTCTGTCAGCTTAGTCTTCTTTCGAAATAACAAAATATCAATCTTTCCTGAATCTTCCTGCATTAATGAATTCCAATTTTCTGGGAGAGGCCGATTGTGTATTTGAGCGGCCAGTTGTAGGGCTACAGATGATAAAATCCTGATTAGCACACTCGGATCGAGTAAGTTTGCCAATATCGAAAATTGCTAATAAAACGAAGAGCTTTGTAAACCACTTAGGTCGATCGGAGATGTGTATCGACTGCAGTTGCTGAACACGATTAACAGGCGATAAAAAATAGTCCTTCCACAGCCACGTAGAAGTAATTGCAAAGGTTCAAGTGGCAGATTGAGCTACGTTCACCGGAAGATGCGGTAGATTCGAAAAAGATACGATCCTCTCCTAAGAAGAAAGAACAGTAAACTAACCCCTACAGCTGGTGTAGTCGGGTTTTATTTTGAACCTACAGAGCATGCGTACTAAGCTGCTACATCTCGTTTCCATGATAGCAGGGTGGAAGTCAATAAATCCTGATAAAGACTTCTCGCCCGGCCCAAATTTCGGCCGAGAACATAAACAAAATAAGATCAATTTTGATATTTTCAAAGGAACCTGCTGGCTGGCTTCTTAAACTAACAGTCCACGGTGATATTTTCCAATTCACATAAACATCCGGACTTCAGAGTTGAAGTTTAATAAAAAAAAATCTTTGTTAAAACACCTCGGGGAAATTGACTTATTTAGCATCATTTGCGATTCAGTGGCAAAAAAAAAATTATTCAAAACTACAAGCGGGTATTTGCTCACCAAAGAATTAATTTGCAAATTTTGCGAAGTATAGACAATAAACACCTCACGAAAAGGAACGCAAATTAGGTTCTTCAAGGAAACTTCTTGTGGCAAAGAAAAGGTTTTATCATTCGTTTGAGGTGCCATACAAACCTCGACTGAACGCTTTAAACAAATGCTAAGCAAATGGTATTGAAGAAGTGATAACAAAGTTATTTTTAATGAACAAAACTGGTGAAAGAGCACTTTGTTTGTAGTGTTCTTGCTATCTAATTTTTACCAATTCACGGGCGATGGCATAACTTCTCCGCCGAAAGCAATTAGCCAAATCTTGTCGCGTTTTCCGGCAGTTAAACCGAAACTCTCTATATCAATTAGTTCCCTGGTGTTTGGTAGAAGTTTCCGTCTCTAAATATTTATTAAATGAAGAGTTCAGTTTGTCAGAGAACAGGATATGAGATTGGAAAGCGATCAAAGCCCTCTTGCGGGCATATTGCGCTCGGGGGCCTACAATTTAACTTAATTTAAGTCGGCAGAAATTTTGCAAAGTAAAGAAGTATTCACAAAATGATACATTGTTTTTTTTTCTTAAGCTAGTGTTCTTTGGGGAATTTTCGGTTAGTTAAAAACAGAGCCGCTTCTCTAATTTGTCAATTAAACATTTCAAGTTCCTGTCTTTTATCGGGTCAGACATATTGCTCAATTCGCAATATATAATTTCAAAGTGTCTATTATTCAAAAGCGACCTCATTCGGCGGGCGTAGACCGACAGCAAAAGTTCAAAAACTAAAGAATCATATCGCATTTTTTCTTGATGAAAGATCCTGTCGCGCTTCCATTGAAAGCTTATATTTCATCTTTGAATAGCATAAGAACATTTTGAAGCTTCGTCTGAAAATTTCAGGAAAAATTGCCGAAATGGATTCTACTTTATTTACGACGCGCGCGCTTAATTCAGTTGAGATGAAAGAAACATTAAATATCGCCTGTACCTTAAGTGCCGGTTTAAATGTTAAAATTATAATCAGGAAAGGAACAGTGGCGCAGCTTGACCAATTTCTATGCTAATTAAAGTTATTTAAACTGAGAATATACTTAACAAGAGATTTTTCCTTATTGAAAATAAAATTTGTAAGGAAACCCTTCGTTTGCGAGACCCCTTACGGAGTGAAAATTTATGAAACGCTACTCAATTGTTTATCGACTCCGAACTTCTTTGAAAAAAGGCAATGATTTGAAAAATGGACTCCAAAGTGCTTTCGCTTAGCAGAGGATTTAACGACAAATTAGGAAGAAACTCCTTCCGAATCATCCGCCCGCATTCAAGTAATGAGACTCAGAGAAAATGCGTTAAGAATTTTATTTTTGACACGTTTAAAGAAGATGTATATTTTTGGAAGCGTCAAGCGTATCCGAAAAAAAAAATTTTTTTCGCCATTACAAAACATGATTCTTTGACAAAATAGTTATTGTTAAATTGTGCAGTGTGTATTAAAGACTAAACTTCCGTAAAAGTGAAAAGTATCAATGCCCACGCAAAGGAAAATTTGCTTCGCGTTGTTCCAAGATACATCGTGTAAACACACAGTTGGAAAGAAGTTGTACTGGACTATGACACGAAATGAACTTTTTTATTTATCGGAAGGAAGCCCTCTTAACAATACAGAAGCGTCGTGCAGAGAATTCGAGGTCCATTTTGGCATCTTTCACTCCAAAGTATTGGCCAGTAAATTCATATTTTCCTGTCGACGGCGAGTTTTAATTCAGAAATTGAAAAATGAGAACTAATTGCTCCTTGATGGTAGCGGAGTCCGAAAACGTACGCACCATTTAGCTACTTTTGAGCAATTTAACATCAACTAAACTCTTTTAAGACAAATTTAAATTTTCCAGCTGCCATAGATGTTTTTGTTCGGCTGGAATGATTGTATTATCATGGTTAATAAAGCAAAATTAATCAAAGGTACATGCCTTTTGTTTGCATTATCCAAACACTGCCTATTGGAAAACTAACCCACTTTTTCAGTTAACTCTAATAGGTTCTCTGTACAAATAAAACACTTGCATAACAACCGTTCCAATTTACAAATTTTATAGTAAATTTGGCGTGTTAAATTCCTGTTTACAAAGTTAGTATACAGTGGATCATATATTTATTTCTTTTCCTCTGGCCACGCCGCAAGAATTAAATCGAAAAGAAGGCGGCCCGGTTTTAAGGAAAGATATTATATTGAATCATTTTCGCCGGGGCCGAAGTCTGCAAAAGTGATAAACTGCTTTCGCGATACACCTGTCATCGTAACTTTCAACACGCAACTCATTTACAAGTCTAATATAAATCTGTTGAACCTTTTTTTCGGCTTAAGTCATTTTCAGTGCAGCGAACTGAATTATTTTCCTAAAAATTATACTATTCTTGCATTAAAACCAACGGTCTTTACCTCGGTGGAGAAAGGCAATCTACACCTCCGGTAAATATCTTGCTTGGAGCTGCCATTAGGAAAGTATCTGCAGTTTCCATTTTCTATCTAGCAGTGTGAGTTTAAATCGATCGCAGTCCATACATAAAACTAACCAATTAAGAAAAACGAAGTTAACTCCGTTTGAAAGTTTTCATCTCATAAACTCTCATTACGCCGGCTTAACAGCCTCTGAATAGGCTTTTTAAAGCTGTACTCACGTTCAAAGAGATAAAGTTATTAAGTGTTTTCCGCAAGCCTGTTTTAGTTCGATAAATACCGAGCCAGTCCGCTAAAGACAAAGGCTGGACATAGAGAGAAAATCGATCTGTCAGCGAAAGAGAAAACTGTCTTACATAAGAATATTAACCCCACGAAAATATCGCGAGCTGTCGGCTTAATTTCATAAACAAGTGGCTTGTTTGGGTTAGAGCAGGAAGACTTTTTTTTATGAAGGGATACCAGCGAGTTTTTGTTATAATCCCTGCGCTTTTAATCCATCGCCCTTAAATTGCCACGAGTGATGAAAATGAAACTTTGCAAGCAGTGAAAATAACTGAGAGCAGAAAATTAAAGTCAGAGAGCGAAGCTTTCCTGCGGAAGAGGGAATTTCGCGCACAACCTAATTATCTCACGAATCTCGGACTTTTTCTTCACCGAAATTTAATAACAAAAAATTTATTAACCGCCCTCAGTTAAAAAGCGATTGGGAATATCATCGCTGAGCTCTTTGAAGTGTAAATACTGTTTTATGCAAATTACTAACGGTATCTTGCCTGTAAGCAATATAATTACCTTCAATCTAAGAAAGCCATGTGGCGTTAAATAGATATGACTAGCACTGGTCTCATCACGACATTGAACCGCACTGCCTGACTGCACTGGAGTTACTTAGCAAAATCACGTACAGTTAAAGGCAATTGTCAAATTTCGTTTAGTCATAACGGGTGATTTTTTTTTAAGGAAAAAATTTAGAAGATAAACGGCAACAAGACACAGTTTTTGGCCGGAAGGCATCTATAAACGTGGATCAACAAAAAACGGCGAGGGAAATATGAGCACTACAGTAAAAATACAAGTACTGCTTAAATTAAGAACCATGCGATTTGCTTTCCGAGGAACTCGCTTTTTTCGAGTGAAAAATGAGAAGCAGCTCAAATTTAATGAGTGTTACTTTTAAGGATTATTTTGTTTTTATCAATTGATGATCAAAACGCTGCTTTTTCTGTTATCAGAGGTAGAATTTACTTAAGTGTATGGGTAAATTAGCCAAAAAGCCCTGAGCAAAATAAGCAAAGATGAAA